CAAGGATGCTTTGTGGCAAGTTTGGTTGAATTTGGCCCAGTGGTTCTTGAGAAGAAGTCAAAAATGTGAAAAGTTTACAGACGGACGCCGGACAAAATGTGATCAGAAAAGCTCACTTGAGCCTTTGGCTCAGGTGAGCTAAAAATGAAACAAAATTAACTTGTCTTATTAAATGTTCATCAAAGACCAAGAGAGGCCAATGTAACAGATTTCGACAAGGAATTACAATAGTACAGAAGCACTGATAGTTTGTTAATATACTGTATGGTGATAGTGATAAATGGGAAACCGATTAGAACCTAATTCATGAAATGTTAATGAATACTAGACTAATTATTTTGTTGATCCTGATCACCCTATTTTTCTTGCTTATGGGCAACAAAGCTTCGCCTTTCAGTTCATTTTATACTCTATGGATCCACTAAATTGTTGTACATTGCATTATACTCAAGTGACCGTTAAGGCCCTTGGGCCTCTTGTTTTTTCATAATTTCCTTCTGAAACTAGCCATTTGTTTTTGTGTCCCAAATATCTAAGGGTTTCTTTGGTGTAAATATGAACTTGTTAATTGAAAAATGGACAAAAAGCTAGCTTTTGTTTTTTATCGATCTTGCAGATTTTCTTGATTGTCACTTGAATTGAATATAAATTATAAGACTGACAATTGTTTTATTGAGTTATTTTTATTTAATCAACAATAAAAAGCATCGAGAAAGCTTTAAAGATCCACAATGCCGGGTGTTCGAAGCTGCATACATGATGTTCGAACTGGGATGCTAATGGATTGAAACAATCATACAACAACTGAAACAAAAGAAGAGAAAATCTCATATACAAACTTTTTAAAAACAGTTATTTCAAGGATAAAGTGATCATCTCTATTGGCTAATACCTGAAATATTTGTCTATAAAATATGGCGTAAGAAACTGATAGAAAGTAAATCGTTACCTTTTACGTTTCTAACCAGCAATAGTACCAGTGGTGTTGGTAGCGATGAAGGAGAAGAACAGTAATGAAACTGGAAGAAAAAACGTCTTCGTGAAGAAAATATTTCAAAAAACTCGAAGTATTTAAAATGTCGCGCTGTTTATGGAATATCAACCATTCGGGGCAAAATTTGATACAAATCTATAACTGTAGATTTTTTTTAAAGAAAGAATTCAAAGGGTTTCCATCTAGAATCATCTCTTTTGCAGTGATAATTCATCAAAATGAAATAAGATTTCTTTAACACGCTTCAATTCCTTAATTTGTCCGTAAATTTCATCAAATGGATATACATGTATCTTAACTTACAAATCACGAGCAACCTCGCTCTAAAAGTCAGAGGCTGGGGGGTGGGGGTTTTACTTACTGAGACTGAGTGTAGAGGACATGCTGAGGTCGTTGACAGACTTGGTCAGAACTCTCAGTTGCTGGGCATCATTGTAAGCCTGGTAACGTCTGTAGTAATCATCGTAGCTTTGTCTGGCAACTCCTCCTGTAGCAGCAAAACGGGGGTTAGCGGCCCACTGTGTGCCCCAGAGAGCACTGACTTGAACGATAACGACGGCCATCATACAGGCGGAGGCAACGAAAACGATACCTTTGTTCATGATGACAGCTTTGGACGAACGACCAAGATATGACAGAGAACTGTGTTCTCCCCGTTTGCTGCACAGGGTTATATACCAGCAGTTATGTTTGATTGCGATTTTTAATCAGGATAGACTTGCCCTTTTTCGTATTACTTAAGATGCACAACTGATGGCTTAATCGAACAACATTTTATCGTTAATTATGAGATAAAAAATTACACGACCCGGGACTGAAAGGTGTAGCCGCATGCCCCAAGGATAGAATTCAATGGAAAAAAACTTCCTTCTTCTTGTGATGGACCAGGTTACACTGAACACACACACACAAAAAAAACCCAAACGTTATTATTCAATTCTGCCGAAGGCACCCCCCCCCTCCCCCAAAAGAAATTGTTTAAAATATGACGTCCAAAGTGTGTAGAATATTTTTTTTTTATTCTTTTAAGCACTCTCTAAAGGCTAACACTTTGAACTAAATATTAAATCAATATATGTAACAACATTTATAAGTAAATTAAAGATATGACAGAAAAGGAAAAAAATCGATTTACATCAAACAAAAATAGTGTGAAAAAATATCTAATTTTCCACTAAACTTAATAACCCAACTGCTATAAACAATGCAAAAAAAAAAATCAAATCAAATCATGGAGTCTAACAAAGAGTTTTAAAAATATATATATAATTAATAATAATCTCATTTAATGTACATTCTACAAATAATGAAGGGTGAAACATGGCACTGGAAATCATTGAAACACTTTTGCTGGAAGACTTGTAAATGTTTTTCCTATACAACCAAAAAAAAAAAAAAAAAATTAAAGTGATGAATATCAAATATCACAACTTTTGTCATCATATGAGTTTTATGCTAAAGCAAAATGATATGGTATCAAATATAAATGCCTCTGACCTGATGAATTAATGAAATTTACACACAAATTTTTCTTTATATATAATGCTCAATTCTCCTTAATATCAACCAATTGTATGTAATCATGAGTACTGGCAATATCAACCAATTGTATGGAATCATGAAAAGGTTATAAATATTCAGTACTGGCAAATATCTGCCTCTTTCATACGTAATCAAATACATGCAAGTATTAAAAATTGATCAATTAGGAGGAAATGTTTACTTTTGACTCCATGACATCATTTAAAAGGTGAATATCTCTACTTCTAAAACGAATGTCAAAAAGCATATAAAATTTCTTGAGAACTTGTAGGGTAAAAAATTGCCCACTCTCAATTTCTTTTTACACATCATTGACCACTTAATATTAAAAGAAATTTGTTCCAAGTTTCCTGGTCAATAAATTTAATAAAGTAGAGCACCCTTCTTTCTTTCTAAAATCATTGCAATTCTGAGTTTTCATCAAAATCTTCACAAAAGTATGAATTATTTGTATCATAAGTGACACAAATTTTCAAAAAAATTTTTGTTTAGAACACAATCAAAAATATTTATACTGAGTATTAAAATTCTGACCTTTGAAAAAGAAATAATCACTATAGCATTTACTGGTGGTCCTTTTCAGAATAAACATGGAGAATTAAATTTTTGCAAACAATTCACTAAAACTACACATTTCAGCCAAATGTGTAAAATTTGTCATGGGGAGAAAAAAAAAACAGATACAGAAAACTTAATATTCATGGAGGAAAGAACTTCTTGTCCCCTGTTGTCCAAAGTGTACCTCACTGGACTTGAATTCCAGAATGTGGATAGTAAAATGTGTAATTATGTATGTATGTAACATTCAGAGTCACACATGTATCTGCTCTTTCACATCAATGACAGTCTAATTTATACTCAAACTTCTACCTTGCATATAAAACCTTTAAGTATTCACATATACCAGGTAAATTAAACCCATAAAATTATGCAGGAATTAAACGATCCAGGTGTGAATATCATGTATAAAAATGAAAAAAGTCCACGTGAATTTTTCTGATATATAAAAAAAAGGTTCACACAACCAAGTAAGAATCTTCATTAAAAATATTCAACTAAAATAGATTTCCAGAGCACAACCTAATAAATTGCAAGACAAAAATATACAAAAAAAATTTTTTCACTATCTTTATAATCAATCTAAAAATTGGCACTTATGTGTCATATACAATCACACTTTTCACCTATACTATATAATATGAGGATTTTTTAAAAAAATTTGGTGTAAAATCAGCACTGACACAATTAAAAACATTTCCCTAAATCATAATCCTGAAAGAATGCCTATAAATTTAATTGCAATACATATATATCTATATACAAGTTATGACCTTGTGTTGCAAATTTAGGCAGTGTAAGAGTTCAGGTAGCCAGTTATGAACAGCGCTTTTATACCCATGTTAAATATTTAAAACCAAAGTATAAAACTAGAGTTGTCCTGATAAAACTGACACCCGCAGAACATGCACAATCAAAGCACAAATTCTGGATATCCTTTGAAATAAAGCTGGAAAGTGTCCTAACACTGAGCTTAACTTTGCATCTACAGAAAAACAACATAAAGAGTGACATAGTGGTTCCAATGTCCCAACAAAACTTTGTTCTGGGGAGATTAAAAAAACAACTGGTGCATCACTAATGCTGTTAAATAGCACTTTGTTTAAAAGCATGAAAATAATTTACAATAATAAAATAATTGTTTTTATGCATGCACATAAATTAAAATAACCATTTTAATAGGAAAATAGGTAAAAAAAAAAAAAATACAGTTTCTCTTCATGAAAACCTATTGAATGCTATCTGCATCAGTTCATGCTACTGATTTCCCAATGGGGCTGTGTATCATCAAAATAAAATGTAAAATCAACCTGATTTTTGTACATATATTGCAATAAATTATGAGATACTGGACTTTGAAATGAAAGTATTACTTTACCCTTAAATTTTTGCACTCCCCCACTCTTGTGTATCTTTAGACACCCCCATAATAAAGAAAAGAATTATTGACATAAAAGTATTATTTTCCTACTTTTACCTGTACAATACTATACCCTAAATCTAAAAGAATGAATTTTCTGTTCCAAGTAAAAATCATGAATATTGAAACAAAATGCATTATAGCGAACAGGGTAACCGTATAAAGTTGTGCCAAAATTTTATATTTATCATTACAGTCCTTCATTATGCTTTATATACTATGTACATATGTCATTAACAGAAAAAAAAAACATAAGAAAAAAATTCTTTTCACAAAGTGATGAGATTCATTTGACAATACAATAATACTGTTAATAAATATGCAATCCATAATTTGAAAAAAAAATTACAACAACTATGAAGTTTTCCAAATTCTAAACATGCGAGTATTTTAATTCAACATCACATGAGCCTCAACTGAAAGTATTAGTCATGTACAGTGTATGTTGACAGTATTTAGGACGTAAAAGAGAAATTTAGGACGTAAAAGAGAAATGCATTACAATATTAAGTAAAATTTTAATATGGATCTAATTATTATAATTAATTTTAATAAAAGCATGAAAATATGAAAGTACAAAAAAAATATTTTAGAAAAGAAAATGGCAGGACTCTGAAGGTTTCAACTAGATGAGGTATAGGGGTCATGAATATCTTCAATTTCTATGGCAGTTGTTTCCCCTGGAAGCTGCCGAATAATTGACCTCTCGGATTTGGCTGAGGCTGTTCTTGTAGATCTGGCTGACCCCTGGCGACCACTGTTTCTACTGGTGGCTGAACTAGCCTGTCGGTGCTGCCTGTAAAACATTTCAGCCATTTCTAAAGTAACATCGTTACATCGACCCCTCATGTACCCACTAGCACTGTTTTGTCTGCTGCTTGCACTGTTCTGTCTGCTGCTAACACTGTCATGTCGTCTGCTTGTGTTATCTTGACCTTGGCTTGCACTGTTATGTCGTCTGCTTGCACTGTCTTGTCTTCTGCTCATGCTTTCCATTTTTCTGTTTTCACTGTCTCGGTGTCTGCTTGCACTGTCTTGTCTTTTATTAGAACTATCCATTCCCTGGCTTGTACTATCATGCCTCATGCTTGTACTATTGTGACGTCTGCTACCACTTTGGGATCTTCTACTACTATGTCTTCTGCTACTCATTCTCACCAAGCCCCCAATGCTAGGAGGCTCTTCTGCTTCAGAAGTGACATAACCACTGACAGAACCTGTCTCTGTCTTTCTCCTTTTCCTGTCACCCCATGATCTAATGGACTCTCTTTCACTCCTGTCTGTGCTCTCTAATTCCTTCAACTTTGCATTAAGTTCACCCATATATGCACTTGCTGTAAATATTGAGAAATTGGCCACTTTGCCCAGATGTTTGGGTGGCTCTGGCAGGGTCACTGCATCAAGACTGTTCTGATGAGAGTAAGAGGTTACTGAGACAGCTTCCATGCTATTCTTCTCCACATCTATATCCACTCCATGAGCGGATGCTCTACTGGCAGTGGAATTCCCACTCCCTCTTCTACTGCGCCTGCCCGCTCGTCTGCCACCGTAAGCAGATGATGACATAGCATTTGAGATTGGTCCTAGGACAGGCAATATCCTGTTCCTTCTTAACTTTCTGATCTTCTTTTTCTTTTTGGCCTTACTTCTTTTTCTAACTTGTGCATACTCCACCTCCATTTCTTCTTCCTCATCATCATCACTGGCCCTAAACTGACCCTGTGCAGCACTGATTTGTGAGTCAATAGAATGTCTTCTAGAGGCCATCTTCGAAGCTGCAGACCCAATGTCTGAAAAAAACATTTTTCTTATCATTGAATTTGTTAATTCTTCAACATGACTCAACTGTTTATAGAATGTACTTTGAATGTGTGAACTTTGGTATCTTGACATGTTGACAACCTGGGGTACGTCAACATATCCATCCATGCATTTGTATAAACCAAAATTTCTTTGCACCTCTTAACTCACAAAATGTTAACCATATATCTATTTATATTTATGATATTGACTTTCATCAACAGAATAGCTCTAAAATATTTATGGCCATTGCAAATCTTTTAGATGTACTGTATGGAATAAGGTTTGTTAAGAGTAATTCACCATTTGATTGTGAGGCACACTAAGGGATGTCAACACATTGACATGACCCACCTGAGTCCGAGTATTTTCGGAGGGTTCCAGCTGTTGGGTGCATCATACCACCCCTCCTCTTCACCAGCTTCGGCATGGCTGCTCTGAAATCTGACGACATGCTGTTGTTGGAACTCACACTGTTCAAATCAAACTTCATACCTGAAAAGTAAACGTGAATTTTACTATGGCCGATATTTCAAAAAGAACAAGGAAATGTCAATGAAACATAGGTTAATCAGTTATAAAATTTATGTCTTACCAAGTGGATCATCATGGGTGCTGGCAAAGCTGATAGAGAGTCTACCATTGTTCAATTCCTTCCTCTTCTCAAAAGCCTTCGCTATCACTTTGTGTTTCTTAAGTTTGACTGGTTTGTTTGAGGGCTTGTTAAACACTCTGGAGGAAGATCAAAGAAAGAAGTGAAAAATCTGGTAGAAGTGAGAAATTCTTCCATTAAATTATTCATTTATTCCTCTCCTTAAATATATATTTCATGACTTTTTCAAAGACTTTTTAAACACAGTCAAACATCATTATATCAAACTCAATAGGGCCAAAGAAAAACCTTGACATATCCAAAGATTCTTGATATTGAGGTTAAAATACAAAAAAAAAGAGTGTTGGGACTTTCATATCACCTAGAAATATACATGGTATTTGATATTATTTGAGATATTAAATTTTGAGATACCAAAGTTCAACTGTACATGTAACTGATTTTCTTTAAACTAAAAAGTTAACAGATTTTAATAACATACTTCCTCAGAAATCTCTCCCAGGCTAGGAGAGAAGCTTTGGTCCATGACCAGCTGCTCATAGCAATCCCTGCCCCAAAAAAAGCAAAAATATGGAACCCATAGGCCACAACACTGGGTCGACTGGACAGTTGGCAGGAGACGGAGACATTGGAAACACTCTGTGTCACTGTAGCATTACCCTGACAGCTGAAATTATGTCATTCATATAAGTAATTATATCACAATTACTGGGTTTAATTATAAATTATCAGTATTTTATTTTCTGTTTATTCTGTTGATTATGTTTCCATATATTTTTTTTCTCCTATGAAATTATAGTGGAGAAACATTTAAAATTTGATTAAAAAATATAGGGTACATCAATACCAAATCAATACCAAGGCTTGGTAGAGTTGCTCCCCTTAAATGCATTTCTATAGCGTTCTCATTACTGTTACATACAGTTAAACATGGTTACAGCAAACATGCATGTTTATAATGAATTCACTCTTAACAGTGAAGAGATTTTCACTCCCAGTAATATCTAAATGTATTATTAACTTATTAGAAAAAGGGAATTAAGATAATAATAACAAATTGAAATTGTTCATCCCTGACACTTTGTTATAAGCATTTTTTACTGTAATATCAAGGAAATGAGTACTTACTAGATATATTCTTTAAAACTCTGTGACCAACTTTGCTCATTAATGAAAATGTAGATATGGACAACAAATGAAATCACCACAAACAAGAAAGCCAGCAGTGTAAAAATGCCTGAAATTGTATAAAACAAAATATTTATACACACAATACTGTAAAATCGCTTATTTTCATGGAGTCAAATTTTCGTAGATTGACTTTGGTTCATGGGGATTAGATTTCGTGGTTGAAGAATTGTTGAGTTGTTTTTATTTTAATACTTCACTGAGGATATAAATTTGTGGGTCTTTTCATACCACAAAAACAATGAAAATTAACCCCCATGAAAATTAGTGCTTTCACAGTATGCAAAAGTGAATGACAATACATTGTAAATATTATCTGTGCATTCAAGAAAAGATTTACTATTAAGGCATAATTTTGTATGTAGAGGTTAATTAAAAACAATTTTGTTTGAAAATCACATGCACTCATTGTTTGGTGGTGGGATTTCAAAGTAATTCAGTAATTTCAAAGTACTTTAGATTTTACCTAGTCTGATAATGGTTTCCTTTATTTTGGACAGTGCTTTAAGACTGATGTAGTCTGGTGAATCCTTTTTCAATTTGATCAATGTTTTTAAAACTACAAATAAACCAAAAACAAAAGCCCATTATTATATGTTGAAACATTTATGTATGAACATGTTAACAAACTGTCTTTCTCTGCAAAATTTTTAAGAGGCCATGTCAGTAAGCATTGAGCTTCATACTATAAAAACATGGAAAGTGGAAAAAATTATTTCTAGCTCAAATTTTGTGAATATGATGCATATGAATAGTCTTTCAAAAAAATATCTAACCAGGCATATGACCTCTTGTTTCCGTGGCAACCAGAGAATTTGTTATTTGACAATACAATATGCAAATAAATAAAAATTTCATTTCATCCTTAATTTCTTTCTTTAACTATGTAGATTGGGATGTATCATTCAATAATATTTCTGTTGAAACAAATTAGAAATTCTTACCTAAAATAAGATAGATGAGACCGATCACAAGGAGAAGGCCAACAGGAAGTAGTACAAACCCCCCTCTGTAGCCACTGTTAAAGGCCCCCACAAAGCATACACCACTCAACGAATCTCCATCAATCTGGGGAAAAAAAAGATATTAAATGTATAATTAAAATGTAGAAAAGTAGACAATAATTGTAGTTAAATTTATCATCATTGTTCAAATAGAACATCATATGCTAATAGATTGTCAGTTTCAGCCTTTCAATTTCTGAAGAAAATTATGAAACATTCAACCTTTCAACATAACCATGTTTACAGTAATTCTATTCAAAAGAAGCGACAATAAATACATGTACATAAACTGATGCAAAACACTCTCTCCAAAGGAAAAAAAAAAACAATTTCTTTTGCTCATTCTGTAATTTATAAACTGTACAATATACAGCTTATAGGATTATGACACACTGAAATACTGGTAAATTACAAAAATGGTTTTTCCTCCATCCTCTTGTAAACATAAAACCTAAATACCTTATTGAATCAACACATGTAAAAATCCTATCAAACCACCTGCCTGAAGGAAAACCCACCTCTGATACGGAAAGACAAACAATCGTTAGCACCAAGGGCACACACCAGCTGGCAATATGGAAGTACGATGTTTTATTTTTGAGATCGTCCCTCTGTGTTCCTAAGGCTCTGAAGGTCAGATACCAAGCAAAGGCCAGCATCACAAACCAGAAAGCACCAGCCATCATAAAATAGTAAACCAATATAAATACAATAGTACAGGAAGCCGTCTCTCCATTTCTACAAGATAAACGAGAAGTGTCAATCAAACATTAGCACATTTTCAAAAATAAACAAAATTATGCATTTTACCTTTTGAGGCCAGCTATGAACATTATTAGTGATACACATATTTTACTTGAACAAGGATACCATGAAAACTGCTAAAAGAAGATTTCACATAGAAAATTTACAGTTATGAAAGAAGATAAGGCATCTTTTAATGTCACCCTGAACAAAGTCATATATCACCTAATTTTCTCTGTAGGGGTTCTCACAGATAGCTTGGACTTAACAGAAATGTCGCTTTCATAATAATTACCAAATGTAATTGTGCATGCAACATTCAAAATGGCCCCCTTTGTCATGGAAACAGAGGAAGGTCAGTTTGAAGTGACTAAGATACAGCTTGCAATAGCAAAGTTTCTAGTTGAATGTTTGTTTTCCTTCTATTTAAACATATTATGTACTGCTAATAATGGCTGCTATTAATACTAACCCTAATTCAGGCTCTCCTCTGCGTATCGTACCATCTGACTTACACACAATGTCTGTGCGGGCATTCCCCGAGAACTGGGCCATCCATCCGATACTGCCCATGAAGAAGCAGGCATTGATGAAGAAGAGGATGAGAGCAGGGTAATGGCTGGCTGTTTTCCAATCAATGATAAAGGTCAACTGTCAATCAATAAGTAAAAATAAGGTCATAAATACACATAGCAAACTCAAAAGTATTCAGATTCCTTGTGCAATGAAAGCAAGAGGCTCATATGCTGAACTCTCACTTGAATCACACTGCATTCACATGGAGATAAAAAGAATTGACTGTACACTTGCAAAGGAAATATAAATTTGAAATTCTTACACACCATGGTATGTGTTTCAGTTAATTCATTCGAATGTTTCATTATATTTTATAAGTACAATGATATTAACTCATTTAACTGAATAAAGGAACAAGACTTATTTCTGAAAAGAACAATATGTTAATTGGTGAATTAATAAATAATTACAAAGGAAAAAATTCATTGACTGTATGCCTATACATTTCTTAAATGGCTGTGAAATAACCCACTCCCTTTTCCCCTAATCCTTCAAAGATCCCCCTATTTTAAAATTTCAGTTTAGTTCTCTCCAAAAGTGCAAGCATTAATGAAAGTTATAGTTTACTTATGGTTATAGCCCACTTTAAATTTTCAGATTAATTCACAGATATATTTTGTGTATCAATTTCCTAAAGAACAACCAAAACAACCCAAAACATTTCTGTAGCCTCATTAGATGTGGTAACGAGTGCACTGTTAAATGGATCATCCGCTTGTTAACTTTTTTTATTGTCAAATGACACTTAGCAAGCCACATATCTTTTGACAATTAAAAAAAATTAAGGCACTATAGTTAGAGAAAAAAAACAGTAACTAACTCACAAGTTACATGGGACCTATGTTTCTTACTTTTCTTAGATCACTTCAAGTATGAAACCTTACGAAACTTTAAAGGTAAACTACAATTTTAGCAGAAAGAATGAGGGGTTGATGACAGCAGCCAAAAAGACAAGTCACATACTTGCCCTCAGTTTCACTGGTAAACAAGGAGAATAAATAAATAATTTTAAACAATCTAATAGTATGAGTCAAACTGTGAACTGAGGAAAAAAAGAAAAAAAAAATCTGTGAACATGAAATCATAATACAGTTATACCCACCTATTCCTCTCTGATGCAAAGAAGAAACAGAAACAATATGATAAGTTTTATATAATTATGAGAAATCTATCTATGACATGATGGTGAATTCTTGTTAAGTTACTCTAAATAGAAATAAAAAGACAAGTATTCTTTTTAGTCACAAATTTTATACATTTTAGGCATATGTGTTTGTATATAGCAAAGAAACAAGCTCTTCTGATAAACTGTACAACCTATCACTTCTATTTGAAGCCTCGAAGTATCCTGTATATTTACATAAACTCTTGAAATTCCAATTCACACTCTGAGAACCCAAGATGATTCTAAGCCAGTTAGTACCTGAGAGTTGGTCATGGTGACCTACTTATCACTTGTCATTCTCTGAGGACCCATCAACTAAGTTTGATGATTCTAAGCCAATTAATACCTAAAATATTTTTTAAAATTATAATCATAAAATTTTATAAGTAGGTCAAAGTGACCTACTTTTCAATTGTTTTACTCCAAGGACCCAAGATGCATCAACTGACAAAGTTTGATGATTCTAAGCCAATTAGTACCTGTAATATTTAATTAAAGCCATAAATTTTCAAAAGTAGGTCACGGTGACCTACTTTTTAGTCGACCTACTCCGAAGACCCATGACGCATCAACTGACAAAGTTTGATGATTCTAAGCCAATTAGTACCCGAAATATTTAATTAAAGCCATAAATTTTCAAAAATAGGTCATGGTGACCTACTTTTTAGTTGATCTACTCTGAAGACCCAAGATGCATCAACTGACAAAGTTTGATGATTCTAAGCCAATTAGTACCTGAAATATTTAATTAACACCATAAATTTTCAAAAGTAGGTCACTGTGACCTACTTTTTAGTCGACCTACTCCGAAGACCCAAGATGCAGCAACTGACAAAGTTTGATGATTCTAAGCCAATTAGTACCTGAAATATTTAATTATAGTCATATAAATTCAAAAGTAGGTCACGGTGACCTACTTTTCAGTTGACCTTTTTTGAGGACCCAAGATGCATCAACTTACAAAGTTTTATGATCATAGGACTTAAAATGTCCAAATTATGCCTCTAAAACGCTTTGAAATCGAATGCCTGCAAAGTTCAGAAAGTAGGTCACTGTGACCTACTTTTTAATAAATATGTTTTATGGCCCCAAGATGCATCATCTTACAAGATTTAATGATTCTAAGCCTCCCCGTATTCGAATTAATGACCTTAATTGTTTTAAAAAAGATTAGCCATAAAATTCAAAAAGTAGGTCAAGGTGACCTACTTTTTAGTTGACGTATTTTGAGGACCCAAGATGCATCAACTGACAAAGTTTGATGATCATAGGCCTTAAATTGTTCAAAATATGCCTCTAAATCATTTTGAAAAAGAATGGCCGCAAAATTTAAAAAGTAGGTCACTGTGACCTACTTTTGAGTCAACATGAAATGAGGTCCTTAGATGCACCAACTGACAAGATTTGATGATCCTAGTCCTTATAGTAAGCAAAATATCAACATTTTAATAAAATGTAATTTTTGGTCAAATTTGAAGTGACCTTAAGACCACGCCCTTTGCCCCAGGGTAAATCCCCGTGCAAATTTTAATCTACAACATATCCTCATCCTTTTGTGTAAGTTTGGTGATAATCTGCCCAGTGGTTCTTGAGAAGAAGATTTTTAAGCAACCAGTACTTTTGTTTCTATTTTCCTAATTATCTCCCCTTGTTAAAGGGTCACAACCCCAGTTTTAGTATAAAAGGGAGCCCTTGGGCCAAGGATACCCTGTGACAAATTTGACAATAATTGGCCAAGGGGTTCTTGAGTTATGGCCCATATTCTAAAAAGTTTACGCACAACGCACACCGCACAAATGGCCATAGCATTAGCTCTTTGAGCCTTTGGCTCAGAAGAGCTAAAAAACATGCCCATATGAATCAGGCCAAAATGTAAGATAATTTGCTTACAAATATGTACAAGAAAATAAGGCAAGGGACTAAGCGATACCTTTACTTCTAAAGTGGACTCAAGCAGAAGTCATATCCTTAAGTATGCATATACATGTAAAGTAAATTATAAAATCTTATACATGTACTGCCAAAGTTAAGCAATCTTGGTATCTATGGTATACCCCAGAGAAATTGTCATAATTTGCTCTTTTTTTTTTTTTTTTTTTTTTTTTTTTTGCAAATACAGTTGAACTTTGGTATGTTAAATATCAATCTCTTGATTACCATGGATATGTCTTAGCTGGAAATCCAAACCACTTTTTCTTGATATTTTAACCTCAACATATGTCAAAGCCTCTGGAATCTGGAAGTTTTTTTCTCAGTCCAATTTAGTTGAAAATAACAAGGTTTGACTGTATATATATATATATATATATATATATCTACAGTCAAACCTTGTTATCTCCAACTCAATGGGACTGAGAAAAAACTTCGAGATATCCGAAGATTCGAGATATTGAGGGTAAAATACATAAAGAATTAGTGGTTGGGATCTCCAAATCACTTCGACATATCTATGGTGTTCGAGATGTCAGTGTTCAAGATACCTAAGTACAACTGTATATCCTAACCAGTATCTTTTCTAAATATGAAAGAATTTTACTTTCAAAAGTATAATCAGTCAAATAAATAAAAACACCTACCATAGTGAAGAGAGTGCAGGCAATACAGAGAGATCCGAACACAGCAATAAAGATGTGGACCTCATCATGCTCCGCTTCAGTGAAGAGTGGATTTTGGCACTGAATTCCACATCCCTCCACCTCACTGTACCAGCTCTTCTGGTTCTCAGTTCTGACCAGCGGAGAGTTACACTGACCAGTTGTATCAAAAGTGATGTCATCATAAGTGTGACTTTGACCCTAAAAATAAACATGTACAATCAACGACAGAGGTAAAAATATAAAATAATGTCATTAAATCCGAAAGATAGTATTCTAGTATGGGTTATTTTTTATTTTTTGAGGTTGTTTTTTTTTTTTAAAAGAAAACTGCAAGAAAGACTTTGTAGAGGGAACATTTATTACATTCAGAAAAGATCTTCAAACAGACAATAACTTTTGTCTCAAATCGTATGAAATTTCATAAAATTTTTCTGTTAATCTTCCTCTACCTGTTCATATGAAACAGAGATATGTATATCAAGTACAAATATGACATGTATATGTAAAAAAAAAAAGCGCTATTTTCTACAGGATTGTTTTGCAGGAACAAATTAACTATATATTTTGAGTGTTCTCAGTTAGAATTCCTAAATAGTAATCAGGTTAATCACATTAATTCTAATATTGTTTTATATTGAACTGAAAAGCAAAGCTAAACTGCTTCGTTACAATTTTTTTGAATGCTTCATCATGACACCATTGAGCTTGTCAATCAAACAGTACTTATAGCATATTTGTGGTATTATAAACAAAGGGATGTCATTCCCACAATTTTGGCTTGACTCCTGGTAAGTAGATCAGGTAGGCATATAGATATATCTATCAATAAACAAACTTAATGAACTATGGAAACAGAGTGACTCAGTTGAACCGAGGGAACTCCACCTATCACAGATACCATCCAAGGGTCTATTATTAACTCATCCCATTTTGTCAAAGGAGCATTGTTTGTGAGATTTAAATGCTCTCAGGAGTCGTGATCGCAAATATGGAATTTTAACCAACGTTGGTGAAAGCCAGAGCACACAAAAGACAAGATTTCCAATTTTTCCCATTATCTGTTGTTGAGAGGGATTTAAATTCAATCCAGTATCAAAGACTAAGTCAGCAAACATGTGCATTATGATTTTCATTTAATTTTTAGATATCAAATGTTTTAAAATTGATTTAATTTTTTGTTCATTTATAGACATGTGTATCCATGCATGCAGAATTGAAGGATAGCATAAACAAGATATTTGGCCATTTTATTTGACTGATCTCTTCCTGCAAATAAAATTCCTTTAAAAAAATACTTTGCTACATAATTTACAGTGTTTTAAATTCATCTTGATATAAATGACTGTACTAGTATCACATTATCATCCTAGAGAGGATTTTCAAAGGGAGCAAAAGCTTGCTTACTTTGCTGGCTTAAAAAGAACTCAAATATTATATTCTGTGCTTTCATGCAATCATGTGTCATTTTCTTACACACTGAATGTAGTAGACTGAAATACATTTCTTTTTAAATATTCCATAAAGGAAATATCTATTCCAAAAATACAATTAGCAATTTACCCATCCCTTGGTTGTTTCTTTTTTTGTTTTTTTTTTGTTTTTATTTTTTTTTTTTTAAAGAAAATGCAGACATAAAAATGACCTGTTTCTTTATACTACCAGTATATGAAATGCAGCTGGTGTTTTCTTTGTAAAGTATCTAAAGCTGAAGATAAGGCTAAGATACATTACAATTGCTTTGAAAAATTTAGTTAAAAATTTTAAATAGGGTCACTATGGTCAATGACTAAAATAATGAAAAAAAAATTACCGCACAACTTGTCAAGTTATCACAATCCAGAAATGATGGCCAGCCACTGATCTTCCTTACAATGTCACATGGAGCACGAGTTTTTAGACACAATTCTCTAGAAGGCCTTTCAGCAGTTAAGGTATTGTTGTTACATTTTGGCATGTAAACAGAACAAAGAAAAGGCTGAATGACTTCCCAGCACTTTGGAGCTGCTTTTAGACCACTCCATAACTTCAGCTTCTCAGTTGCTTCAGCAAGGGATGAGGCATCACTGGCAAAATGGAATGAGGTATAGGTGAACTCTGGATACAGGGCCGTTCCAAAGCAAGTGGTGGTGTTTGATAAAGGAGTGCAGGATGTAACACTTGTGTCAAAACATGAGGATCCAACATATTTGACAGTCTGTACTAGCACCAGTATTGAAGAGGCAATGTTAAATTTCATATTGATAAGTAAGGTTTCAGGTATTGGTCCAAAATTAATTTGCAATACACTCTTGGACTTTGTTCAGTTCTTTTGCTTCTTGACATGGTCATCAAATCTAGTCATCAGTGACTTTTAGGGATGGAATTCTGCCTGGGTATATTACTGTGTTACATCTTCTGCTAAGAAAATGATCTTCAGCCCAAAACATGTCCCTAGAAAAACATTATTATTGTAATTGATACAAAGAACATATATTGTACTAAACAGCTGAAAAAGTTTTTTTTTTTCTCAGACTGGTTATTGCTCAAATGATGGACGCTAGGAAAGGGCAAAAAATCTGCATTCTATGCATATTTCCTAAAGAGTATTACATAAACATTTAAATACTATACTGTGATACTTGATGTAGTTTCAAAGCCTTGCAATAAACAAATACAATTTTTTTTTTTCAATTTTTACATGCATTAGAAATTAAATTGCCCGCCAAGTTCGACATTCATAAATGTAACATGCCAATAAATTTAAATACATATTGACGACCAGTATGGACTAATCTCACAAGTCAACAATAGTTTTGATAAGCTTGTGTTGTACCTACCTGTGTTGCACTATTGACCTACATATTGAATACACAAAAAGTACCACGTGGTTTGAAAACTTCCGGAGTTTTGGGGGAGGTGTTTGTAGACCATGAAGACAGATAAACTTTACTTGATGCCATGTAGTCTAAAAATTTATATTATTATTATCATGTATTATTATATATTTTTTTTCCAAATCATGTATACCAAAATATATTTAATAATGTCCTTGGGGAAGAAAAAAAATAAGTAGAATAATGAATTCTCATTAACGACTAATATCTGAATATACGGAAATGGATTTCAAGAGATGGAAATAATTTCATTCTTTCAAAAAAAAATATATATATTTATGCAAAATTCTTGTTTATAATATAAAAATAGATTTTTGATCTGTATAACGAATCTTGTTGTAATACATAATAATTATCTGATAAATAAAACGAAAATTCAATGTAACTTTATTTTGTAGGTCCTATGTAGATATTGGTATCTGATCATGTAATTGTTTAACTGTTTGATAAAGAGTCAAGTTTAGTCGTAGTTAAGAGATAGGGTCTAGCTTGTTGCATCTATTTTTTCCCTCTGTGAAATGATGATATTATTAAAGATTCTGCCTTTGCAGGATCCTTCCGTATATTAGTTGCAACTAATATGGCAGCCTTTATAAACATGTGTACTCGTCTAAGACAAACTTTATTGTCAATCGCAACAACCAGATAAAAAAAAAGAAACGGTAAATCTTACATGTTAACTTTCAAAACACATGTAGGTTGATATTGTGCGTAAAATTAGCTCAATTAACCCTTGAATCTTTTTCCTGGAACATGTCCTATTCTAAATTGATCAATCCAAAAAAGAAGAGACGGGTGTTTGCCACAAAAGAATCACCGTTCCCTGTTCCTATAGCAAGCATTACTAGGGAATCAACCTCTGAGAAGCAATGGTTGTATTACACGGGAAATCTAGTGGGGAACCAGGTTATGGTCCACCACTCAGGAGATATCAATTTTTTGTATAAAATGGTTAGTAGATCATTAACAATTCAGTATGTTATGTGATTATAGAATTAAGAGATCACATGTACCAAGGTTCCGTGAAGTTCAAAAAATTAAAGCTTAGACAAGAAAAAAAATCACTTCTAGTTTTTAGCATGTCTTTCATGTTAAATATCGTACCTAAGTTTTGTCTAATTGTTAATTAGTACACATTTTCATGAAGGCATACATATATGCTACATAATATTTAAGAGGATAAAAAAATATTTTATTGCTGTGCTAGGAAAAGTCATTTTTATATGCTATAAAAAATGCAGAGAAATTATATATTTTTTTATTAAGAAAAAAAGAGCTACATGCATGCTCAATAAAGCTGAAAAAAAAGTAGCTGCAAAGAAAAATTTGCTTTATTTATAAGAATTTGAATATACTAATTGCACATTTTAGGGATTTTTTGGCAAGGGAACCCTGTCCAGAAGTAAACCAGAGTTCAATCAAAGATGTAAGCTGGTTTCTCTCCCTAAGTGTGATGGAGAGATCAACACATACAGAGTGACCAGTAGGAGAAGGTACAGGTCATCTGTTATGATGTACTCCTCACAAACCCTTGGTCTTTTGGGATTGTTTACATCACATGATCTCAAATTTTACTTCAAACATTTAGCTTGCATCCTTGATAAAAACATAGAGCCTTTTATAATGATATGGGCTGTGGATATTGACCTTGGTAGCTTAATTGGTAGAGCACCTGACTAGTGATTCAGCAGACCCAGGTTTGAATCATGGTCTGGTCCATTGCATTTTCCTCCTTTCTTGTTACATAATTTGGTGCAGTTGACCACCCCTGGACTTGTAGGTGGAAGTCCATCCAGGGGGTAAAAAGAACTTGGGTTGTGTCTTTGAGGGCAAAGACAATTTTAGGAGGGAGGAATGTAATGGTGTGGGCTATGGATATTAGCTCTGGATATCTCAGTTAGTAGAGCACCTCAATAATGATGCAGGGTTCACAGGTTCAATTCCCGGTCCAACCATGCATTTTCTCCTTTTCTGTTACACTTTTTGAAGAATTCAAAAAGTATGGAATATTCAAAAAACAGGTTCCAAGCCCTGTTTATTTGTTGTTTAGGGTGCAAGTCTATATCTGCAAGGTATAATGGGAGTAGTTTTATCATTTTATTTTGTGTATCTTTTTCATCTTTTACTACCTGTGAGTTGATGTTATTCTTGTACTAGTGATATCCATCTTCTTTGATTATTCTTTCTTTTCATTCTGGGAGTAGATACTTTATGTGCCTTAAATATTATTGATAATATACTTCTTCAAATTTAAATTTTGCCAAACTCCTTCATAAATTCCAGCTACTTAAGGAGACTTAATTGGCAGAATGCCAAGTCAGGTGACCCGGAACTTGAAGAATATGACAGTTCACAGGAAGTGGAATTCTTGGATGATGAAATAAATCATGAGGAAGGAGAAACAGAGAATGATATGCATGTAGATACACCATCAAGTAATAAGGATAACAAGGAAAGTAATAATCAAGGTAAATTTCAAATGAGGATTCAGTAATACACTTTGACTAAGAGTTGCATGCTTATTAGTCCCCTACCAGTGAAACCGGAGGGGATTATAGGTTTCCACTGAGTCTGTCCGTCCGTCTGTCTGTCTGTCCCACTTGGTTTTCCGCACTTTTTTCCTAAACGCTTGCAGATATTGAGCTGATTTTTGGTATGTGAGTGTATCTTGATGAGTTACAGATCAAGTTTGCATTTCGTTCCGCTTCATTGATTTTTGACGGAATTATGGCCTTTTCAATTTTTAAGGGTTTTCCGCAATTTTCTTCTAAACGCTTTCAGATATTGAGCTGATTTTTGGTATGTGACTTTACCTTGATTAGTTATAGATCAAGTTTGCATTTCATCCCGCTTCATTGATTTTTGACGGAATTATGGTATTTTCAATTCTTAATGGGAACCAGATTACACTTACCGGTAGGGGACTAGTATTGCTAATGCAATACTCTCAGAATGCTTGTTAGTTTTATTTCACCCTAAATATTACTGGTTTTTGGATAGCCAGAATTATGAGGAGGACAGGGGGATTTAAATTCTGTTTTAATGACATAAACTGTAAAGTTTATTTGTATAACATTTTTTTTTTAATATTCTTCCAATCACCATATCTTTTATTGAAATTATTTGATTTTATGTATTATTACTCTATTTAGTGCCTGTCAAAAAACCCTATAAAATATACATTAACACCACAATTCAGACATAAAATAGTCAATAAATTTGCATGAAATATACTAGATTAACAGTACATAGATTATATGAATGTTTGCTGCCTAACTAATTTACTATGCTATAAATAAAAATCAGAATCAAATAGGAAATACATTTACATAGACATACATGTATTAGGTAAATAGAATTCATTTTTCGTCATATTTGTTAAACATTACTATGAATCTTTTTACATGTGGATCTTCTATTCTAAAGGTACTGTACAGCTGTAGCTGCAGATCTGTAGCTCACTAGTCTAAAAAATAACAAAATATTTAATCATCATATATTCAATATTTAAAATCTCAGGTAAAGATTTGATTGGTCCAGTAACCAACCAATCATTTGAAGGGAATGAATGGTCAGCAGCTGTGGAATCATGGGATAAGGCAGAAGCAGATGAGGATTTCTGGGGTGTGGATCCAACAGAGGAAACCAACAAAAACCAATCCTCATCAAATTTAAGAACAATAACTAATGATTTGACAGGTAAAAGAAAAAGAGTAGATGAATGGGAAGATTCCAGGGAAGATGTTGACTTCTGGTGTAGTGAAACTTCAAATGTTCTCTCTAATCAAGACAAAGATGCATCAAGTTCTCAAACTAAAATCATCCCATCAAAGGATTTTTCTCTGAATTCTGCTGCTGAAGAAAATGTACAGGTAGATGAAGAACTTTCGGAATTGGTGCCAAATGTTGGAAACCATGACATAAATAAACAGACTGAAATTTCTCATAGGAATTTAACTGAAACAACTGAGATGGATACAATGAATGTTCAAACTGGTCCAGATAAAGAATTAACTGATAAAAAGGGAGATGAACAAGGTGATCCATTGTGCGAGTCTGACGAGGAAGATGGAGAGTTGTTTGTGATGGAGGATTCTGAAAATGAAAGTGAAAATAGGAAAAGGAAATGGAAAGAACTGTCATGGAAACCAGTGGTTAAAGAAGATCCTTACTATATCAAAGAATTCTTACACCTTACTTTCCAAGAGGTGATCATCAATTATTCAGTTTGCTACTGCTTCTTTAATCTATGCTTAATGTCTTCTGGTAGTTCAGACATGTCTATTAAATAAGGAAATGTACTAAATAATTGTTCCAATGTAAAGAATATCTGTGTACCGTGTGCATAATTTCCAGGTAATCAACATTCACACTTCTGGTTTCTTTAACAGAGTTTCTATTTGGCCTATGGACTTGGATGTCTACGAGTATACGAAAATGACAAGGTATGTTGAAATGTTGAACAAAAAATTTAGGCACATCTGTGCTATTGATATGAATGTTAAGTATTTGAACAGGTACAATGGGTTCATCATTAATAGATATCATGCAAGATAGTTGTCCTTGTGTGTTACATACATTTGTCAGTCACTCTACAACACATGTACTAAAGAATACCTGGTAGATTGAGTCAGAGTTGACATGCATGAAATATAGTAATCCATAAATTCAGCACAGGAAATAATGGGTTAATCGTGTATATTTTTTTTTTTTTACAGCTTTTGAATTTGTCAGAGATGTGGGGGATATTTTGTCAAAGACAAAACAGATTTGTCTCCCTTTATGTAGCATACCATTACTTCAGAAGTAAAGGATGGGTTCCAAAAACTGGACTGAAATTTGGAGCAGATTTTAGTTTGTATTATTTGATACAAATCAAGTAGATTATAAGTTAATATATGCACATATTTAGATACAAATGTTTCATTCTTGTCTTTGTACATAAAAATTTTGACAGAAGTTTAATATAAACTTGGCTTTGCCTTTGTGAATGGCCAAATTTTGTATAGACATTGTTAACTTACTAGTACCAGTGCTGCAATGACTGATGAGCTACATTTCTTGGCTTTCTACTTTGCAGTAATATACAAGGAGGGTCCACCATTCTACCATGGTAGTTACTCTGTGCTGGTGAAAATGGTAGATGAGAATTTAGTCGAGGAGGAAAACTCACGAACTTTGACCTGGACACAGCTGGCTGGGTTGAATCGCCTGACTGAACATGTAGCCAAGGTGAGCCAACATGCTGTAGATGTTTCTAACTAAAGGCTATGTAATTTTCATGTCATTATGGTTAAGTCTCAGAACACATCAAAGTTTTAGATTCAAGAAAGGATTTGTTTTCTCATATAACCAGTGTTTTCTGTTGTAGGAACTGATGATATGCTACGTAATCAGACCTTCACACCTCACACAATCTGACCTCATGTCATCTCCCAGAGTTATCAGTCAATTCAAGGTTAAGGTACTGTAAATACTGTCATTTGATTGTAAATACTTGTATATATAAATTTGCAAAAACTATTTTTCCTATAACACTTACCGAATCTGACCATTGACTTGTTCAAAATTAAACACAGTTCTTGCTTTAATTTAAGCATTGAATGCTTATATTTGGATGTTGTCGGTACTATAACAGCACCTGGCCATGCCAACAAATTGAATGGCATTAGCATGGTATGACAATTTGTCGACACAGATAGATGCTGTTATAGGAATGATGACATCCAAAAATAAGCACTCAATGCTTATATTTACATTCTCTAGTTTTCTTTCTTCATAATTGTTAATTTCGTTAATTTTATTATGAATTTAGCACCTTTCAGAACTTGTGCTTAATAGACGTAAGAACCATTGTGAGGTGGAAAGTTAAATAATGCAAATGAATATTGTGAGGTGAAAAAATGACAAAGTAACAATTGTTATATTTTTACAATAATTAACAGGGTAATTGTTTTTAATTAAATTGAGCCATAACAATATACATTTTGGTATTCCTTGAGTATTGAAAATGCATATAGTTCCTACTGTGTATTCTACCAAGATTTTAACAAGGTTTCGCATGTGTTATAGGGAATCAAATGTAAATATATGGAATGAAAATTACACTGAATGTATATAAATATATGGAGTACACTACCAGATGATGGTGATCTTTGGTGATTATTTTAATACATTCACACTTTTAGTTTTAAACTCTGACTTATAGATAATTTCATTTACCAGTACATTTTCTGTTTTATATTTAGGAGATGGTTGTTTCACGCTGGGTTTCCTCCCAGGAAAGAGAGTCCAAGAATTTAGAAGAAATACCTTGACCTTATTTTTAATGACAATTAATTACTGTGCAATAAATTTGAGACCTTTGTTGCTTTCACATAGTGAAAGATGTCCACTGTTATTTATGAATTAAATTATTTCAAATTAAATGTTAAGTTTCTGGCTGCAAAATATGTCTTTCCAATTACACAGATTTATGTGATAAAAATATATATTATTGCACCATTTTTTAAAGGCGTTGCATAACACCCTAAAAGGATTTGTTATGAAATTAGAATATTTTTAAATAAATAGATACATGGACATTGAAATCAATTAATTAGAATTCTAAAAAAAATATCCTCAATTTTTTAATAAAGAAATTTAGTGTTTGAGTATACATATTATTATAGTACATTCTCTAGGGCATAGTCTTGTATCAAGGTTGATATTATTGTCTAATTGATGATATTGAGAAATAAAACACAATGCATTTACTTCATAGAGATATTTTCATTTCTGCATAGCCAAAAAAGTACAACAGTGCTCTCAGGGGTCAGATACTCTTTCTGAGAAGTGGAACTCAAACTTTATTACATACATTTATGTTATAAAAGACAATGAATTGGATGAATGTGAATCTCCTCTATTGAAAGAATGAATTACTTCCTACGCAATGATGTGTTGATATCATGAAATCAATGCATATGAACACATACTTTGACAATACAGCCCCAATATTTAGTCCAGTCAATAAAGCGAAATGTCAAACTAATTGCAACATAAATGATTTTGTCATAAATTAAATCTAACGTACAAAATATCTGCAGTAAAAAATCTAAGCCAATCTAATGAGCAATTGTGGCATGATTTAGCTTTAGGAATTACAATAAAAAAGGGGAATAACTCTGCAAGTCCATCCAAAGTTTTGCTGAAGTAATTAAAATAAAATTCCTGTTTTTCATGATAATCTGATTCAAATTTTTCTGATACAGCTCAATAAATCATCATTTTACATAGATTATATAAATTTGAAACAGATATTTTTAATTTGTAATGTCATATTTTTTGCTAATTTGGAAATAGCATTTCTAATAGATAGTGAATACAGAGTTTAAAAAAGAAAAAAAATGCCTCAGATTACGATTTAGCATGCATGGATAATTTCATTTGGGTATTTAAATAATAAATATAATAATAATAAAAAATATCCATAAAGATTTAGAAACAAAATTTGACCTATGTTTTGATAACTCTGCCCTAAATTTTTTATTATACCAGTAATTGCGAGGCAAAGAAATACAACATACACTCTGAAGTGAGCCTAAACATCTATAAAAAAAATCCTTGGGTATAAAAGGTTTTACTGCATCTTTAAATGTCATTATACACAGTTTAATGCACTTCCTCTTTCTGCAAGTTAGAAAAATACACCAAAATTTTAATTAAATTTACAAATTTGATAAGAGTTATGCCCCTTTCTTCCAGTAGTTTTTTTTTTCATAGAAAATTTATGAACCCAAAACCCCTCATCCAATTTTGTTCAGTTTTTCTTTACTGTATGACTACTCTGTGGCTTAATCTTTGATCTAAGAGGCATTAATTGATCTTTCTAATTTGAAGACTACCGGTACTTGAGAAAGCCTTATCACAGGTTTGCATGATCTGTTTAAACAACAACCATTTTCTTTCCAATTTTGTTTGAATGATAGATTGGTCCATTTTACTGGTAATTTGATCAAGTAGGTTCAGTGTTTCTGGAGAAAACAAAATAAAATAAACTTAGAAGTCAAGGACATAGCAAAAAGTAGACAACCTTTGATAAAAAAAAAAAACTCATTTCAGCTCTCAGCTCACAGGTAATTTTGATATTCTGCAGGTAAAGCACAGAAACAAGATACTGTGTATTTCAATTAATGTTTGTGAATTTAATATCAAAATTACAAATAGAGTTTTCATACAAGATGAATATATATTTGATAATGTAATTGTAAATATTAACGTAAGTTGCACACCATTGCATTTGTGAAATCTTTTATGATAGTGGGTGATATAAAGTTGGGGAAACAAGTTCACTTGTGAGTGATAATTTTTTTGTCTTTTTGAAAACATCTGTACTCTGGTAATGAATCCGGATAATTCAAGGACTTGTAGCTTCTTTGATGAAGTAAGGTACTTTTCTGTGTTGTAGCCACTCCCCCAATAGATGATCCTCTGCTTGGAATATCACCTCCAGCACAAACTGATCAATAGAAAAACAGAATCACTGACTAATAGAAAAACGGAACCAGTGAAAAACATAATTACTGACCAATAGAAAAACAGAACCAGTGAAATTAAATCTGCATGATAATTTTTCAATAAAAAATATTGTTTGATATAAGGCATTGCAAACTTGTGCTGTGACAACAGAATAGTACGTTGCAAACACCTCCCCCCCCCCCCCCCCCCCCCAAAAAAAAAAGATACTGAAGGTCTGATGACATGTTGCTCAAATATCTGTTTTGTATTTTGTATCTCTTCGTAACATTCAACAAATTAATCAAAACTATCATTATCTTACGATTTTTAAACTCACCAAAAGTCACCAAAAAATTGTGATAGTGGCAATGCTAGTGATTTCCAGTAGGATTATATAGTACATAACATCCCCTGGTATCTTGCGCAAATGCCTAGTAAGGTATCGTAATTTTTTGTGAGGAAACTTGTTAAAGTAGCAATAGTTCAATGACAAATTCTTGGAAAAAATTATACATTATTGAGGAACATTTCATCTGACCTTAAAATTTGTAATTAACACTGTAAACATGGAATGTCAGAGTAACTTAAACAATGTATGAAAGAAGAAAATTTTTTGTATAAACATACATTGAAAGTCAGTTCCTTTGTACATGTATTGCATTAAGTAGAAACATAAAAAGAAGCCACATATGTAAGGTGTGGAATCATTAAAATTCCTGGGGGCCAATTGTTGTGGATTGCTTAAATTTTCCAGGTTCATGGGGACATAATTTCATGTACCAGTATTCTCTTATACCTACAAAAGGAAATTTGACTTTGTTATCCTACTTTATTAATTTGATAATGTGGAGGATATTAATTTATGGATGAGAGGTACCTACAAATTCCATGAAAATTGAGCTACCACAAAATCTGTTGATTCCACAGTATTGCATGAATATGAGTAAAAAATTTTCAGGAAATATATTTAGTCTCCCCTTTTTTCATTCTTGAAGTTTTCCAATGCCTAAAGTTGTGTCTACTTTTTTGTGTGTGTGTGTTTTTTTTTAATTGTTTTTTAAATTTTTTTTTTTGAGGGGGGGGGGGGGGGGGAGGGGGGCACAGTTCATTTACTGACCTTCAGTCCTCTCTGTACAGGGATTGTAAATAACTCGCTTGCAGGAAGTGACATCAACAGCAAACATAACTTAGCCTGTAAAGTTTGTAAAAAAAAAAATGTAAAATTTTCTCTCAAGAATGTTTGATACATCAATAATTTTATTCTTACATCCTTTGAAATAGAAAAAAAACCGTCATCATGCATAAATAACATTGTTATATCCATATTCATATGAGTTGTTTCCCCTGTACTGCATAACACTGTTATTTCTGTTTCTGCTGTCATATCATACCTTAGCTGATGGAATGCTTTTGCTGTCGATGGTGGAGTATCGTCCTATTTCCTGGAGTGTTTTATTTATTTCCTCATCTTGATGCCCCAGGATAGAATAAGTTTTCTCCTGTAGGTCTTCAAACCTGTGGAAATATGTGACTGCATGATTTTGAAATTAGAACTGGAAGAAATACCTCGTTATTTATAATAGCTTTTATACAAGAAGAAAGCTTGATTTTAACAAATATTTTATCTCTGCTGTATATCAAAAGTCTGTACAATATTTAGAATATATATCTACTTGTAGATTGATAATTACATGTTTATCAATATTTACATTTCCAAATATTTTTCCTTAAGATTCTTAGTAAATTAGAAGACTGTTCATTTCTCATGAACTACCGTGAGATGAGCATGAATATCTCCATTGTTACGTCATAATACCGCACTCTACGTCAAAACTATAGTGCAAACTGTTTTGCTTAATAAAATGACAGTTGAATAGTGTAATTTGTTGTGACTCGTCAGAAAAATAATGTAAATATAAGAAATGAATTTAATTTTTGAAAATTCATGAGGTACATGAACTACTATGCTTCACGCTGGCATATTTATCATGAAGCACTAACATGCTTCATGAAATATGCCGGCGTGAAGCGTCGTAGTTCATGTCCTCATGAATCTTCAAAAATTAAATTCATTTCTTAAGTGTCTTGCATCTGCTGGTAATCAGTAATTGATGTTTACATAAAAAAATTAACTTTCTTAAAAAAAAAAGCTGTAAAATATATAACAATGATGATAATCATACCATCTTAATGGTGGGACATCAGTTATAGCCATATTCCTGTGAGTTGTTCCCCCTGTGACACAGCCATTTAACCTACTTCGGTGTACCTCAAAAAGTGGACTCATGTCCTCAAATTCTCCATATTTCATCTTGAAGACAGCTAACATTTCTCTGCAGTGAACAAAAATTAAGATATTACTAGTGGTTAGAAAATTAGAAACTTGTATGCATATCATTACCTATATACCAGTAATAACTGTGTATTTAGATTATTTAACACACTAACACAGTTGATGCAAAATATAAAACACTGTAAAAGATTAATATAAAAAAAAAATTTGGACAAGATTTTACTTAATTCTCTCATTATACATGTATATGGAGAAAGATAGGGCTGGGATGATATACTGAAATATCAATGATCGATTTTGTTAGGGAACAATACATGTATCGGTACATTTTTAGAAATATTGGTCCACAAAACACACCCCCCTTACTTAATTTTATAATCCAATCTAATTATAATTATTTTGATATGCATAGCTAATATGAATAAAAATATTCTTATATATATTGTTTTTTCAATACAAAATAAAAATTTCAAAAATAATTGAAAATATCATAATGCATACTGTAGATGTACTTGAGGAATTAATTATCACGTAATTTTGCAAGAAATACCAGTCACGAAATAAACTCACCCTGCCATGCTTACTTCTAATTTGCTGATATACATTTATATGTAATATTTCTTCATATTTATTATTTTTTGTGAAATTAAGTACTCAATTAATATTAGGAATTTACAGTATTGTATCGTGACACAAATATTGTAATACATATTGATACAGAAAAAAATGTATCATCCCAGCCCTAGAGAAGGACAATTCCAATATGAAATTGTTATTGTTTATTCAACACTAATTTCATTTAGTCATAATGTCTTTTTTTTTTCATTAGGCCCAAAAAAAAGTCTTGCTTTCTGCTACCAGCCTGAAAAAAATAGGGTAGGTAGGTAGGAAAATTATTTATTTTATTTTTTTATTTTATTTTTTCCTGACAGCAATTTCTGGATATGAACTAATACAAGATCAAATTAAACATGTCATGGGTCAAAATCGTCTTTTAAAATTAAATTCGATGTCTTTTGATGCAAAACTCAAGTGTTGTTTTTTTTTTGCCTTACCTGTCTATTTTTTGTAATTCTTCCTCTAAATCTTTGTGTAGATCATGTTTGACTTTGAGGAAGGACCTTTTGTCATTAGAAACTATGTTCTCAGGTTGTAATGTTTCTCTAAAAATACAAGGAATATTATACAAGTCAATTAGTCAAAGCAAATGTTATAATACATTGCATGGTTTTATTTAATGTATATCTATTTACAATGCTTAGAACTGGTCATTGCATTTTAAAGTACTGTACGTAGAAGGAAACCAATGTTAACGTTGTTTTAAAGTTAAGTTCAATGTATAGGTTTCAATGTTGATAAACCAGTACTTTCACAATGAAGTTGAACATTATCAACATTATCTTAACAAGGAATCAACATTAAAGATGCAACATCATATCAAAATTATTCAACTACCAGGTAAGTTAATTCAACTTTGCACTTTAAGTATAAATATTTTTTTTCTCTATGTTAATTCAGAGTCAATGTTCAAGACCCAAAGTTGTTTTAATGTCCTTAAATCCCAGTTGGATATCAATACAGGTCTTTCAGATGTTTTTAGCTCACCTGAGCCGAAGGCTCCAGTGAGCTTTTCTGTTCAAAAAGTGTCCATCTTTCGTCTGTCTATCTGTCATGTGTCGTCTGTAAACTTTTCACATTTTCGACTTCCTATCCAGAACTTCTGGGCCAGTTTCATCCAAACTTGTCACGAAGCATCCTTGGGTAAAAGGGATTTAAATTTGTGCACAGGAAGTGCCATGCTCTCTTTCAAGGGGGAGATAATTAAAAATTCTTGAAAATTTTGGTGGCTAGGGTTTTCAGAGAGGATGGATCCATATAAGGAAACTAGCACAGCTTTTAGTACACACTTTGTAAAACCATCTGATCAAATTTAAACAATATAATTAATAAAATTTGTGTCCCACACAGGAAAAAAGAAGAGGATGGAAGATCTGAAAAAATATGCAGATGAAGAAAGAAACAAGAGGAGGATGGAAGATCTGAAAAAATATGCAGATGAAGAAAGAAACAAGAGGCCCATGGGCCATATCGCTCACCTGAGTAACTTTGGCCATGCTGTTCTTTACCAGATTTCCCACCTTGTAATACCTATTGTGGCCCTGTCCATCCCCTGGGGGTCATGATTTGAACAATTAAGAATCTACACTACTCCAGGATACTTCCACATAAGTTTCAGCTTCTCTGGCCCAGTGGTTCTTGAGAAGAAGATTTTTAAAGATTTTTCCTGTATATTTCAATGTAAAACTTGGATTCCCTATTGTGGCCCCGCCCTACCCCCGGGGATCATGATTTTAACAATTTAGAATCTACACTACCCCTGGATACTTCCACATAAGTTTCAGCTTCTCTGGCCCAGTGGTTCTTGAGAAGAAGATTTTTAAAGATTTTTCCTATATATTTCAATGTAAAACTTGGATTCCCTATTGTAGCCCCGCCCTACCCCTGGGGGTCATGATTTTAACAATTTAGAATCTACACTACCCCAGGATGCTTCCACTTAAGTTTCAGCTTTTCTGGCCCAGTGGTTCTTGAGAAAAAGATTTTTAAAGATTTTTTTTTATATATTTCAATGTAAAACTTGGATTCCCTATTGTGGCCTCGCCCATCCCCCGGGGGTCATGATTTTAACAATTTAAAATCTACACTATCCCAGGATGCTTCCACTTAAGTTTCAGCATTTCTGGCCCAGTGGTTCTTGAGAAGATGATTTTTAAAGATTTTTCCTATATATTTCAATGTAAAACTTCGGATTCCCTATTGTAGCCCCGCCTTACCCCCGGGGGTCATGATTTTAACAATTTAGAATCTACACTACCCCAGGATGCTTCCACATAAGTTTCAGCTTCTCTGGCCCAGTGGTTCTTGAGAAGAAGATTTTTAAAGATTTTTCCTATGTATTTCAATGTAAAACTTGGATTCCCTATTGTGGCCCCGGATACTTTGTACCAAGTTTGGTTAAAATTGGCCCAGTGGTTCTTGAGAAGAAGTTGAAAATGTGAAAAGTTTACAGACGGACGGACGGAGGACGGACAACGGGTGATCAGAAAAGCTCACTTGAGCTTTCAGCTCAGGTGAGCTAAAAAACGTCAACCTTAACCTTTCAACTTTTAAGTCATTAGGGGTCTTTTTTTAAAGAAATTCTTAAGTTTCGTTGCAAAAGCTTAAAAAGAACTTACAGAACTTACAGATAAAGTTATCATCTGAAAACTTTGTGTGTAATATATAAACTTCTTCTATTTGGCATGCATTTTTTAAACTTATTATTTTTTTTTATTATTATTTCTTCTTTGTTTTTTTTTTGTTTTGTTTTGATTAGGAAGTGTCTTAGTGTTGTTCAAATTATTATTCTGCAATGAAACCGGTATCTTTCTCTCACAATCACATTGGGTGAGAAAGTACGTTTTACAAGGATTGAGTTCACTGACCTAGGTCTTTGACCTTTTGATCTCAAAATCATTAGGAGTCTTTTTTTTTTAATGTCATATAGACTTAAGTTACAAAATTTCATAGCAAAACCTCCAAGAGAAAACTGTAAAAAAAAGTGGAAACTTCTGGAAACTAATATTTGCAATGTATGAATTTCTGACCTTGACTTTTGGATTTCAAAATCAATAGGGGTCGATCTTCTTTAAGCAGTAGAGAGTTGTGATATAAAATTTCATTGCAAAAGCTCAAAGATTTTTTAAGATATTGCCAGGAAACAAAGGTGTTACACACAAACAGATTGACACATAGAATGACAGACTAAAATTAAATCCCCACTTTCAGTGAAAGCTGAGGACAAATATTTCAGCCAATATCCTGTGCCTTGTCCGTGCCTCGACCATTTTTTGCCATGGCTTTCTACAGATACATGTTTTACATAGGACCAGGATTGCTACAGTCGCAGGTTTCTGGAGGCTGAAGCTGTGCCTGTGCCATGTCTAAGCCACCAGGATTGTTTGATATGGAGATGCAGATATGTGCCTCTCTCTGACATTAATGAACTAAACATTTAAAATTTATTAAATCAACCATACTTTTTCTTTTTCTCCTGTAAACTTTTAGGAATTTTGTCCATGGCTACCAGTTGCCAGATAGGCAGTTTTTTGGTGTGTATGGGGCCTGTGTTTCTGTGATGATCAGCTGCCAGTAAGTCCTTGCGTATCTTGCTCTGTATGTGGGTGGGGCCAGTGGACGTCTCAGTCCGGGACAGTTCAGTGTTTTCAGTGATGGTCATTGTAGACTCTACCTGGGGTGTAATTGCCCTCCTCCTACAATAATGAATGAACAAATACTGGATTAGTATATACTTGATACATGAGAAAACATACAAACACTTTTTTGAAGCAAGAAAAGTGAGGTTATAAAGTCCCCAAAGTCACACACCCGAGTCACAAGACTGTGACAAAAACTTATTTTGCCAAAGTTGAACTTGTACGGTATTTCATGATCCTCCCATATATTACATGTACTTCACTTCACTGAAGCCCAAATTGTTTCTCCTTTACATTTCAGGAATAATTTCTTTACATTTCTTAACCCCCCTTCAAAAAAAAATCCTCTATCTTTTAGAATTAATGACTTCTTCGATTGAAAATCATCCAAATAAATGGTATGGAGAGGCATGATAAAAAAAAAAAAATGTGTGAGCTTAAAGAAAAACTGTCATCATCATAGTCTAAGATCATTTATACATCCGACTCAAGCAAGTGTGAGCTAAAAATTGTTCTTTAATTATCATATCAATTTTTCAAAGATTTTTTTTTTCATTTAGATCTTTCCTGGAATATTGTTTTATTTCATATTTAGATTGGATAATCAAGATAAATGTATTGAATTTATTTATTTAATATTTATTAACGACTACTAATACACATAATGTATGTTTTTCCTCTAACCTGCTCCACAACAGAGCTTTCATTAGGATCCTAGACTGTAGAGTTAAATCCACTGTCTTCTTTGGTTCCTCTAGGTTTATAAGATCCTCCCAAGTCTCCACAATGGGGCCCTGCTGCTGAGGCTGCTGAATCTTACTCACCCCACCCCACATTGTCTTCCTGACACAAAATGCAATAATATTCCATCATTAAAATCAAACTAAACAAGCTAATTCAGAGAATTTGTGTCCACCGCTTATGGAAAAAAGAAGATCATGTACAGTTCGGGGGGTTTGGGTCGGACTCCCTCCCTCCCCCCCCCCCCCCTTTGATTTGTAGAATTATTAAATGTATACATGATACATGTATATTGAAGCAAATAAAAAATGCCAATATGGATATAAAGATTTGATTGCTTATTCTTTAGTATGTGTAAAGAAGATTCTTTTTGTATAGAATATTTATCACACTGTAATAATGATTTTATGAGTTTGTACATGCCAGACGTCATAACTTTTTCATTTCACATGCTGATTACTCTCATTTATATAGTACATCCCAAAAAAGAAAAATCCCCCCCCCCCCCCAAAAGGATCGACCGGGATTTGAACCTGGGGCCTCTCACATGCTAAACAAGAGTCATACCCCTAGACCATGGAGGTACTTCAATATACAGCAAATTATATTCACATTTGATTTTGTCAAAATTTTACACAATAAATGGTGTCTAATTTAGCCTTTACTAAACAGTTCTAATAGATGTATAATTAGAATATAAAGTCCGCCGACAACCTGTATTATACGTAATAACTCTCCACATGCCCCTGTGCTAAAAATATTGCCAAGCGACTTTTAATAGAATTAATAAAAAAAAAAGGGACGGGACACTTTGAGAGGGACGAGAGAGGCCATGGGGAGTTATGGTATAAAATTTCATTGCAAAAGCTCAAAAGTTTCTTGAGATATGTCCAGGAAACGAAAGTGTTACACACAGACGCAATGTATGAATTTACGACCTGAACTTTGACCTTTTGATCTCAAAATCAATATGGTCTTCTTTAAGCCTAAGGGAGTGGTTGTGTAAAATTTCATTGCAAAAGCTCAAAGGATTCTCGAGATATCGCGTGGAAACGAAAGTGTTAAAACAGACAGAATTTATTAATTTATGACCTTGACCTTTGGACCTCAAAATCAATAGGTTTCTTCTTTAGGTCATAGGGAGTTGCTATGCAAAATTTCATTGCAAAAGCTCAAAGGGTTCTCGAGATATTGCACAGAAACGAAAGTGTTACAGAAAGACAGAAATACAGACAGACAGACCGACCCAAATTAATATCCCCCACTTTCAGTGAAAGCGGGGGACAACAAACATTCATTACTAAAATCAACATCTGTATATTTATACATGTATATACTAGACCATTGGTAGGTATTGTAAATAGAAATGAATTTTATTGAAGAAAAATGTCTCATTTTATTTCTGCAAAATTTATTACAGTCATAACAGGTCTACTGTAAAGGTTAACCACTGGAAATAAACACTAGTAGTTTAAGGATAATAACTTAAACAAATCTTTATTGATAAACATATAAAAATTGCATTCCTTGTAATTTCATGAAAAAAAAATCATATGAAAATACAATGTACTCCACATTGTCAAAACTAGATGCTTTCATGATAACAGGTAGTTCAAAATATGGAAATATAACATTTCTATATCTTGAACTACCTGTTACATGTATTATGAAAGCCTATAGTTTTGTTATTAAATGGAAAATGGATATATTTTTCATTGATGCAGTTTTAACACTTTCAGCAAGTTCAAACTAACTTATGTGGCTGTTGTAGACATATTAAGATTGTACTCACTTTCTGAGTTTGGAGGTAAGCCCTGTGATTCCAGCCACCTGTTCCAGCATGCCCCGCCCCACAGAAGCCTCTCTGTGGAGACCAACATGTGGTTGTTGTGATCGAGACTGGAGGCGGGAACTGTTGAAAAACATTGATCTTTTTCAGATAATTGGATCATTTTTATAATACACGTACATATACTACATAAACTTCAAGATCATAATCTGATTACCTTAATTGATAAGCAAAATCATTAATTATAATGCATGCAGGTAAGTTCTTTAAAAAAGACATGTATAAGTTGAAACTAATATTTGCATGTTTATGAATTAGCAGACAAGTCGATAAAATATGATAATCTCTAAATAAGTTCATTTACAATAAGATCTCACACTCATAGTATTTTTTAAAAAGTTACAGACTACATGTATTTTCCTTATATTTATCTAGTATTTTCCATACAAGTCTGATTCTATGAATGACCTTTATTGAAAGATGTGACTATTGTAGAATCATATTTCGTGAGGGTTCCGTTTCCATGAATTTTGGGGTTATCCATGAATTTACAACCTCAGCAAATTTTGATCTGTTAGCTCTTTGTCTTTTAAAGAGCTTTCGAGATGTTTGACTATGAATTATGTCCCATGAACCCTGTACGTAGTGATGGGAAATCGGAATTTTTTTCTTCAAAATTGATTATCGGAATAATCGGATGCACTATAATCGATTAATAATCGATTGATTTCAAGTATTAAATTTGTTCATTTTTGAATGAAGAATAAATTGGTAAAAAATTCTGGAGTGATTTCTAGGATACATTTTTGATATATTTTGTATCATTGGATTCATTTGTTAGATTATTATTTGGGATTTAGTTAAATTCAAAGAAGAATGAATCAAAAATCAAAGGAATAATTAACTTTTGTCTCCAGGTTAACAGATGCATGAAAGTCAGTCAATATATCGGGTCTCAGTAGCTCAGTGGTTAGAGCGCTGGCACGGTATGCCAGAGGCCCTGGGTTCGAGTCCCGGCTGAGGCTTGATTTTTCACCACCTGTGACACTTTTAACTAATATTTTGATTAATCGATTATTTAAATTATAATCGATTATCTATAATCAAGTGCCATTTCGATTAGACAATCGATTTAATCGATTAATCGGTACATCAATACCTGTACGTAAATTTTATGGGCAATCCATGAAATTGCTTATGTGTAACAGAGACATTTTTGTGCCTCCAAATGGATTTTAACCAAAGGATTAACCCATTAGCTTGAGCTAGTAGGATGCCATGTATCTTTCTCTAAAACACTGTCCCCCTCCAGAGAATGAGATGTTCTCATCTCTTTTGGAGTGCCAGCACCTGTGGGATGAAGTTCTGGGTCAATCACTTTCACCCACCAGAGAATACTGTCCAGGTCCCAATGTGGGCACCAGATGAATAATTATTTAATCAATATATGAATTCTAAATCACAAAACTATTGACAAATATATCATACGTATCATACATGTACATGAAATATACATGTATGCAACAAAAAATTAATAAAATATGTATCTGCCACTCATGCACTACTTATTAATTCCACAGTAAATTAAGAAAAAACCTTATAAGTCACATTGTGTTTAGAGATAACATGTGACTAATCTGGAAACACCCAACAAGTAAAATGCTTCACTGTAAACAGATAAAAACAAAAATTCATGAGCAGTGTTCCCTGTTAATGTATATAGATATTATGATAGTTTACACATTTTCTGAGTTAATTCAATTTCTTCATAAACAAAAAGGCCAAATGGCAGATTTACAGTACTCAGTATTATTTCATTAAACCTATTCTAGAATTAGTAGATCATTTTGGTATACATACAGATGAGTAGTTGCCCTGCTTTCTCTTCTATGGAATGGGTTTCTAGGTTCAATGACTGGTTCTTTCCTTAAAGCTTTCACAGCATCAAGTTTTAATGGAGTCTGCAGAATCAAAATTTTAATATGTAAGGGTCACCAGGAGTGATCAAAGATTTATTTAATGTTAGAATTAAGTTCTAACTTAGAACATTTCTTCTGCTGTAAATAAATGCATTAATTTTTTCTTTAATTGCAATTTTTTTTCAGTAAAATTGTATGCAGCTCTTTCAGTAATGCATACTATTGCATCACTATAATATTACATACTATTCTAACTGCTCTAAAGTCTTGTCACTTCCAAAATTAAAACCTATTATTATCTATTTTCATGACCTGCAAGCAATTTCAAATTAGAGGGTAAAATTTTTCTTTTGGACAAAAGTTTCATTCTTATCAATAAACAGATATTTGGGGTTTCCCATAGCAGATAATGGACTTTGTCACTATACTCATATGATAGCAGGGGTATCATTTTGTGAGCTCAGTGCTCACAGTACCTCTACTCATTATTCTGTATTCTCTTACCTTGGATTTAATTTCTCTAGTCTTCATGTTACTAATTGAAGTTATAACCATGGAAAGAGCTTGTAAATATTGTAAATGGTCTCTTCTTAATCTTTCCTTCTTTAACCTTTTCATAATAAACACGTTATTAAAATATTATTATAAATCTATACATGTACTCATCTGTTATTATTGCCAAATTCATTGATACCTACTGTTTTAGACAAAAGATTTTTTTTCCGTTTCCTTTTATACTGACAAAAAATGCATTCCTCTTGAAATGAACTGCTTTTATTAAGTTTGGAGTCCAATATCTACTATAAGAATTACATTAATTGCTGTTTCAGACAAGTTATATTTTTTCACTGATCTTTTACTTAGTATACTGGTATACATTAAAAGATTGCTGTAAATTTACTTGATGCTACAATGATGCACACTGAAGTGGTAAAATTTTCTGTTTGAATGGAACATTTTGAGCTTTCTTTTGAACATAGAATGTTAAATGACACACTCATTTCTTCAGAAAGGGAAAAAGCCATCACAAGCTTCATTTGAATATCTGTAGACTAGGTATTCCATAAATACAATAGCCAATCAGATTGGCAGTCTACATAAACACTAGGTAAACATGTGTTTATTTGATTCATAACTTCAATAAACATGAATTTTATATGTACATATTCATTGCAATACATGAGTTTTACAGCAGTGGGGAGTCTCTAACTCTCTCTCCTTTCATAAAATCCAAATTTTAGTAAAACTCATGTTGGTAGTTGACTAGAAAGTGAGGTGTCTTAAAACACTGCAACAAAAATTAATAATTGCTTTCTCTTTTCTAAAGAAAGGGTCATGTCAACATGTAACAAATGAAGACCCAAATGTTCCATTCAAATGAAAAATTTTTACCACTTTAATGAGCATCATTGTTCCCCAGTTGTTGTTAAAACTTACGATACTCCACTAGGAATATGAAGCAGCTGATTGTATGACTCTTCCTGTATGAAGGAGGGATTTTCCCCAATGCTGCCGAGGGTTAGGCCCTGGTTGATAGGAGACTTCAAGGTCATTCTACGAGCCGCCAATTCTTCTTTCATTAAACTCTGGGTTAAGGGATCTAGACACAGAGACTGTATATAGATAAATAGTTCAGAAATACCTCTAGTGAGTTCCTCTCAAACTTCAGCATCAGCATTTTCCCAAAATATTGAAATTTTCAATAAATATCATAAACTAGATTCACTGGAGAGATGGTTTTACAGTTTCCATAATTGTTTCAGAAGACTTTAAACTTGTACAGATTATTTTTAGAGGTAAATTAAAAGATTTTGATTTAAATATTTTCTTTCAATCAGTTATGTAGCCAGAATAATCACCTTCTATGGAGTTTATACAAATCTGTTTTGACCTTGTCCTTTGACTTGGTGCAAACACTGCAAAGTGAAGACCTTTGATCCAAAGGTCTATATATGGGTAAAGTATGAGCCAAACATTTAAAAGGGCAAAAATTATACATCAGGCAAGGATTTTACAAAAAAGATATGTAAGTTACTGCACACCCTTTAAAAAAAGGGCACTCTCTATGGTTTATGGGCCAGATCGGCAAAAGGGAGAATAAATATGCATTGGACAAGGACTTGTGTTTACCTTGACCTTTGACCTATCATTTTGAAAATTGCTTCTTGCCTACCTACTGATACCCTCCTATTTGTGTTTGGATCTATCATTATGGATTTCTTCCTTCGTTTTCCTGGACTCACATGATCTTTATTTTTGATCACATGACTATCTTTGACCTGATCTATTTCCTCTTCGTGAGTTTGAAAATCTGGAAGACCCAGTTGTAAATTGGTAAGTGACATCAAAACCATTTCGTTTTCTTTGGTGCTGTTTTGTTCTTGTTTGTTGCGATTCATTTCCAAACGCTTTCTGACATATTCTTCATAGGGATATCCTGCATGGACTTTACGAATGATGTTTTTGCTTTCATCTAAAAATTGTTTTATTTCTCGGAAGCTGTGAACCTCTGGAAGTTCTATAGCTGCTGGGTCAAGGGAGGAACTCTCTTTTACAGCAGATGCCTGCAATAAGTACAGATAACTGATACTGTAAACATACTTAATTTAGTAGTAATCATATTTTGCACTGCTTCTTCATGATTAAGTCAAGTACCCGTACACACTAATATATGAATAAAAAAAAAATACATACAGAAATTTATGATTATGCTAATCAGTTGATAAAGAAGTTTGTGCTTTTTTGAGTACTCTAATTTGTGTATGTTTACTGACAGTATATATTTACAGCCACTGAATTTACCATACCTTCTGGTGCCTGAAATTTAATTTGCAGTCAATAGGTACCCTTGTTGATAAGAGGACTTGAACATTTTTCCATTTTTATTTTTGCAATGTTGATGAAATTTCTACATAAATTTATCAACAAGTAGAGAAAGTTGAAAATTTTCCAAATATGTGTTTACTGCTTCTTTCAAAAATTGCTACGTAACAGAAATTTCCCCAAATTGGGTACTTTAAAAAGACTAGAAATATGTCCATAGGACATGAATGCCCCGCCGAGGGTATATTAGTAATGCAACATTTTAAGACAAATTGAGAAAAGTGAGGTCAAGGTCAAAGGAAAGGTCAAGGTGAAAAAAATATTGATGCAGTTGAATAGCTTACATCAGTATGTATCAGCATATGAAGTTTGACACTAATTTAAGAAAAGTGAGGTCAAGGTCAAAGGAAAGGTCAAGGTCAAAAAATGTTGATGCAGTTGAAAAGGTTACATCAGTATGTATTAGCATATGAAGTTTGATAAAAATATTATGAATGGTTTCTTTAAAACTGAGCTAAACACTAATTTAAGAAAAGTGAGGTCAAGGTCAAAGGAAAGGTCAAGGTAAAAAATATTGATGCAGTTGAATAGCTCTCATCAGTATGTATCAGCATATGAAGTTTATTAAAAATATCTTGAATTGTTTCATTAAAACTGAGCTAAACACTTATTTAAGAAAAGTGAGGTCAGGGTCAAAAGAAACATCAAGGTCATAAAATGGTGATGCAGTTGAATAGCTTACATCAGTATGTATCAATATATAAAGTTTGATTACACTATCTTGAATGGTATCTTTAAAACTGAGCTAAACACTAATTTAAGAAAAGTGAGGTCAAGGTCAAAAAATGTTCATGCAGTTGAATAGTTTACATCAATATGTATCAACATATGAAGTTTGATTAAACTATCTTGAATGGTATCCTTAAAACTGAGCTAAACACTAATTTAAGAAAAGTGAGGTCAAGGTCAAAGGAAAGGTCAAGGTCAAAAAATGTTGATGCAGTTGCATAGCTCTCATCAATATCTATCAGCATATGAAGTTTGATAAAAATATCTTGGATTGTTTCTTTGAAACTGAGCTTTGAACAGAGCTAAACGCAAAGTGTGACGGAAAGACAGACGGAAGGACAGAAGGATGGAAGACGGACATGACAAACACTAAATGCCCCGGCCATATTCATGGTGGGGCATAAAAACAATTTTCTACCAGGAAATACCTTGGAGACAGACTTGTGGCCTATTGGAGGTAATGTAATTGCATGCTTCTTCTCGTGTTTTCCATCCTCACCACATCTAAACAATGGCTGTTTTCTTATCTACAAATGATCAGCAACCCCAATCAATTTAAATCAGAGCAAAAGTTATATTATTACATAATGAATTTTATTTGGTAAAAAAAAATCTCCATTATAATATTCATATGACACTTTCCTTAATGTTAAGATCTAGTAAATGAGTTTATAGTTTACTTTTTGGTGCTAGATCCATTATGATGTCATAATTAATAAGTTTTATGGCAGGGATCGACATTAACGGTTGTCCGATTGCCCGGGACAAGTAAATTCTCAGTTCGGGCAAGTGAATCTTGCGACGTACTTGTCCGATCGGGCAAGTGATTTTTTCCTCATAGAAATGTACATATTTATTTCGTTTACATTAATTTATTTGAAAAAACAATAAATTGAAGACTTGATTTCCGCCAGGTACCTGACTGACATTGTTTTTGTATTCGGAATTCCTTTTCAGCATTTCTGGATTATACCTTTCATTTGAAAAGCGGATTCGTTATTCCGTTCTTTTTCCCTGGTAAATATGCTGTTCGTCTAACATTTTTGTTAACTTCTTATTTGGAAATTAGATTATTTATTCACTTACAGAATATAAGTAAAGTGTAACACGATGTATCCTGATCAAGGTAAAGATCGATGTGTGTTATGTAGCAACTATCTTCCTTCAGCGTTGTTTCACAGTTATCTCAGAAAATTACGATTCACAAAAGAATCCTACCGAAAATAATTTTTTAAAAATATGAATTTAAATAAACGGAGGGTTATTGCTTCATGGCAGTGTGTGTTAACAGGTTAAATTTACAGGGACAGTGGTATACATTTATGTACATATGCAGCATCAAAATTTTTTCAGGTACCTCACCTTGCCAAATTAACGGTAGTGCATTTGGTCACATTTTTTCTTGTCATAATATTTACAGTAATAAATTTTTTTTTTCTGAAGTTCTTTCCTTATTTTGGGCAACCAAGTTTTGTGTTCGGACAAGTCAAAGTTTGAGATCACTTGCCCGAAAGGCAAGTAAATCTGAAAGTTAATGTCTATCCCTGCATTATGGCTATAATTGAATTACATGGAAAACTGACTTTTCATGACAAGGAATTCCTTTGAAATCATGCTAAAAGGTAACCTAATATCTATATTCAAATGAATGCAATTTAATATTATTTTAAGATAAGTGCGTCAAGAATATTTTAATTAAATTACCATTTTCTAAGACCTGGATACATTTCCTTTAATAGTCATTTCTCATTGAAAATGACATTTAAGTTACAAAGCATCATTAAAGGAATTCATTTCTCATTTGAGAATTCTGCAGGCATGCACCTTTTATTTACTAGATCTTAATCTTAACCGAAAAATCATTATGCTCATTTACCTTGGGGTCCAAACATTTTGACATTGTATTGAGCACAAGGTCACAAGTATCAAGGACCACTTGATCACCCAGCGGTTTGTATTTTTCCCCGATGACACTTTGGTAGCCTCTGCTATCATTTTCTTTTCTTCTGAGGTAATGTTTTTCCCAGAGATCATCGGGCCTCTCATTTATCATGAAATTCTTTGTCTTGGTCCATGTTTTATGTGGTTGATATGAAACAGCTAATTAAATTTGAAACAATAAATTTGCATAGCATTTGTATATAAAAGACTATATTCTGTAATACTTGTAGCAAGCCAATATCTATACCCAAAATCTAACTTTCATGGAGAAATATTTTACTATGTTCTAAATCAGGGAGATATTTGTAGCCTTCAAAGCATTAAATATTCTCATCAACTATGACATCATAAGTTAGATATGGTATCAACAAAATGACATAAATCCAACCATTTAATGATTTTGAAAGAAAATAGAGTATTTTGCACCTATACTTGATTGGAAAATATTGAGCACAGGTCTATTCAGACTTACAAGTATGTGAATATGTTACCTGAGCAAGTTTGCACTCTGTAAATACTATAGTTAAAATTGAACAGATTTTGTGCCTTTAGTCCTCTTTCAAGACAAACACAAAACACGAAATTCAAATAGTTTGTGAGATCACAGAGACAAAGAATGCCGATTATTTATTTCGAATCAATAATATATTTTATTAATACATATTTTTATACAATTTTATATACAATTGTGCATACTTCAGGAGATTTTTAAAATTTAACGGGGGGGGGGGGGGGGGGGGGTGGATTGACATATATTATACAGTTCTTTATAATTGAAAATTTGATTGAATAGAAATGAAAAACAAGTATTTTAAATATTTCTGAATCATGTAAAATATTTGAAATTATTATATTTTGTGGATTTTTTTTTTTTTAAATAATGGATATAAATATAACAAAACTCGTTTTAAACTTAAGTAACTTAATTATTCTCCAACCACGCATTTACAAAATTGCGTCCCAACAAAATAAAAAAATTTTTGAAATCCACGAAATTTTATTCCCACAAAAGTAGATGATCCAAGTTTTTTTTTCCAACGTGAATGATAAAAAAAAATTCTCTACTTGCAGAAGTGAAACGACATACGTTCATTTTTTCTCCCAAAGATTTATTTATTTCCGTTAAGTTTTTTTCACGAAAGGAGTTGTAATAAAACTACCTTCAGGAGCTCTGAAATGACGTCGAACAAGTTTCGTTATCTCCTGGCTGTTTGGAGTAGTGGCTTGTTTCTTGTACTCGGAAGAAATCATAGTTAGAGAGAATGAGTCAGTACATAGAAATTGACAAAGTTCTGTTTACTGTTCCCGCGAATTCGTCTCTTGGCGCAATGTGTCACAATCGATGACGTCACAATAAATCTAATAAAGACCGAACCCGTAGCAAATTCAACGCTTAATGTTTTCTTCTTCAGGTATTCTTTTTCATTATCAATGATACATTTTGAAAACTTACTTTTTATCAACTTGAATCAAATGAGTAAAAATTTAAAAGCATTAAAAATTGGAACAAGGGACATATAATTATTCCCGATTTCTCGAAAAAATTTTCATTAATTTTTCATTAGGTTTTGCAAATCCACTCTCCCTCTTTCTCTCTCTCTGTGTTTTAACACAATATTTACAAAGAAATTCTTCTTTAAAAATTTTGTAAATGATTCCAAATTAAATGGTCAAGGTGACAAGATTGGAAAACTGATTATCCAATATTTGCCTATAGTTAACATTGCTGTGTCCTGAAAAATAACCCCCCCCCCCCCAATTTCTATCCCATACAAGGCGCATGACGGAAACTTAATCCCCCACCAAACTGATTTTTTTTTTCATATATGGAAAAGGGGGATGAGTTCTACCATCGAGTTTTCCCTTCTATATTACCATATCTTAGCATATGTAATATATAATGAATGAAAGTCCAGGCATACAGCATCGGGGGGGGGGGGGGGGGCTTACAAGTCAGTTGTATTTTGTTTAGGTTAATTTGGAGGGATTTGCCATTAATCCTCTTATAAGTCGGTGCAATTTTTTTTTCTTCAATTTTGCCAGAATCAGTTGACAATTTCTGATCAATGCGCTAATGTTTTTCCCTGTGTTTCAAATAATATTTTGGGAAATTATATCGGTTAACTATACACTATGGATAAAAATTGAATAATTAAAATACAAAATTGTATGTAAATACATAACCTTAGAATACATTTATTGCTTAAAAGAATATATTCCCAGACTTTTGTCAACACTAATTGTTGGGGCTTTCTTTTTAAGGTACTTCCTTTCACCGTCCAGAAAAATACCAATGTTTTTAAGACTTGCCTATAAGTTGGACATAGAGAAAATCTAACTCAAAAATCAGACTTATAAGCAAGTATATATGTCATTGTGTACTCTATGGCAGTGAACATTTTTCTTTTTAAATGGTGAACTTCCCTCTCTTTCTGCAGTTGTGAATTCATATAAATAAAGAAACAAAACTCTTTAGTCTTACAAAATTTTAATTTATCAAATAATATTCTAGGTAATGAAATGAAAATCATGAAAGACATTAAAATATTACATTTCATGATAAATGGAACTGTAAGATATGATTCATATTCATGATAAATAAGCTGATTCGGAACTTGGGATACAAATGCACTGAATTCTTCATTTTTTTTTCTTTTCATTCTCTAGAAATCTAAAATGAGTTTCAATTCTAATATCCAGACAATGAAAGAATAAGTAAAATCCAGAAGGCAAACAGTAATTTAACTGACCAAATCCAAATCCTCTGATTTCAATTCAAGAGAATGAATTCTGTCATTAAAATAAAACTTTTTGTTGTTGTTGAAAATATTAAAATTGCTCGAGTTTACAGTTTGAAGAACACACCCTCTGTCTTGCTCTGTACAAACAATAAATAACAATCAATGATTAAAGTTATATTCTGTCTTATTCCACTTCTTTCACTATAGCCTTCTTTCTTTCTGGAACAAATGGAACAGCCCCAGGTTTGCTGTGCCTTCTTCTGTTTGACTCCCTGTAAAAATATCAAAATACAGTTGAACTTTGGTATCTTGAACACTGATATCTTGAATACCATGGATATGTCGAATTGTTACGGTAGTTCCAATTACTTTTTCTTTATATATTTTAACCTTGATATCTCAAATTGTCCGATATCTCAGAGCATCTTCTCGGTGCTATTGAGTTTGAGATAATGAGGTTTGACTGTATATATGTTTGAAAAGTAGGTGGAAAATATGAATCAATTAAACAGAAGAGAAAGAAATACATTTATACCACTAGATCAATATAGAAGAGAGGGCACATGAACATATCATTTAAAATCTTCTGCACAGGAAATGATTATAATCTCTTTACTTGATGTTGATAAAAAAAAAATAATAGAAAAAAAATCTTCAAATTCACCTTTCCACCTTTTTTTGTGATTTACTTACTTTTAGAAGAGAAAGAAATACCCTTATATAATTAAATCAGAACAGAAAAGAGGGCACATGAACCAGGCAATTCAAATTTTTTGCTCAGGAAATGATTTTAATCTCCATTTTGAGTGTACCAGTAGCACAGTGGTTAGCGCACTCAGCCCACTCAGTCATGTGGGTTTTCTCCGGGTACTCTGTTTTTTCCTCCCACAGAAATTACCCCCTCATGCCAACATCCGTGCAATAAAGGATCCCATTGGAAATTAGCTCATGAGCTTTCATGGGCTATCCTTTGTATTATGTGCATGTACTTATGTATATAATGAATGAACATTTATTTATAGAAAAAATATTCACCCTCCCACCTTTTTTGTTAACTTACTTTCGTTTGCGTGATTCCTTCATGATTCTCATTTCCTTTGTCAGACTGTATATCTGTCTGGGTACGTGTCGGTGTCGAGCTATCCTTCTAATTTGTGGGTGATGCATGAACTTCTCCTTAATCTTTTCATTATAATTAATGGATGCTTTCTCTCGTGTTGTCAGCTACAAAACATTCACAGGAAAAATGATCATATTGTACAGGTACATGTGAATGAATCTATTCAAATGAACAAAAAAATTTCAGCAAAAAATTTTCTGCATTTGAAAGAATTACATGTACATTTTACTTCTGTCCTTTCCCAAGCCCCATCCCTCATCCCAAATAAAAATATAAATAACAAAAAAAAAAATTGTATCTCTTTTCAATATGATTATTTGCTACATGTAAGAAATCACATGAACTCGTATACTGGTATATGTATGTTTTAATGACTGGAATCATTGTTCGTGGGGAACCAATATTCGTGGATTTCGTGAGTCACCTTTACCTATGAATTCAATGACTTTGTCAACAAATCAGTTCATTGAATCTTTTCATATACAGGTATGAGTTGCCCACAAAATTATGTCCCCATGAAGTGGTAAAATTTTGGCTATCCATGAACATTGACACCCATAAATTAAAATGCTCTTTTAATCTTAATGTTTCCAAAGGTACTTGGTTAAAAAAAATTAAAATAGTTCATAAAATTAATTTTTAATACCTTTTCTAAATATATAAAACATAAATAAACACCTATTAATAACAGATTTTTGAGTTCTTTACATACCATTCCCAGCTTTTCAGAGGCCCTTGCTTTCCACAATCGGATGTTCATTTCATCAGATCCTGAGATTATGTATTTATTGTCTAGAGACCACTTCACCACTCTAACTCTCTGCATTCTCTTTGTGTGATAAACTTCTCTATCATGCATCAAAATTACATATCAAATAATTACATGTACAGCATAAACTCATTATTTGAGTTTATACATCAAAAAAAAAAATATATATATATACAATTTAAATACTGGAACTATAAAGTTTTACTATGTAGGGCCTAAGCATTCTCTTTTTTTTTTTTTTTTATTGTTGTTGTTGCTGTTTTTGCCCCCCAACCCTTTTATACTGAGGACTCAACACTGCATAGAATCTTAAGGTATCAATTTATGAATCTCACAAACTGGGTAACACATACTAGCATTTCAGCAAAACAATTCTGAATTTAACTCTCAAAATATATACCTGCTACGAGATGCATCAACACTGAAGATTCTCAAACATTTGTCATATCCAGCCGACACTAACTCTTTTCCAGTTGGAGAATAATCTACATCCATCACTTAGAACAGAAATACAAAACAGACCATTAGCTTCATATATGTTATTTATATTTAGTTTAAGCAATACTTATTGACATGCATTTGAATTCAACCTTACCAGCAGCCACATGGTCCATGTGCATCATAATAGGAGCGGATAACTTTCTAATGTCAAATGTGTACAAACTACAATACCGAAATAAAAAATCCTAATCAAATATTAAATCATAAAATGGAAAAATTATGTCAAAATTCAAGAGATATAAATACAAAGTTGACATTATGAACAGGATTATCCCCCTTACAAAGTTTTGTATATAAGATCCAAATGACTGAATTCATCTCTACCACTTTTATAAACAATGATTGTATTTTTACTATAGTAAATGCTGTTCTGAAAATATGTATTCTTCACTTACTTATAATCTTCACTAGCAGCTGTGAATACAAATGATTCCATTGGATTCCAGGCTATAGCATTAGATTTCAGGGACAAAATAACCTGCATATAGTAAATTAAAAAAAAAAATGCAATTTTCTTTCAAACTCAATCCAGCCCAGTAAGTTTATTGATCAATTACACCCTTAAAGGGTAATAAGAAAATACAAACTTACTGAGAAGGAAATATCAAAAGTAATTGTATCTTCTAATGGACCTGATTTAGAATTAAGTTACTGTAATTTACAGACTATACGACGAAGCTCTAAATAGGTCGAAAGCCTCATTTTTAGTCTAAATTTTTAAAAGATCCCTAGATAAAGCGAATTCAGAAGATAGGACGAGGCCTTGTTTACTGATTTTCTAGAAATTATACGTAACATACTATGTATTGGAACACACAGACTTCATGATATTCCCTTAGAAAATGGCACAATTTTGCTTTAAAATCAATCTTGTTTTTAAAAACTTTGGGGCATTTTTGATTAACTTTGCCATGGCCTTAGAGAAGTTGATTCCTTTAAATTGGGCAATGCTAATGGTTCTGAGAAAGAAAAGTGTCCCTCTATAGTCCGTATATTATGGTAACTCCCAAATGTTTCTGTATTTTTTTTTCTGTACCTCACTGGTTTTTATCTATTTTGATTGATTTACCTTTCGCAAAGGAGTAGAGCCTCTTAGATCATACAGTAGTACACTACGGTCTGAGGCACAGGCTCCCAGAAGGTGTGTCTAAAAAAACAGGTCAAAATTGTGCATCATTTGTGTAAATAACAATCACAAAAATTGTGTAATTCATTGCATCATAGGAGATGAGCAGAGTAACCTAATTGAAATTGAAGATGTGGTTGCTTTTAAGTCTTCCTTAAATTAGCATTTGAATTCCAATTAATGTCATAAAAAAGCAACTGATACACCTATTACTCCTAAGAATAATAAGAAAATATTGTTCTCTCAAGAGTGTTAACCTCTATGGGGTTGAATTTGACATGATGAGTACTGTCCACTCCCCAGGTAAAACTTCTAACAGGTTCTGACCGATCCTCCTTCCAAATGTCCACCTGCTGTCCACACGTGGCAAAAATATTTTCTGACTGATGGTGATCCATACACTGGAACACACTCTACAAAACAAAACTGTGTCTGAAGGGATCGGAAATTATCCTCTATACAATCATGATATGGACTACATTTATACATGTAGCCATACTGGCATTATAATCCATAATATATAAAAATGAAAAAGATCTCATTTCTTATCCATGTTCTTTTATTCCCTTTAAAATAATTTTGAATTTGATTTGTGTGTTCTTAGTAACCTTTCCAAGAATTGTGTTGAGAGGCTCTTCATTGATAGAACACTCCTCTGAGATCCCCCATTGTTTTATCACTTTATCCAAACCACACTGGAAGGAAAACAATAATGGTGTAATAAAAAGCAAATACTTAGAACATATGTGTACTCTATTTTTATATGTTAAGTATAGGCCTCTTTGAGATACACACAAAATAGTCTTCTGCAAAAGGTAATAAAGTTCAATGTAACATAAATCTTAAAAATACATAAATTAAAAAAAATCATTATCAAATTAAAAATTACAGTTAGAAAACTTCTCCCATTTGGATGAAAGCACATTCCTTGAACAATGCCTTCGTGTGCTTGAAGTGTTGTGACACAATTTCTCTTTGCCAAGTTCCACACTCGTACCTGCCAAAGAATTAATTAGAAGATAAAAACTCATTGTTTAAGCATTTTTTTTTTTGATTTTCAAACACACAACCACATTTATGTAACAAATGTATTAGATAATTTTGAAATATACTAGTAATTACTTTAAAATTTTCTTCAAGAAATTCTTTATATATCATATAAACTTACCCCTCCATCACAAGCTCCAGAAAGTAAAGAGCTCAGTGATGTTGGGTGTTTGCATAAACAGTTTACACCATCTCTATGTCCATCTAAAGCCCCAATAAATGGCTTGGCAAATACTCTCTCCAATTTTGTGGCATTTAAAGCCCTCACATATTCTCTAGGGGCTTCGAAAGGGTGCAACTTGGGATCATAATTTCTTTGAACTGAAATTTGATACATGAAACAGGTGAGATATTATATGATATATGTACTACAGTATGGTAGACAGCAAATGTGACAACAGACATCCCATCTGTGACTCTACTCTACACTTGCCTTTTTGGATGTCTCTTTTCGTTTCACGCAGATAATCATCTGGATTTCTACTTAGCACTTTGATCTTCATGACTGTTTTTATTATATCTTACACAAAGGTAGAGCAGTTTGTCAAGCAAATACATCTAGTGATCTTCTCCACATGGCCATGTTGACAGTTCGTGGCGAGTTATCTGCCTTAGAGTTTCCAAAATGGAATAAATTATACGAGCCTGTCACGATAAAAGCAATATTTTTATTGTTTCTCACATTAAATTTGAGTTTATCTAACTTTAAAATTATACCTTATGCAATGATTGGCTGTTTATTGATCTTCAAATTCGTATTTTATAGTTTGGTTGGAAAAAAATCAAAGTAAGTCATGAATTTTCCGTTTTATTCCGTTCAACAATATATTGAAAAACCATATGACATTACTTCCTTTTTAGTTGGAGCAGCCGTGGGGTGAAACACGTTGAAGTTGTTGTCACCGGTTCCTTTGAAAACTCATAAAGTACAATTATCTATCATTAATAATTTTCACAGAAAGGTTATGATATATATACATGTTCACAAATATTTCACCTTTTACTCAATTTGCTTTCGAGCAGCCCTACACTTTGAAAAGGGGGGTGGGGGTTAGGTCACCTAAAATAGGTTACTTTCCATTTTATGGTATGATACTTCTATTACGTGATAAAAAATACTGGTGTAGACCAGTTTATAATAACTACTGGGGAGGATTGAATGTTACTCCAAGACCACTTGAAATGGAATATATGACTACATTCTTGCTCAGGGTAGAAAATTATCTCATTTAATGATCTACATTGATTTAAGCATGCATACATATTTTGGAACATATCCATCAGTTTTACAAGATTCATATATACACACAGATTATATATCTTGTTATCTGAATCAGGGACGTACATAGGTCCCTGTCTGAATGTGTCTGTAAGGCTATCTCAACTAGTCACATTTGGTGCCTTTGATACATACAGTACATGTATTTAATACAGAATTTATTTCAGAATGGCTAATCCTCTGATGTTCGATTCAGTCTGGAGAGACAAACAAAAATTTGAGGAAGCTGAGGCCCAATATCAACAGGTGCTTGCTGGGACTGCCGCTAAAGGTGCTCCTGGTGCTAAGGTATTAAGAAACAGTATATAGGATATGTTGGTCTTGGTCATGATATATTGTATTATACATGTAACAGTTAGAAGCTAGTAAAACTGGTATGATATGTATAAACTAAAGTATTATAATGGTGATAATGAGAATGCACTAAAATACTCAATTTTGGAGGATTCAGTATATTATTACATTCATTTGTCTCTTATGGAATGAGCTTAAATTTTTGAAGTTAGTTAGGAAATTTGCATTCATTACATGTTATATTCCTTATTTTTTAAAATTATTTATCTGAGTGTATTTAATTAAAATAAGTAGTTCGTATAAATTTAAGAATTCATTAATTTGGCTTTAGTTCTATTTATGGCACATCAATAGAGGGCATTTTTCCCCCAGAGCACAATTACTAGAATTCAGATATAACAAGCAACTGTGTTGAATATTTTTTTGCTAAATCTTTAGAAAATTAATGTACTTGTTAGATATTTTTATGCAGTGGCTTCAAAATCTTTAGCAGTAATTTTTCAGGGAAAAAAATGCTTTTGTAAAGTATGCTACTGCAATGAAAACTTCTTTTGTCTTTATAGGACAAAAAAAGTGGTAAATCAGGGGGCAGTACTATCAAAAATGAAATAGCTGAAGCCAGACAACAAATTCAAAAAGTTCTTAACTCTGTGAGTAAGCTTGCTTTTTTATGCTGAATAGCAGCTGGTTTGATCTGCCTGAATATTTAAATAAAGATCATTCTCATGAAAGACAGATTTTCTTTGCATGCTTTCTCCCATTAATACAGCAAACTCATATTCTAAATCATGATAATCATCATATTGATCATAAGAAATTTCGGGTTTTTTCTTCAGTCAATTATATTTCATGTATCTATAGAATATATAGTCATTAAAAAACTTTTTTAACTCATAGCTGCACCTGTAAATTGTATTCTTACCAATCATTCTATACCTTGATGTAATAGCATCACTTATGGATAAAAGAATTTTAAGAGTTTTGGAAAATGTTTCTTTTGGGGTGGCGAAAATTTATAAAAAAAAAAATAATGTTTTTTAATACAACAACACACAGCACAAAGGAAATTACATACAGATCATAGTAAGTTTGTCAGTGTTGTTAATGTATAAATAGATGTTGTGTATTCATGTGATAAGTATGGTTTCTTTTTTTTTATTATTATTATTTAGTATAGAATTGTTGTGCTTTGCTTTGCCCCAATCCATTACTTTAAAAAAAATGTTTAAAATCAGAAAATACAATATTTATTTTTTTCTTTAATAGTTTAGATAGAAATAGTGCTCGTCTCTCAAATAAACAACCCATTTTGTCTACCCAGATACTGTGTGTGGTGAGATGGTGGGAAATTCTAAATAGCTCTGTTGTGTTTTTCAAGTAAAAAATGAGATTTCTCTATAGCTGGTAATTTAACAAGAAATCTCCCTTTGCTCATTAAAATCAGCTTTACTGGGGAAAGCATTTCGTTTATAATTTTCTTTCACTTGTATTCAATATAGTAATGATTAAAAAAAAATAATGTTAGCTGTAAGAAATACAGAAAATTTTAGTTACAGAGTAAAATGTCATGAACACTTTGAAGGGGGAAAAATGATGTAATACTTTTCCATTTCAGAAAAAAAGAAATTTATTAATTTGTCATTGACATATTTAGGGGAAAATATGAATACTTTTTTCAAAAGAAAAAGAAGAAAAAAAGATAATTTCTTATCTATAATTGTTATCATTCTTTGGATTATACTACATAGTAAATTTTTGAAAAATATTAAATATTAATCAATATTTAGTAGAGTTAGGATTTATCTTTAGTAGATTGCTATTTATAGAAATATCTTCCTCTGACAGGGAGGATCTGGAGGAGCCTCAAGTGACAATAGTCAAGTGATGAAGAGAGTGGCATCTCTAGAGAAAGAAAACAGAGACCTTAAGAAGGGTATGTATCCATATCAGTCAGGTGATGAAGAGAGTGGCATCTTTAGAGAAAGAAAATAGAGACCTTAAAAAGGGTATGTATCCATATCAGTCAGGTGATGAAGAGAGTGGCATCTGTAGGGAAAGAAAATAGAGACCTTAAAAAGGGTATGTATCCATATCAGTCAGATGAACAAGAGAGTGGCATCTCTAGAGAAAGAAAATAGAGACCTTAAAAAGGGTACATATCTACAACAGTCAAGTGATGAAGAGAGTGGCATCTCTAGAGAAAGAAAATAGAGACCTTAAAAAGGGTATGTATCTACACCAGTCAGGTGATGAAGAGAGTGTCTCTAGAGAAAGAAAATGGAGACCTTAAAAAGGGTATGTATACATATCAGTCAGGTGATGAAGAGAGTGGCATCTGTAGGGAAAGAAAATAGACCTTAACAAGGGTATGTATCCATATCAGTCAGGTGAACAAGAGAGTGGTTCCTGTAGGGAAAGAAAATAGAGACTTTAAAAAGGGTATGTATCCATATCAGTCAAGTGATGAAGAGAGTGGCATCTCTAGAGAAAGAAAATAGAGATCTTAAATAGGGAATGTATCCATATCAGTCAGGTGATGAAGAGAGTGGCATCTCTAGAGAAAGAAAATAGAGACCTAAAAAAGGGTATGTATCCATATCAGTCAAGTGATGAAGAGAGTGGCATCTGTAGAGAAAAAACCCCAGAGACCTTAAAAAGGGTATGTATCCATATCAGTCAGGTGATGAAGAGAGTGGCATCTCTAGAGAAAGAAAATAGAGACCTTAAAAAGGGTATGTATCCATATCAGTCAAGTGAAGAAGAGAGTGGCATCTGTAGAGAAAAAAATAGGGACCTTAAAAAGGGTATGTATCCATATTAGTCAAGTAATGAAGAGAGTAGAGAAGGAAAATAGAAATCGTAAAAAGGGTATGTACATATATGGCATCTATAATAGTCAGGTGATGACTAGATGAAGAAAATGTTAATCTTAAAAGGGCATGTGTCTGAGACAAATCTACATAATGTAAAAGCAAATGAATGTGAATGGACAAGACATATGTTTCTTACCATTTAGTAAAATAATGGAGTTAGTACATTAATGGAGTGGAAGGTTATTTAATAAATGAAACCTTATTTTTATTTTTCAATGTAGAAATACATGTAGATGTGTTGACAAAGTGTACATAAATCTAATAAGGGGAAGGTAAAGGTTGTTTATATCTGTAATGAAAAAAATAGATTGAAAATAGACAATCTAGCAAATGGTACTGTATATAAATCTGATGAAGTTAAAGATACAGTACATCATTGTAATTATGGACATACACAATTATAAATTCAGTGAAGTGATTTTTTTATGCAAAATGCAGAAAGATTTTTAAATTAGGTAAAAGAGGTTTAATTTAGGCATCATTAGCTGTTCAGCTGACACTAAACATGCAGGTATTTAGTGCATTGAAGTAAAAGAGAGATAATTTTATTACAGGAATATTGCATGTCTGAGCTTGCAGTGAGATTCTTTAACTCTGAAATGTGAAGAAGATCTTTTCCATTACAGTTGTGGAAGATATGAAGACTTTGGTGCAAAAACTAGAAAACCGTGTTAGTAAGCTTGAGGGGGGAACTTCAGCTCCTTCTGCACAAGCTCCTGCCCCACCAAAACCTGCTCCTGCAGAGGATGATGATGATGATGACGACATTGATCTGTTTGGCAGTGATGAGGTACATAAAATATTCATTATTACTGATGAAAAAATATTGTTACATGTAGGTTTCTCTTAAGGTCACAATCCAAAGAATGAAAAAGAAAATAACACCATTATGTTGAATAACAATATAATTTTTAGCTCACCTCAACGAAGTTGGGGGAGCTTATGTAATACCCTCGGCGTCGGCGTTCCAGGTTAAGGTTTTTGGAGCAGTTTTCTTTTCAAGTACTTCTATGGCCTATATTAGTCAGAAATGCATGGAGGATCCTTCTAGTGTGTTTCATTGTACCAGTCATGGTTTCAGATGCTGCAATTTCAGCTAAAAAATGACCAGGTTAATGTTTTTGGAGCAGGTTAAAATTTTGTGAGCAGGTTAAAGTTTTTTGAGCAGGTCTCATTTCCAAGTAACTATAAGCCCTATATTGACTAAACTTGCATGGATGATACATCTAAGGATGCACACTACTGAACTTGCTTCGGATGCTGGATCTGACCTACATTTTCCGGATGAGTGACTAGGTTAAAGTTTTTGGAGTAGATCTCATTTCAAGTAACTATAAACCCTATATTGACCAAACTTGCATGGATGATACATCTAAGGAGTCACACTACTGGACTTGCTTCAGATGCTGGATCTGATCTACATTTTCTGGATGAGTAACCAGGTTAATGTTTCTGGAGCAGATCTCATTTCTAAGTAACTATAAGCCCTATATTGACTAAACTTGCATGGATGATACATCTAAGGATGCACACTACTGGACTTGCTTCAGATGCTGGATCTGACCTACATTTTCGGGATGAGTGACCAGGTTAAAGTTTTTGGAGCAGATGTCATTTCCAAGTAACTATAAACCCTATATTGACCAAACTTGCATTGATGACACATCTAAGGAGTCACACTACTGGACTTGCTTCAGATAAGTTTTTGGAGCAGATCTCATTTCCAAGTAAATAAGGACTATCTGAACCAAACTTGCATGGATGATGCATCAAGGGATGAACAATCTCAAACTTACTTCGGATGCTGGATTTGACCTACATTTTCTGGATGAGTGACTAGTTTTAAGTTTTCAGATAAGTCTATTCCCAAGTAACTGCAAGCCCTATCGGACCAAAATTGCATAAATGTTGCACCTAGGGATGCACACGCCAAGGTTATTTGTTTAGTGTGGGACTTTGCCTTACTTAAAGACAACATTCATTGAGGTGAGCTCTGTAATATCTGATTACCTATGTTTTTCCCTTGGATGCACCACTTTGGCAGACTGCTTTCACTCAGCTCTACAGCCAATTAAAGTGAATTTTGTACTTTTATACTTGAGTAATGTCTTTCTTTGTATAGGATGATGAGGAAGTTGATAGAATAAGAAAGGAAAGATTAGCAGCTTATGAAGCCAAAAAGGCAAAGAGTGAGTATTTAGTTTAAAAGATGGGCAGGTCTGATGTTACATTTGGAGAATTATTATTTCCTTGAAAGCTTTTTTTATTCACGCCTTGGATGTACCTTTTAAAGTTTGATAGTCTTTACAGCGATGCAATGATAATTCATCCATGTAGCTTAGTTGCCTGTCTTTAATATTCAATTAAAAGATTACATGTACTCAGTTTTAGGATTTCAAAAAAATAGATTAAGTGTATTAACCTTTAAGGTTAATAGATTTTGAGTTGCCTTTTATCACTGAGGACATCTGGGGGTTGGTTTTTTATATTTGTTCATCTTTCCAGAATGAGTAAAGCATCAACTTTTTATTTTGATTTCAGAACCAGCACTCATTGCCAAATCAAGTTTGATTCTAGATGTAAAGCCATGGGACGATGAAACAGATATGAAGAAAATGGAAGAAGAAGTCCGCAAGATCACAGCAGATGGACTCTTATGGGGTGCAGGTAAGCTGGTTATTTTTCCTCATGATCTTTATTTGATGATTTGGTAAACATGATTATTATACCCCCGGCCCCGCAAACGAAGTTTAGGGGGGTATATTGGAATCACCATGTCCGTCTGTCTAGCTGTCTGTCTGTCCGTCTGTCTGTAGACGAGATTTTGTCCGGACCTGTTCTCGGAGACTATTGCATGGATTTGTCTGAAAATTTGAACACTTATTATTCACCATATGAAGGTGTGCACCTGGTATTTTCATCATAATTGGATAATTTTTCTGCATTTTACAGGTGTTTTTTCATTTTTATTACATGATTTTGTCCGGTTCTGTTCTCGGAGACTATTGCATAGATTTGTCTGAAAATTTGTACACTTATTATGCACCATATGAAAGTGTGCACCTGCTATTTTCATCATTTATTGGATAATTTTTCTGCATTTTACAGGTGTTTTTTTTTTCATTTTTATTGACAGTCATTTTGGGTTTATGGGGGGTGGGGGGTGGGGTTATTTGTCGCTTTTGGACAGTTCTAGTTTGACTTATAAAACTTTTTTTCAAATAATTGAAAATACTGTAAATCTTTTTTTTTTCATTTGTGAGGATAAAGCTTTCATCAGTATAAACAAGGAGTCTCGCGAAATAAAAGGAATTTATATCTTTTATGTTTCATTTAAAGTTGATATTATTGTACTTGAAAATAGAGCATTTTCTGCTCAAAATTTTATTATTTGAAATGAATGAGATATTTTTTTTTAAATCAACACTTTTTGAATGGCTTGACTTCTTTGATACCAAAATTTCTAAAATTTTCAGATAAAAAATTGAAATATTTTAAAATGACAATAAATGATGTAAGTAAATCACTGAAATATTACTGTGAACTCAGTAATTTTCATGGGGTTTTTATTTTTGTTGTTTTCATCATATGAAATGACCCACAAACTCATGTTCTTTATGAATTTTGAAAATTGTAATAAAGATACATGTAACTCTGCATTTCTTCAACCACAAAATAAAACCCCCACAAATCATTATTTTTACCTCAAAAGTGGAGGGGGGGGGGCTACTTCCCAAAAAACCTGACAAGCAAAAAAAAAAAAACAACCCAAACTGACCAAAAGTTGGGGGGGGGTGCAACTTCCCAAAAATTATCTGACAAGCAAAAAAAAAGGTAATTTACTGTACAAATCCTAGAATTTGCCAGTACTCAACTTCACAATGTTAAAAAGGGGGGGGGGGACCAGCATCTAAAGGAAAATTTACGATAGCAAAATACTTTACTCATAAAAATGGGGGGGGGGGGCATGTTCTATGGGCCTGAAAATTTATGATTTTACAGTTTATTTAATAAATAAAATTACTTAGTGTAATGGAAAGAAGAGATATAAAAGTGTATAATTTCACTTCTCTTTCATAGCAAAATTGGTGCCTGTTGGATATGGTATAAAGAAACTACAGATCAATTGTGTCATAGAGGACGATAAAATCTCCACAGATTTTCTGGAGGATGAAATCACAGCACTAGAAGATTACGTAAGACTTGCACCGCATACTCATCCTTCTTTTGAAAAATTGAGCCAACATAATGCTAAATAAAAAAATTTATTCACTAAATAGCATTTCACTAATGTAATAATGTAATGCTAGGCATTGAAATTTAAGAACAATTTAGTTGGTAAAACCTAATTGAAATATATAAGATTTAATATCACTTTTAGTTCATCTTTGTTTCTATTACAGGTACAAAGTATGGATATAGCAGCTTTCAACAAAATTTAAGAACTGTTTTCTACACAATAAATTTTTCCCTCATCTGTTGCTTTTAATTTGAAGTTTTGTAGCTATATTTGTGTGGTAACTGAATGGAGTGACAAGTATTTAAAAGCAAAAATGCAAGCATTTTGAAAGTAAATGCTTTTACACCAAAGGAAGGGAAACTATGTTCAGAAATAATGATCTAATACAAATGCTGGTGATGTTTTTTCAATAGATAATGAAGAACTTCGATGAATTAGAAAACCCATGAAGAGAGAAAGAAACGAGTTCAGTCAGGGAATTTATGTCCCGCCTAAGGATGGAAGACATAAAATTACAAAAAAAAAGATTGATCATGACCTTTCAGCTTTGGTCTTAAAGTCAATAGGAGTCTTTCTTAAGTTTAAGAAATTCGTAACCTTAAGTTTCATTGCAAAAGCTTACAGAGAACTTAAGTTATCATCTAAGAACTTTATATACAATATATGATTTTCTGGCCTTGTCCTTTGACCTTAAGTCATTATAGTGATCTATTTTAAGTCAGTGAGAGTTATGATCTAAAATTTCATTACAAAACCTCAGAGAGAACTTCAGTTATCATGAAACCATTTTTGCAAAATCTCAAAAGACTTGAGAGATACCAGGAGGTGAAAGTGTTACAAACAGGCAGAATGACAGAAGGATGGACAGATCCAAATTAACATCCCCCACTTTTGGTGAACATGGGGGACAAAAAATGATACAATCCTTCTTGAATTCCCAAGCATATAAATAAATAGATGTTGTAAATATAAAAAAGTGTAATGCTAAAACACATTGCCTTTACTGTAGAGTATATTCCACCAGAGAAAAGGGATTGAGCCTTTACTGTAGAGTATATTCCACCAGAAAACAAGATGTGTTTGTAAAACACTGATGCCGCTGTATGGCAGCTCACGGAAAAGGTTAAAGTCTCTCAAATGCAAGTAAAACTCCCAAGGTCAAGGTAAACAAATCAAGATCGTTACCAAATGGAATTGTCTTGTCACAAGGAAGACACAAGTGAAATATGAAAGCCCTAGAACCAACTAGTCAAAAGTTATTGCCAAGATTAAAGTTTTACAAATTTAAGTTGGTCAAACTCCAAAGTCAAGATCAAAAGGACATAATTGTTGGTACCCGAAGGTCTTGTCACAAGGAATAAACGTAAAATAAGAAAGCCCTAGTATCAACCATTCAAAAGTTATGGCCAAGGTCAAAGTTTTTCAAAAGTAGGTAAAACTTTAATGTCAAAATTGTTGGTACCCTAGGGAAGGTCTAATCACAATGAATACATACATGTATGTGAAATATGAAAGCCCTAGTACTAACCGTTCAAATGTTATGACCAAGGTTAAAGTTTTTGTAAAAGTGAGTCAAACTCCAAGGTCAAGAGGTCAAAAATATTCATAAAAATAAATATGAAATATGAAAGCCCTAGCATCAATTGTTCAAAAGTTATGGCCAAGATTAATGTTCAGTAAAATTTTGCAAAACTGGGTCAAACTCCAAGGTCAGGGTCAAGAGGTCAAATATGTTGGTACCTAAAGAAAGGTCTTGTCACAAGGAATACACATGTGAAATGTGAGAGTCAAAGCTCCAACCAATCAAACGTTATGGCTAAGGTTAAAGTTTTTGCGGACAAACAGACAGACGGACGGACAGGGCAAAAACTAGATGCCCCAAAATCTTTAATAACGGCATAAAAAGGATTGATTGATTGATGGAAAATAATTTTTGTTACATGACAAATATTAACATTAATAAAACAAGATGTGCTTGTGAAACACTGATGCCCCCGTATGTCAACTTATAGCAAAGGTTAAACTTTCTCAAATGCAAATCAAATATGTTGGTACCGAAGTAAGGTCTTGTCTTGAAGAATATACCTGTGAAATATGAAAGCCCTAGCAGCTACCGTTGAAAAGATATGGAAAAGGTTAACGTTTTTCAAAAGTGAGTCAAACGTCAAGGTCATGGTCAAAATTAATGGTGCCCAAGGACAGACCTTCTCACAAGAAATACACATGTGAAATATGAAAGCCCTAGCACCAACCATTCAAAAGTTATGGCCAAGGTTAAAGTTTTTCAAAAGTAGGTCAAACTCCAAGGTCAATGTTGTTGGTATCCAGAATAGGGTCTTGTCACAAGGATTAAATATGTGAATTGTGAAAGCCCTAACACCAACTATTCAAAAGCAATGGCCAAGGTTAAAGTTTTTCAAAAGTAGATGACCACCAAAGGTCAGAAGGTCAAAGTTGCTGGTATCCAAAGCAAGGTCTTGTCACATGGATTTCATATGTCACATATAAAAGCCCTTGCACCAACTGTTCAAAAGTAATGGGCAAGGTTAAAGTTTTCCAAAAGTAGTCCAAACTCCAAGGTCAAAGGGTCAAAGTTCTATGTATCCGGAGGAATGTCTTGTCACAAGGATTACATATGTGAAGTATGAAAGCCCTAGCACCAAATGTTCAAAAGTTATGGCCAAGGTTAATGTTAAGTAGAATTTTGCAAAACTGGGTCAAATTCCAAGGACAAATATGATACCCAACGAAAGATCTTGCCACAAGGAATACACATGTGAAATATGAAAGCCATAGCTCCAATCAATCAAAAGTTATGGGCAAGGTTAAAGTTTTTGCGGACAAACAGACAGAAAGACGGACGGACAGGGCAAAAATTATATGCCCCCGAATATTCGATTACGGGGGCATAATTATAACAGTATTTCAAACTTCATTATTCTTGGTACAATTCCATTATAACATGATACACAGGAATACATGTAGTACACCAATGTACACTTGATGAGCAATGTTGCATTGGCTATAAAAAAAAATGAGCGAAAATATTTCGAAACACTACTTATCTGGTGATTTTCTGTCCATGATATCAGTATAATCTGATACACAAGTAACTATAAACAACTCATATCCTTATTAGCTTAAGATTGTCACCCACTGGCGGATTTAGAGCCCCCCCCCCCCCTTTTGTGTCCAAAATATACATAAGATTTAATAAATCAATTTTTTGGTGTGGCCGTGGGCCCTTACACCGACCCCAAACTGGTCGCCCCCCCTTTTTCAAGATTCCTGGATCCGCCATTGTCACCCAGGCAGCTGATTGAAAAGGTCTTGGTTTGCAGTATATATTTTCGCAAAAAGATCCCTTGCTGCACAATGGCCGCAAGTGGGGGGTTTAAATATGCTGCCTTCCACCTGCAATCATTGTTTTTTCCAACAAGAGTGAAATATTCTAATAACACGTACACACAGAACTTTGAAGATTTTGAAGGTAATTTATATGTCTACTAAAATTAAACAAATATTTAAAAAATCTTATAGTAAGCTGCAGCTACACACTCACCAGTTTTGGTTAGAATACCTTTGGAAATCATCAATGTATAATTCTGTAAATTTAAAGGGGGGGGGGGGCAAAGTTCAGCTTTTTCCCTGCCCGTATTTAAGTATCAATCAGTAGAGCTACATCTCATCAGAGACTTCTCATTAAAATTGGACCGAATCTGGGGGGAGTTACAGCCACACTATCTAGGAACGCATGCTAGAGGTCTTGTCTTCCCACAAATTTTTATTAAAATAGAAATTTGGTGTTATGACTATTTATAACACCAAATTTTCTATTTTAATAAAAATTCGTGGGAAGATAGTCTGTATAGCACGTCAAAGAATGAGGGCGCATTTGACTGGCATTCGGTAGGAATCTGGGTGCACTTTAAAAGTGAAATTTCCGTTGATCTGACACATGAAATTTTAGCATTCTTTTGATGTATCGAGTTCCTTTAAAATAGCACAGTGAAATATTTTCCCGATAATGTGGTTTGATTTGCTAGAACATAACTTGAAAATTGGCTAGATGGGTCATTTGATACAAAATATTACCTTTTAAAACTCGTTTTTCTAAAAATTTGCTCTCTATGGATCATTTCTCCATGATTTTAAAACGTTATTTGTGCGCATTTTAATTCAAAGAAACGAGCAAACATTTGTACAAAATGGAGAGAAGACCCAGAAACAATAAAAATCAATTTTAAGCCCCCCCCCCTTCCCAGTGTGTGTTGCCATACCCTTTCTGATAGCTCAGTAGTATGTGTTACCAGTCCAGAGCACACAGGAATGGAAAAAAGAAATTGTTCGATCCTCGCACGGAGCGTTAATTTTTTTTATTATTCAAACAATGAAGTCTTTTGTCAGTTTAATTTTATATACTGATTTACATGTACTAAAATTTCAAAATAGATACATTTTGCTTCAGTTGCAACGACAGCGAACCTATTGAAAATTTAATATAAATATACTCTATTTGTTATTTATGTGAAGAGTTACTTTGTTATTGTAACTATATATTAACGACGTTGGATCCTGATATTTAAAGTCTTAAACTTTTTTTGTCAAGTATATTTTTAGCTTGAACACACATAGCTTAATTAAAAATCAAAACAAAAAATGGGGGTCAATATGCTTCTTTTGGCGCTACAGTACATTTAAAATGACCTTTTTGCACTGAATTTGTGTCTTAATTAAAAATAACATCTTCGACGTTTTCCCTCCAATATTTTTTATCCAAATAAATCATGGGACAAAGTATGCTATTATTCTCTTTTAAAAAAGACACATTAAAATTGTGACAAAGAAAAATTTTCAAATTGCTTCGCATAATCAATTATTTGACCTTTCTGCACTCACAAAATGTCATTTTTCGGGCATTAAAATTTAACAAGCAAGAAAAATATTTTAAAGTCTTAAACTTTTGCTGAATTTAAGTAGATTGATCAGAGTTATCTTATATATTCAGAAAAGAAAATCAAAAGTGGAGGTCTATGATGTTATTTTTTAGATATTACTAAAAAACTGTTAATTTTGTGATAAAATTGGCTCAATTTTTTCCTGGAGTTTCAGAATATATTTTCTATATTTGTCACAATATGATGATAGAATTCACAAAAACTGATTTAATTAATATTTTAGAACCAGTATTAAACATTTCAATGCACAAAATAGCTCTGTGTGCAACCAGCATGGAAAAATAGGAATCTAAACTTAACAGTACTGTATATATTTTAAAAGGGAAAAAATGATCATTTTCTTCTAAAAAAAAATCTTCCGCCACAAAATATAGTTCCTGGCTTAATCCTATTTGAATGGAATTTAATCGCGTTTTTTCATTGGATATAGTATAATTTGCATTGTAGAATCCAGATTTAATGTTAGAACTTAAAAATAATGTAGAATTTTAGAAATAAAGCTCCAGACCAAAATCTGCTCAAAAGCTCAGGATCGAACGTCCTTAAGATAAGAGGATTTAAATGTTACAATTTGACAAGGTAGTTCAATGTAAATATAACTTTTTACTATGTGCGTAACTTTGTAAAGTCTTTCCAGATGTTGTCAGCCGACCAAATCGTGGATATTTTAACTAGAATTATTTGGTACTCATGATTCCTACAAATCACACGCAAAATACGCCCATATTCTTTACAACGTTTAACTGTTAATAAAGTAGGTTTATCAATTGTAAAATATAGTTTATGAAGCATAAAATACAGTTAACGACGTTAATCTATATTGAATGTAATATTTCTAAACAGAGTTTACGCCTTAATCAATGTTTCACAAGTTTAAACTATACAGTGAAAACAATAAATGAGAAAAGTGTTCAAAGCGGCCATCCATTCAACATTCCACACATCAGTTCTTCAGGCTAACTTGCTTGAAATCGAGGGAGATCGATTCTACGTCCCGTAGCTTAGCAGCCATGGGTGTCAAGTGCCTGTGCTTGGAGTGGCTTAGCCTCTTCTATGATTAACAACTTTATCTTAACTATTGCTAACGAATGTCAGTTATAAGGATAAATTTTGTTAACTATAGTTTACGACCGAAAACTGTAATTTGAAATTTAATTTTTCACTCTCTTATTTGTCGAACCATAAGCATTTTTCTCGGGTAATTTACAAATGTAAAACATGGTTTATCTGCATGATAAAAGTGAGACTATGATTAACAACTCGAAACAATGTTTAAAGAATGTTAGTTATAGTTTACAAATGAGAATTTATATTGACTTGCAAAAACTATCATCAACGTTTATTCGAAGGCAGAAAATCTTGGTTTAGCATTTGTAATTAAACCCAAGTTTTACAGATGAAAACTATAATTAAGAAATCCTTCACCATAGTTTACCCTTCATAAACTATAGTAGACGATAAAATTATTGATAAAACTAGTTTATCAACTGTAAAACTATGCTAAGGTCTTTTTGTGAATTTAGCGCGCCGTACCTATCTGCAATGGAATTTACACTTTTAAAAATATCTTAATTTTCCTAATTGTGCCCGTAAAGGCTACCATGAGAGACACTTCGTTTTTAAAGCTTAAGCACAATCTGAAAAACAATTTATTATACAGATTGAAATATTTTGCAATTCTTTACACGTTGTAAATTGCAATTACTTTGTTCAGCGGTAATTATGCTACTCGAGCTACATGTGTTGTAGCCTGTGGTCAAAGATTTTGTCGTGTGATTATTTCAGTGTATTTACATTTTTTATTGTGTGTATTAATAAGTCTTGTACATCCGATAATGTTGACACGATTAGTTGTGTGTTCATGTCGAAAATTAAATCTGGGATAAAAGAAATAACGAATGTTTACAAACGTGAGGTTTAAAACAGATTTTTTTTTCAGATGTAGGTTATGCAATAAAATAATCACGTAATCTTATTTACCTATATTTGAATCTTTCCCATTCGTTATTATCAAACAATATATTTGTGAAAGGTATGGAAAGTCTAAGGAGGAGTGGTCTCTTTCCATTTAAAAACCAGAATACTTTGTCATTTTTAAAACATTTAAAATGGACCTAAAATCAATGATAAAAGTCAAATACACATTAATATTCAAGGAACGTATTTTTTGACCAGCTTCCCAACATATTGACCCCACGGCCTTATCCAAGGTTGGGAGCATGAGAATATAGGGTTTATATCCATGTTGAAGGTTTTGGCTTTAGTAATTAATATCCTAACAAAATGATTAACTGGTATGGCGGATTAATAATATACTGGATTAAAAACTTTCATAATACTGGTAGTTACAAGCAACCTACAATGGCATTAACTACACCGTTTTTTCTATTTCAAGATTTGTTTACGGTTAACGTGTATCTTGCAAATGGATATTTCTCTCGCTGACTCAACTAATTAACGTTACTGGTCTGCAATTCAAATTTCTCTTTCACTATAATTAAGTTTTTGCGAATCTTCTTAATTGTAACTTATTTCTGATTTTCGTGCTCTGGAATTATTACATGACAATGTTGGAAATAACCTAATTAACGAGGGTGTGTATTGCGGAAAATTTTAACTGAAATGGATATTGCTTGTGATTCAGCATCTTTGTAAATGCGTATTTTATGCAATTTCAAGTCGAAGTGACAATTTAATTATTATGCTTTTTTGAACAATTTTGTGAAGATGTGAACTAAGTTTGACGCAAATTGAAAAGACTGAACACGCAAGTGTGAAGACCAAAGATGGACACTTTGTCGGGTCCGTCGGGGGTTTCACTGAAAAGACTAAATATAAAAAATAATTTAGCTGAACTTTATCTTAAGAAACAGTTGGATCAATTTCAGAGGGAAAAGACTTTCAGTATCTCTCATATCGACAGAGATAGGTTCGACACGAGAGATTTCCTGAAACAGATCCAGAAAATTGAATCGGACAACAATCATGCAGCAATCACGTAAGTATGATGACATGTTTATGAGTATTGTGTAATACTTCTTTATTATAATAAATTTGTTGAAGCTTTGTACTGAAACTCAAATATTAGGGTTGAAGAGTCAGAATTGTGTCGAATGTTGACTGACATCTTTCACAACAAATTGCTGGGCCATTATTTTCACTCTGAAATGAATTGCCTACGGATTTCCCTTTTACTCGATTATGACAAGAAACGCACAACGGGTGTGACCGGTCGATAGGGGATACTTACTCCTCCATGACACCTGATCCCAACTCTATTTTCAGAAGTCCATGATGGCTCTGATCATAATTTGTACTGTTTAAATAGACTTTCGAGAATGATCACAGTTCGTTACCTTCACATTTCATATTGTTTGTTTTCTTCTTATTTTATTGGATAGATTTCCAAAAAATCTTAAGAGCTACAATACTAGGCGCCTATGCCTATGGACAAGACTTTTTACATATAGTATAGATTTTCTGATTTACATGTAGCTGACGAACGACAAGGTATATACAGTTTTGGTCGCGGCTCTTTACAAAGACTAAAATCTATGAAAAGACCAGACTTCTATAAAATATACAACAGCCTTGATGCGAAGTACATACTTACAGCATACGTTGTAATATGACAAGCTGGTATTACTTAACCACACAGTGAAAGTTCAGGCTGTTAGTGAAATTCTACTATTTATAAGTTGTGGACGTAAATTCATTTTTTTTCTCAACATGCTACAATTGGTGTAGGCCATTGGAAGCAATTGTCATCTAGACAAATAACTTTATAAGTCTTTGCTGCGCCGGTTAAAAAAATGTTGAACTTTTATTTTCTGGTAGATAAAAACAATTTTGGTACAAGCTTACTTGTGAGGTCAAGGAAGAATTAATATTTTACGAATCTTATATCTATCTTTCCTAACACTATTTTTTTTTTATTTACAAGTCATTTATACAAAAAAATCTAGCTGAATTGCTAATATTACAATAAATGAGATTTATATCGAAAATTGTCTTCTATTATCTTCTTGAGATCATTTTTTTATTGCAAAAAATCCTATTTTAAATATTTAAAATAAATGGTGATATCAGTAAACCATTTTTAACAAAACAACGTTTTCTGATCTATAAAACAAATTTTCCAATATTTGGGGAAATCAGAAAATGAATTTTTGATATCAAGAAATCATAATCAATATTTTGATACCGATATCATACACCTTTTGTTTAGTTTTTTTTTTATGTAAAAAAGCACCTTATAACAAGAACACAATATCTGTAGTGCGTGAATAGTTACGAACGTTTCGCTCCAATGCAGGTTCTTGTATGAATAGGGAATGGAAAAATAAGAAAGAAATACTAAAACAACACCTCATAGCCAATATGGGAAATTTTGAATCCTCGTCTACGCCAGAAATTAATAATCATGGAAATTGTACATTACTTGAATTCATCTCCGTGTGTCATGCAAATAGACATTACGCTTATATACATGTATATACAGCAATGTCTTTTCTATAATGCTAAGAAAATATAGTGTGCCATTTTGTGGACTACGTTACATGTAAAATTGATGCATATTCATGTAAAGCTATTGTGCAGGAAGTTTAAACGAAATCAATGGTTAAGAAAAGTATTATAAGTAATGTTCTCTGATTTCAGATACTTGGGGCGTGAACCAAACGCCAACTACAAGGAAAGACTTGCCAAATTCCGAGGATCAATCGAGACTTTGCCAACCGCCGACACCACCGCCAGAGTTGATCATGACGTCAGCAAAGAAACAGTACAGCAACCACCATACCGGCCATCTGAAATAATAAAACCTTCCACGGTACCAACCGTCCACCCAAAAACCACATTACCAGATCCTCCAACTAAAAACTGTACCATGCCAGAAATCAAAATATCCAACCCATCTCCAGAAATGTTGGATGCTGGTAACGAAACAAAGAACGAACAGAAAACAGTTAAACGTCCAGAGACTCTGCCATTGTTGGGCACTTCGTTGACCAACAGACGTGGATCTGTGTACCTGCAGATTGCAGCAGTTGTGAATACCCCAGATGATGCAAGTGTGTCATCCGAAGAAATGGACTCTGACGAGGAAGAAAATCCCCAGAAACCGAAAAAAATATCATCGCGAAGAAAATCGTTCATGGCATGGATTAACACGAAGAAGAAAACTTTTCCTTCTCTCCAACATGTTGATAATAGGTCAAAAGACGAAGTCAGAAGGCAATCGTTTTTCTCCTGGGTCGAATCACGGGAGAGGGAAAAGCAGAAAGCGACATTTGCCATCTTAGAAGCCGACGAGGAGTCGAGTGACATTGGTGAATTAGATTCACGGCCCCGTGTTCCCAGTGTTCGGCGTTGTGAAAGTTTAAACATCAACCCCTTTAAGGCCAAAGCTCGACAGATAATGCATACTTTAAGTTTCATTCGTAAAGAACCTCTTAATGCTAGACTTCAGAAGTTTTATTCAAAGCTTGAAGAAATCAAAAAGAGAGATGAAATGTCTATGCGCGTATTGAGCAGGAATGCTTGTAGAAGTGTGCAAGAAATACGAAGCCCAAGATGATAATACCTTCACTAGTTGTCTAAATGTGCTCCTAATTAAACGAAACCAAATCGTAACATTTGACCCAAGAAGATACTCAATTGTTTTTGAGTATTTACATAAACTATTTTTTCGTATTTTCGCACTCCATAAACTATTTTTTCGTATTTTCGCACTCCATTGAGTACAGGAAATTTAAAAAAAAAAAAATCCTTTTTCAAGGAAAAAAAGAAAGAGTTGCTCGTTTTCCCTAATTCTGAGATAGTGCTTTGTTTTGTGTCAAGATTAGGTTTTTCCGATTAGTAGTATATGTACATATGTATGTTTGCAGGACACCATCCCCGGAAAATTTTACTTGTTCAGCAATGTCAGGGATTAAAAAGTACTCCTACTGCTCCAATACATGTATTACAAATCGAAATGCAATTTCTTTCCTTTCGTTTTATTTTTTTAATTCCAAGAAAATAAAATCCAGTTTTAGTCAGACGTTGGTGTGTTGTATATATTTACACTTCAAAATAATTTGCTTTCTCGATCACCGATATCTCAATCACCATGGATACGTCGAAGTGAGATGGAAGTCCCAACCACTTATTAAAATGTATTTTAAGGTCTGACGACACGTTGCTTGAATATCTGTTTTGTATCTCTTCGTAAAATACAACAAATTAATCATAATTATCATTGACATGTGATTTTAAACTGTTTTCAAAATGTTTAAGTAGACAAGGACACCAAAAAATTGTGATATTTACAATACTAGTGATTTCCAATAGGGATCTATAGTAAATAGCATCCTCTGGGATCTTGCAAAAATGCCTGGTAAGGTACCTCAATTTTTTGTGAGGAAACTTGTTAAAGTAGCAATATTTCAAAGACAAATTCTTGGAAAAAAATATATATTATTAAGGAACGTGTCGTAAGCTTAATATTTTGAATCTTCGGATATCTTAAATTTTTTTCTCGGACCCCTTTTAATTCAAGATAACAAGGTTTAACTGTATATCCGAAAGATGTCCAATTTCTAAATACAGAGTAAACACCTTGTAGCGAACGGAAGTGCCTATGCGAACAATTATGATTCGCTATAAACTTATTTTATTATATCCGTTAGGTTTATAGCATGTTTTAAAATTACAGAGAATGAAAATCACTTTGCAATAAGCAGAAATTCATTAGATGTTCGCTGTAACCGTGTTATACTGTACATATGCCTATCAGAGCAAGCATATACTGAAGCTAAATTTTAATGTCTGTAGAATCTCCAGATTGAAAGGTGAAAAATATTAAATCATAAACATCCTAAGTGAATTTTGCAGCCAGTTCACCTAAAACTGCTTCTAATGATTTAAAAACACCGTGTTCTTGAAGCAGCTTGACTCCAAGTGAAAGGTGCTCCGTAATAACATACTAGTACTTTTCAGTTCTGTACTTTAAATATACTCGGTTTGTCTTTTCCAGATTAAAACAACAAACTACCGATTTAACAATTTAATACTTCCATTCACCAAAGCTGCATGATTCAATCACCCTGTGATTTAAATGTACAGTTGAAAAGTTTTACGTGCTACATACATGTATGTAGAGTTATGAAAGTGACTTGATGTTGGGTAGAAATTTAAAAAAAAAACATTGCACAGTGTCATACAGCAGTGTTATACACAACTAATTTCCATAAATAATTAACAAAAATATGCCTGAATTAGTTAAATTGTGTGACTAAAACATATTTTTTAAAGACATGTATATGTAATTTAAGAATATCATTAGCACTTACATAAAAACCCCCTAGGAAAAAAGTGTACAATATATGCATTTTTCTCTTAACAAGTGTCCTAGAAAGGGAAAAAAAAGTTAAATCTGGGAATGGAATGTCAGAAGAACAAACTTACACAATGATCACATTGATACAAGGTGGCAGTAAAAAGGCCTAATTATTCAAATTTGACAATGATTGCTGTGTGCTACTAAGCATATGAAGTTGATGTATGAATATACAACTTGAAACTTTGATCAAATTATGTGTGCAACTCAAATCTAAAAAAAAAAAAAAAAGATTGGGGAAAAAGTATCTATGTATAGATGTATACGAAGTCATTTAAAATAGGGAAAAATACATTTATAACAAAACTCACTCATTACATCCACAAACAAAAACAAGATATGACACTGAATAAACATTTAACAAAACAAAATTAAAACAACATTCTACCAGCACAGAGACATGCACAAAGGCTTACTGACTGTGAAAAATTCTTGGTTAAAAAAAAAAAAAATAATGGCTCAATTTATACTTCAAAATAACCCAAGGCCCTTTTTACAAAAGAACTTATGACTAAGACCAAAAAACTTGAGATGATTTCAAAACTTTGGAAAAATCAAATAATATGTCAAAGATTGCTTGTCTAAAAATATCTTTCAAAATCTTTTTCACAAGTTTAATATCAATTTCAAACTAATGTCAAGAAGCAGATTATTTGAAAAAAAAACTGCATTTTGGCCTTAGCCAGAAGTCATTTTGTAAAACGGACCATTCTGTGCAGTTCAAAAAGAAACTTCTGAGTTTATACTTATTGCATTTCGTATAAAATACTATGCTTTGGAAATCATTGCAAATTTTATTTTAAAAAAAACCCAAATCTCATAAAATTTAAAATTCTCTAAGTATGTCACTGCAAGAAAGTCTAATGCCATTGATACTTCTAAAAATACATAAAAAAATAAGCCTTGTGTTGAATAACACGTAATTAATGATGATTAGGAAAAAATATTAAACAAGGTTCTCAAAACTAATCTAAATTTGTTGTGTTTCTTGTTCATAATATTGGAAGCAGAAAATTCTCCAATTTTCAATTTCCTGGCATCCTTATGTTACAGAAGTGAAAATTTTCTGGCACAATTGCAATATTTAGAACAAAATAAATATCATAAATTACTATTCTTCTTGATATCTTATATCAGATTAAATCTATAAACTGAAATTCTTATAAAAATAAACTGATAACTTCATGGAATGGAACCATTTTCTCCATACCTTAACAACTCATCTAAAAAAACTTTCAACTATTTTCTTACTAACATTAAGTTTTCAAAAAGCTTAATTATATGCACCTCATTTATGAAATAGATTTACACCTGACTAGAACTAATTCATAAGGTAGACCATAGGCTAAGCTGACTTCTTATGATGTTTGGCACCACAAAACAAGTAATGAAAATAAATCTCTGAAAATTCTTCTCGTCAAATGTGGTATTTTTCTTTTCAAGGTAAATTATTTAAAAAATTTTAAGAAAATTCTGGTTAGAACACATCACTATCTTTTAGCTACACCTAAGGACATTTTATTTAGATTTATCTTTTTTTTTTTTAAAAACTTCAAGAAAAAAATTCTTTGCCTATTTCTCTTAAATAGCACCATACTTTCTTGAAATTTTCCTGTACATCTGAAAATTTCTCACATTCCATTTTGATGAAATTTTATAGGTGGCTTTTCATGAATGTAATCATGTAAGTAACATATCACCAATCTTCTTTGAATCAGAGTTAAAGCTAGTCCATAATAAATGTAAAATAAAACCCCCATTTAAGCCACAGGTTTATGCTCCTGCTTATCCTGTTGCTGTTGTTGTTGACCCTGTTGCTGTTGTTGCTGTCCCTGTTGACCTTGTTGCTGTCCCTGTTGACCTTGAGCAGGGACCTGTCCAGTTTGCTGAACAGCTGGCTGTCCTTGATGTTGTGGATCCACATGACCTTGTTGACCTGGGACTGGTGGTTGTCCTTGACCTACCTGTGCTGCTGGATGGCCTTCACCTGCTTGTTGTCCTATGGGTGGCTATAAATTATATGAATAAAAATGTAAAACAAATCTGAATTGAATAACTTGTATGAAGTGCTATATGTCACTTTGATAAGACATGTAAAATAAAGAAACATATTCCTGGTCTTAGATATAAAATAAATAATGCTAATCTTCTAAATATTGATCATCTCTCCAAAGCTTTTAAGCATATATGACCATGCAAACTTTTTTATTTATCCATTTTTGTCATTATCTTTTGCCAATAATGCAAATGCAATAGAAGTATATGGATATTCCAAGCGAGGAAACTCAAATACTCATAAACTCATAAAATCATTTTCAAAGACAGTTCTTCATTCAATGTGATTTTCTACAGAGCTATAGTATTTGGTTAAAAATATAGATCTATAATACATATAAGTGTATTTTTTCACAATCACAATAAAAAGTAAATGCCTTTCACTAACAACACATGACTTTCTATTTATAGTTTTACCTGTTGTCCACCAGCCTGAGCTTGTTGTTGTGCATGTGCCTGTTGCTGAGCATGGAACTGAGCCTGCTGTTGTGCATGTGCTTGCTGTTGAGCATGTAATTGTGCTTGTTGTTGAGCATGTACTTGTTGCTGTTGCTGTGCATGAAACTGGGCTTGTTGCTGTGCATGGAGTTGTGCTTGTTGTTGAATGGCTGCTACTTGATCAGGATGTAGCTGCTCAAACTGTCCACCTTGTGGAGGCATTCCACCTTGAGGGTGGAATCCACCCTGTGGGGGCATTCCACCTTGTGGAGGCATTCCACCTTGGGGGTGGAATCCACCTTGTGGAGGCATTCCACCATGAGGCATCTGCATTTCCTGAACATTTCCTGGGTGAGGTGGCTGATTCTAGGAGGTTGCAAGGATAGCAGATTAATACATGGTAAATGACAAGGAAAGCGATTGATTTTACCTTCTTGTTTGGATTAAACTTGACAAAAAGATTATTTTGGAACCAGTCCTCAACCATGTTATAAACTTTTTTCTGTGAAAAGGGACAAACATTTTTATAAAACAATTTTTCAGTAAATTTCTATTTCCTTGATAAAGCTGATTTTGATCCTAATATTTGATAAAACCTCAATAGATGAGCAGGGCTTTCAAAATGATTAGAAACAGGTGATACTTTTACAAATATGGGAGGTACCTTGTGGAAGCAATTTTAAATAAATATGTTATCAAATTTTCCTCTCATGAATATTTTGAGTGTGATCATGATTTCAGCCGGGTAAAAGTACTGGGTACTGGCAGATTTTGAAAGGCCTAGATGAGGGTTGTCTTACCACAACTCCTGGCTGAGCGTGACTGTCAAACGCCCCCTGCTGTCTCCTCCTGTTCTCCTCCTCCATCAGCATCCTCTCATACTCCTTCAGCTCCTCCTCAGTGTACTGCTCCTCATTCTCAAGGGTCTGCAAAATTAGTTTAAAGTGTATATTTTAAAAACACTAATGCCTTACTGTGTGATGTGTCAATTAATATATTTGCATAAATTAAGATTAGAGAACCTTGAAAAAAAAATTCAAAAATACAAAGCTTTTTGGGTGAATAATCATTTATTTCACTTTCCAGGGCTCAAAATTTAGCCATGTCTGACTAACTCAGACTAATAAAAGTTGGGTTCGATATTTTGTGTCAAAGTAGCCCAACTGGTTGTGTAAAAATTAACCCCCCTTCCCCCCCCCCCCCCAAAAAAAAAATTTGCTCTAACACCATCAGTATTTAATATTTTGAGACATTTGAACACAGAATTTGAAATTTACAGCTGCATAATTTATAAGAAAGTAGTTTAACATGTAAACTGTAACCGGTAGATCTATATCTTTAGCAAAGTTTGTGATTTGTGCAGTAGTGATGATGATTTGTCCTTAGGATCAGGCCTAGAATTTTAACAGTTGATTCAATCATGTGTGCTTTTTTTTTTTTTTTTATCAATGTGTAAGATCAGGTTTTGCTTCATTTTTTGATCCAGACAAAAATAACATACATGTACATGTAATCATGGCAGCTTTTTTTTTTTTTTTGGAAAACTCTACTTGTTTTATTGTGTAACAGTTTACCAATGTGAGATATTTATTTACACTATTATAGTATGCATATCATTATTTTGCCAATCTTGCTGATTTTCTCATAAAGAATAAATTCTACCTAACGTTATCTTTCCTGCTAGGTCATTTTCTTAACAACAGTTGAATGGAATATGCTTTAATTTAACCAGACCTAAAACTAAAGTGAGTAGAAATACATCTCCCTTTCTGATATTTTCTTGAATTCAATTTTCAGGTAGTAGTGCAACTGGTAGAGTTTGTTTTAAAGTTACCGGTAAAGTTGAGACCTGCTTTCAACAAATTTTTTTTTTTTTTTTTATTACCCCATCACATGAATATGATGATCAATAAGTTACAGCCAAGTTTGGGGAGCCTTGGATTCTGTAAACTAATCTGACAAAGTTCCTATACTAAACATCTTGTGACAGGTGAATTTTTTATATACAAAAAAAAAAGGGAAAGAAAAGCCAACATTCACACCTCAGCCATACAAGACATATACATGCAAGCTTAATTATCTAAATTTTACCAAAAAAAACAAAAAATCATTGTTTCAATAATAAGTAGTTTGAGCAACAGGGGGTTCATCTCAAACAAAACAATTATGCAGTACATGTTCTAATGGCAGACAGTTCCATTTTCTATCAAATTTCTCAATATCACAGTTTTCCTGTAAATATATTTCTCACATTTATAATAATACAAAATTTCGTTTTTAGCTCCTTCAAATGAAGGAATTTGTTTTAAACATCTTTTTCGGTATATGTGCTTCTTTACAATACATGTTATTAGATATGTAATGTTATAATACTTATCATCTTTTCCAATAATAATGTCCAATTTATTCATTGCAATATCAATTCCAGATAGTTCTTTTATCCAATCTTGAATTTTTTCCCAGATCTCACTTACACATTCACACTCCCAAAATAAATGTCCCAGTGATTCTGGATGTACATTACAAAAAGTACATAATTCTGATTCTACAATCCCAATCTTGTTTAAAAATGTGTTTGTTGCAAGAATTCTGTGCATAATGCGGTATTGAATCCATCTAATTTGCATGTCATTTGTAACTTTAAAAATAAGACTATTTTTAGTTTTCCACCAATTACTGTTCACATCTAGATTAAACTCTTTTTCCCATTTTATTTCACATTTAGGTTTATTCCACCTTTGATTCAAAAATACATTGTAGTAATCCTTTGAGCCCTTTTTACTTTTTCTAATTATTTGCAAAAATTGTGGGTAAAAAGGTAAGTTATCAACAGTATACTCTGTATTGTAATATAAGTCTAGTTTCTTTATACTATTTATAATCCCGTAATACAAGGTAAATGGTGGATAGAAATTGTACTGATTACAGAACTCTTCATAACACATTAATTCACCTGTGTAATTGTAAAAATCTAGTATGTAACAAACACCTTTTTCAAACCATTGTTTATAAAATACACTTTTGTTATTAATACATATTGATTCATTAAACCATACAGGACTCAAAATACAGTGAGTCTCGATACACTTTCTTAATTCTAAAAAAGCTGAAAAAACATCAATCCAAAAAATATTTGTACTGGTTTTAATAAGCTTTTGCAAAAAAGAAGGTCCAAAAACTGTTATCTGTGATGCATTAGGCAAAGTTTCAATTATCAAGTGTTTCCAGGCAGATTTACATGTATCATCATAAAAGCGGCGAACCCATGTAATTTTCAAACTTTTAGCAAAAGTATCAAGACAAATCATTTGGAAACCTCCATTTTCATAGCTTTGAATAATATCACTCTTTGCAACTCTTGGAGTTTTAAAGTTCCATATATACTGATAAAAAATATTTTCGATTTCTTTCAATTTTTCTTTTGGGGGAGTTGGTAAACTAATTAACAAGTGTGTAATTTTTGGAAGAATCAATGATTTAACCACAGTAATCCTTCCTGCAGTTGATAACATTCTGTGTGACCATGAACATATGAGTGCTTTTATTTCTTTAAGTTTCGGTGTGAAGTTTAATTCCAACATAGAGTTACTTTCTAGATTTACACAATATGTTATTCCTAAAACAGTAAAGGGTTTTTGAGACCAGTTTAAGTTTTTGAATTCATCTGATAACCTCAAATTGTTTCTTAGTGATCCTATTTTAATACACTGTGTTTTTTCATAGTTAGGTTTTAGTCCAGAAAACTTTGAGAATTGATCAACAAGAGAGAGAGCTGATTTTAAAGAGTTTTTGGAACCATTTCTAGTAGCAATACTGTGTCATCTGCATATTGAAGCAATTTAAATTCCTTACTCACTGTAGTAATGCCCCTGATTAACGAATTATTCCTTATCATTATACCCATTATCTCAGCACAAAGGAGAAATAAATATGGAGAAATTGGATCACCTTGTCTGCATCCTCTACCTAAATTGAAGAATTCAGAAAAAATGCCATTCTGTATTACACACAACCTGGCATCTTGAAAAAGAAGTTTAATACACTTTATAAAGAAATCACCAAAATTGAAAAAAATCTAAGACTTTAAAAATAAATTTCCATGAGACCGAATCAAAAGCCTTTTCAAAGTCAATGAGAAGGACTAATCCAGGTATATTGTTTTCATTACAATAATGTATAATATCATAGAGGAGTCTGGAATTTTCACCAATGTACCATCCTGCAAGAAAGCCTTTTTGATTCTCATGAATTATTTCTGATAAAATTGGTTTAATACGATTTGCTAATACACCAGATAATAATTTATAAGTGATATTCAAAAGTGAAATTGGTCTCCAATTTTTTAAATACTCTCTAGGTTTATTCCCTTTAGGCAGAATTGAAATAATTCCTTGTCTTTGAGTAGCTGATAGTCGACCGGACTTTAAACTATGTTTGAAAGACTTTAGAAGCAGTGTACCAATGTCGGCCCAGAAGAATTTAAAAAACTCAGCAGTAAAACCATCTGTACCTGGTGATTTATCATTTTTAAAGTTTTTTAATGTATCAAGTATTTCCTGTTTAGTTATGTCCAATTCTAATTTCTTTTGAGCTTCTGAGGATACCTTTCTAATATCATAGTCATGTATTACATCATTTAGGTTTACATCTTCTAATGATTGCTCTTTATTACTCTAAAGTGATTTGTAAAAATTTGCAACCTCTTCCAAAATCTCATTTTGTTTATTAATAATTTTGCCTTGGCTATTAATTAATCTATTTATATTTTTATTGACATAATTCCTTTTTTCGAGACCCAGGAAATATTTAGTGGGTTTCTCACCATCCTCAATCCACTTACACCTACTCCTTAATAGTAATCCATTTAGTTCATATTTTCTTATTTCTTCTAGTTCAATCTGTAGGTCATTAAGCATATTTGAATATATTTCTAAGTGATATGCATTGTACAACTCCAATACAACTTTTATTTGAGTTTGTAGTTCTTGTTTTCTATTATTTCTTTCCTTAACTTTTTTAGCTGAATAATACAGGGTCATGCTTCTTATTTTCATTAGCAATATATCAAGGAACAAATCATCAGGAATTGTTAAACTTGAATCAGTACTGGTATTAGAATCTGGGCCTTTATATTCTGACAGTGTCTCCTTGATTACTTGTTTTACATTTGAAACATAATCCTTATTTCTCAAAAGAGAATTGTTAAAACGCCAAAATCCCTTACCTCGATGGAAATCATTAATTATGAGCTCAATTTCTATTATAGAATGATCTGTTTTGTACCCAGGCAAAATTTTAACTTCTTCTACTATTGACATTAACTCCTCAGAGATGAGAAAAAAATCAAGTCGCGCCTGCTTCAATGGGTTCCTTCGATTCCATGTGTACATTTTAGAATCGGGATTATTTATCCTCCAAGGATCTATTAAATTAAATTTATTCTTAAGTTTTTCAATTTCTTCTCTATTTTTTAAATTGTTTTCTCTGATGTAATTATAAAAATCTAGTTGAAAATCCTGAACAACATTCCAATCACCACACATAATTACAAAATCTGATTCAATATCTTCAATCAAATTTCCTATTTCAGAGTAGAAATGAGAATCATCTTTATTTGGGCCATATAAGTTAACAAGAGTAACTGTGTATCTATTTTCAACTAAGATATTAGATATAATGTAATTTCCATTGTTGTCATATTTCACTGTCAAAATTTTTAGTTCTATATTATTGTTCAAAAGTGTTAGGGTACCCCTAGCATCAGTTCTACCTGAGCTCATTAATATATCATGACCCCATTGGGCATAAATTGATTTTTTTTCAGACTCGGTACAGTGAGTGCCTTGTAAACAAAATATGGAGGACTTTAAGTCCCTTAAATAGTTAAAAACATCTTTTCTTTTTTTACTATCATGAAGTCCCCTGCAATTGACTGATGTAATCTTAAATCTAGTCATAGTAAAATATTTGCAAATTAAGCCAGCATATACAAAAAAAAACTTTTACATACCCATCATTCATACTAAAAACAAAAAAACCTTCCAGCATGTTATCAAATACCAGTTTCACAATAGATTTGATATTATCAAAAAAGTGAGGGTTATTATGAGAACAATAAGGTTATTCAATTCATATAGGTATATAAATGTACCTGTACTAGTATAATAGTTCCTGTCTTCTCTCGCTCTAAGCAGTATAGTTCTTAGTTAAAAAATATCATTCATACCCAGGGACAATTGGAGAGATAAATACATAACCTTACATTCTTTAAGTTTTGGATTAAACAGAATTCTCCCCCACTTTTTTCCTACCGAGAAAATCACGCCATTCCTTGGCGCCACCAAACCGGAAGTCCCTGCTTTCAACAAATTGGATGGTATATGTACATGAAACCATTATACATATATTATTATGTATTTTAAACCAAAAATTTCAAGAACCGTTACTTACATCCCATCCCTCATCCTTGTTAAAGTCCTCAGACTTTGTGTACTGCATGAACTCATCCAGGCTGACCAGTTTGTCCCCATCTTTATCCAGTTCTTTCATGACATGCTCCCTCATACGTGCCATTTCTTCATACCTCTCCTCCATATCATCTTCTGGGTTATTGGGGTCATAGACCTGGTCCAGCTAAACAAAGACAAACACCATTATCTTATTAATATGTACATAGTGCAGATCTAAACTGACTGATCATACAGCCAGCTTCATCTATTTTTCACTTTTTCTTGCAACGTAAAAAGTTTGAAGTAAAATTACAAAATGCAATTACATAACTAGTATTCATTTTTCACTTTCTGATACACAGAAATAATTTGTCTCAAAATCAAATTAAAAAAAAAGGAAAAGGTGTAACTTTCCAGTATTTCATAATATGTATTTTAATGTATGTCTGAATCATACCTCTTTCTGAAATAATGCTTCAATTTCTTCCTCATCAAGCAACCTGTTTCCATCCAAATCTGTTGAAGAAAAAAGGAGAATAATAGTTTAAACAGATTTTTCCAGGTTATACATACTAAACAAGTACTAAAAAAGAAAAATTACCTTACAAGGAACACAGATACAACTTATACTAGAAGTTGTGTCTAAGGACTGAAAGACTTAATACTTTGTTTCATCTTTATAATCAACTAATAATAATGATTCTGTATTCATACATAGAAATTTTATGTGAAACAAAGTCTTCTATATTTTCTGTTATTTCCTCCAAAGGCAAGTCATAAACTGTTAAAGCTGAATTATAAAGCTGGGACAGAAATACTGTTTACTTAAATTGTAATAATAATAATGATGTATGATGGTATAAAAGACGAAGTTGGGCTGTTTATGTCAGAGGAAAAACAAAGGACAATTGGAAATATCAAACACAGGGCTTTGTGTATTGTGAAAAAAGGTGTATGGAGTACATAAAAATAAAATATATTATAATGTTGAGCATTATGATATAATCCTGTTTTCTTTCAATTGATATTTCATTAATACTGCACCTATCAATCTAAAGTAGCAACACACAATAATCACAATGCTAATACTGTACATTTGATCTATTGCTAAGCCAGTGCTTTCTAGACATCAGCAAAATTATATGTAGGGTAGAGATAGCTCAAAATAAGCCACAAAAATACATGTATACTATATTTTAAAAATTTTCCAGAAGATACCATATTCATCTCAAGAATTTTTTTTACAGTGCTCAAGAAAATGATATACACTGGAAGCATACAGCAGTTGTTCATATTTATTATTGTATCATTAGGAAGACTTCTATGAATCTCAAATAATTCAAACTATGCATTGTAAAAGACAACATGAAATACATGGACATGTGATGAATTAACTGATGCATTAAGCATTGTGCAAAAGTGAGTTATTCAAACTTAAATATTGACAGAAATGAAAACCAAAAGTACCTTTAGGAGAACAAGGCTTACAAACTCATTCCAAACATCATCATATCATAACACTATGAAAATATACATGTAAGCAGACAAAATTCTATCAGAACTCACAGTTTAAAAAGTATTGGCATTAGCCTTCACAATCAAATACTTGCACATGCTTTGTTAGTAAAATTACAGTTAGATTTGACCATGCATATTCTCTGTCAGTAAAGTGAAAAATTACATTCCAATTAACCAAAGACCCCTACAGGAAATACATGTCTATGTTTATGTCGATTATATTAGAATTTAGATAGGAGAGTTTCATAGGCTGCTTTTCAATATGGCTTTTTTGTGGTGTTGTCATGCTGTTTTTTTGGTTTTTTTAAAAAATATATTAGTATCTTTTCACTATCAATTTTTCAAAAGAATTTTCAAAGTGTCTTAGATTTTAAAAAGATTACATTTTCAAAAAACATAGCAGTGATTGGATTAAATTTTCATTGTATTTACCTTTAACTTGAAATTATATTGTGATGTGCATGAATGTGATGTGCACAAATGCCCATTTACCCTCTATAGTATGAGTGAACTTAATTTTGTAAAAGAAAGTAAACTTTCTATTTTTTGCAGCTAAAAAAGCCATAGTATAGAGACCCACAACAATAACAGGGAAATCTAGCACATGTAAAAAGGTTACCATGTTTATAGAAAAAAGTTTTGGGGTCAAAGTTCTCGGGGTCAAAATGATCCTCTTTCTCCCACACTTCTTCGAGCTGCGCCTTGCTGCCCTGTTTAAACAAGAGATAAAAAAAGCTTTAGGAGAAAAAACAAGCAGCATTATTTACCGTGCTTCATGAAGAAGGTTCTGGGGTCAAAGGAGTCCTTATCAAGGTGGTCATCTTTCTCCCAGACCTCTTCTAATTGATCTTTACTTCCCTACAACAAAAAGCTCAGATTATCATAATACTGTTCTACATGGATTGTACATGAATAGCTCACTCTTTCCGTTGGAATTACACTGTTCCTGCATTAAAGAGAATCAAAAGATGGTTATAAATGTGTTACTATGAACCATACCATAATATTTTGTGATCAGTAGGGAAAACATACATAAGCCCCCCCCCCCCCCCCCCCCCCCCCTTTCCATTCATAGCCTGTTGTGACATTATGTTACTTGACCATAAATTTAAGAGCTATGCTTGTCCTCTATAAATAGAAGGTAAGTTTTGGCCAGAAATTGGCTAAAATTGTCGCTGTTTGCAAAATGGTCAAAAATTACCTATCTCTATATTATGAAACTGTAAAAAAAAAAAGAGAGAGAGAGAAAATTTCATCTTTGACATCTATGTGCTTATTTTCAAAAAAGTCTGATTATCTTATTGGGACAGAACTAAATTTAACCCCTAAATATTCTTACAGGGTGGTGTAATTTAGGATGATCCCTGTGTTTTTTCTTCATCTCTTCATATTTTTGTTCTTCTTTCTTTCTCTCCTCTTCAGGTAATTCCTTTAAATGTTCTCGTCTTTCATGTTCTTTCTCCATTTCATAATTTTTGAATTCTTCTCTTCTCTGCTTGTCCAATTCATCTAGGTCTTTTGTTGCCTGCAAATATATTTAGCAAATACATGTAAATTACACTTTATTGTTGCCAACAAGCACTTTCACTAATTTCATACATTAAATGCAATGTGTAATTTATTCATTTTTACATGTACTGAATGATTTTTAATTTTTTTTTTCCATTTTCCTAATTTAAAATGAACTTTAGCAAAATGATAAAAATGTCTTAAACTCTTTCAAACTTGAATAATCTTGTTAGGATATTATCAAAATTGATATTCAAGATCATTTTAATGAGGGCTGGGGGTTCCCAAAGGAAATAAAAGGAAAGAGGGGAAATAGGGGGATATTTCCAGTAGAACGAAAGATTGATTAGTTTTTCATTCAAAAGCCAGATCATGAATAAATTGGACATACAATACCTTCTGAATTAGTCTTTCTAAATCTTTCATTTCAAATGAATGGGGGTTCTGGACATCTACATGGTGCAAGACTGATTCATCAATCTTCTGTATTCCTGGGGGGAAAACATAGTAGACTTGTTAGCATAAACTGTCATTATATTGTTTATTTGTGATTTATGTTCAAAGCTGAATTTTATTTCTTTGAATAATCACTATCTAAAAGTGCATAAAATATTATCAATGCAAAATTATTCCATTTCACGTTACAGTACATTCAAATTATTTTCTAAGCAGTTTCAAGTTAATTCTTCAGAGAGTATGCACAGAATTTTCAAGGATGAATGCTGAATGTTAAATTAAGCATAAGTTAAGAGATCATGATTATCATTAACATTACAGGTGATATAAGTGCAAAGTTGAAAGCGAAATTGACAAGTGTATGCTAATTAGTGTTTGTCAATGCAATGAAAACAAATTCAACCCTTAATATTGATGTGTGTGCAATAAAATAAACTGAAAACCAAAAATTTAACTATGTACCAGTGACGTGATACCACGTTCTTTAATAGAAATAATTTTAAAACTTTAAACCAATATTGAAGTCTTGCGTTTCATAAATTAAAATAAAAAAAAAACCATTGCAGTGATGGCATTGAAGATGTTTGACATTTCTTTCCTTGGGGGAGAATTAATTATGTTAACTATGAATGTCAAACATGTTGAACTATAAATGAACTTTGGTATTCTCCTTACAATTCATCATAAACTGTGACACAACCTTGTGGTCAAGATTATTTGTATGTTACAACTTTAGTTGCAAAGATCGAATCATAGTTTTAAAAAAAAGATCTGACTGTAGCAGACTGGATAAAAATCATACAGACATGTATCTGGCCAAAACCAATTTTGAAAGAATGTTTCATACCTTTGTTTCAAGTATCATTAATTCTAGGAAATGTACAATGAACATATTTGAAAAGTAAAGCCAATATGTATAACCCTGAATTAAAATCTGGATGAAATTTGAAGTTATAGCAACTCAACAAACTCTTTTACATAACAATTTTGTTATTTCTCTTCTATTTTTAAATCATTTTACCGTAAGTTTTGGGGTATATGTCGATGGGGTGTATAGGTCGAAAGGCTCATTTTCAGCCATAATTTTTAAAAAATCCTTAGATAGGACGAATTCGGAAGATACGACGAGGCTTTGTTTATCGATTTCTAGAGATTCTTACGTAGATACTACGTATCAGAACATGTAAACCTCTTTAACTTAACCCGTGATATTAACGTATTGAGAAAATAAACTAGTACTTTTATGAGTACAGTATTTTAATAGTGTTTTATACAAACGTAGTTAAAACTCCCTTGAATTGTGATATAATGTATTTTCTCCAACTTGCCTGTTCAATGCCGTCGTAGTTTGACTCTGTCGTTAAACACATAAATACGGTAGTATAAAACAGCTATAATTAGGGAAATACCCGAAATCAAACAATAATCATTTTAGAACATCGTGGACACATTTTATTCCGACATTAATTACCGCGGTAAAAAATTAACTTCGATGACCGCCATTTTTATATTTTCTTGTCCAGGGATTTGCTAAAACACGCAAATGACTATTACATGTAACATTGCGCAAATGAAATTAATCATATGCTATAATTTTGCATGAGATATTGTTGTAAAAAATAAATTTAATTGAGAGTACATTCGCAATTTAACAGTCATCAAGAATTTCACAGTTTTGTTTGTTCAATGATGTATAGCACTAATACCCCTGTAACGGCACGTGGATCTGTTAATTATGCCCTGCAGGTGTTTTAACCAACACAGGTGTTAACACCTTTGTGTACACAGTGTATATCCCTTTATCTGTCAGACAATTAAAATTCTATTAGAAGCCAATCTTTGTATAATTCAGTGTACCCCTTGGGTACGAGGAAGCTTTCAATTCTATCATTTAAAAAAATATTTATTTTGTAAAACAAAAACAAAAAAAAACTGTGAATAAAAAATAACGTATCGTAAATAAATGAATTTATAACTTCCAAAAACGTATAATAGTATATTCAAGATAAGTTCGTTTTATTATAATTAATTAAGATATAAAACAAAATAGTTATTACTAGCGGTATATTTGGTAAATAAATTTAGGAATTTACTGGCAACAATTTACTTCACGCATTTTACATTTAAATAAATATCACAAGACAATGAACAAATATTTAGGCATACTATTTCAATTAATCGTTACAAATAAATCGTAAAAAAAAAGATCATAAACTCTTCCGTATTTTAAATTTTGATACGGATGCGGTTTTCTTTTTAGTAAACGATTGCGACTTCCAACTTCACAAGATGGACACAGCATGTTGTAAATATACTTTGAGACATTAATAACTAGATGATATACCGGTAATAAGTTTTTTTTTTGTACATTGACGGATATTTAATGGAACTTATTTTGTAAGAAATCAATGGAATAAATATTTAATTGTTTATTGTTTATTATTTTTTTCTCGGTAAAATAATTTTAAAAAATACGAAAATGGCACAGATTTGCTTTAAAATTGACGTAAATTTTACTGATTTGGAGGCATTTTTCGTAAACTTGAGCCTTAGATAGGTCGATTCGTTAAATAGGACGACCCCAGCGGTTCTGAGAAAAAAGTATCGTCTTATCTTCCAAAACTTACGGTACAAGGATTTCAATTTCTTTTTCTTTATAGTCTTGAACTTGAGACTTCAATTTAATTACAGTGGAAATAAGCTCTCTGTTGACATTTCTTAAATAACAAACATATACCTACCATGTATACAACTATGAATCAGTATTGAATTAGCAGTTGCTGAAGGTGATTTTACAACTAGTCGTAGAGGCAACTAGCTAAGGTAAATATGTTCTGTGAGTGCATTAAAAAAGCAAGAAGGATACTGTGTCAGCTAGAGACAGTACTGTAGACAGCCGAACTCCAGGAAACAAATCTACAAGGGAATTAACACATAGAGAGCATACCTCCATACTGAGCTACCAATTTCAATACATCCGTACCCTGCATTTGTTTCATTTTCTCCTTGGCCAACATCCGCAGTCTATTAACTTCCTTTCGTTTAATTTCATCTAATTTTTCTCTCACATGGTGGGCTACTTTTTCTAAGTGCATGGCAATCTTTCCAGACTAAAAAATAACATAAATACTATTAGTACATGTACTTAGTTATCAAAAAATTGATATCTGCATGTCTAACATTTCCAAGAAATTTTAATATTTCAATATTCATGTAACTCTAGAATATTTAAATGCATTCACCAATACCAATATTTATGAACTGTTCGACATACCTTTGAGACAGATATAATATAAGTACACTGTATTTAACAGCTTTGATTTTCAAGGATGCAGAATGAACTTAAGATAATTAATTGCTTTAGATTCTTATGCAATAATAATTTAAAAGTTCATCCTCTCATAAACAACCATGAGCTAGAATGAATCTTTTCATAAAGCATCTACAATTTTATGTCACAATTACACAAATATACCTGAACAATACTTGCTCAGTACAATAGTAGTGTTTTTTAAAGTTGTCACTTAAAAACAGAATATTTCAAGTCTGACAGTTACAAAACTTCTCATGTTCACATACTTCATTAAAAAAGAAAGTTTCAGTTCATTTCCACATGAACTTTACAAAAAATGAAGACATATCTTTAATAATTACACCAGTAGTGTTTACCTTAATATCGGTGACATTAGCCTCCTCTAATTTTTTTCTAAATTCTGGATCCTCTTCCAGAGTCATGACAACCTCTTTCAGATATCTATCATAATGGAGGCCGGTATCCTGCACAAAAAAGATGACAAAATAATTTTTTATTTCACTGGTAGTCCTGCATTTAATTGATTTGGGAAAGGAAGAGAATTTAAAAAAAATGATTTGTGTGATTGAAAAAAAATTGATTGACTGTCTTATAATTTACATTTCAGTTTTGTAAATGAATGATGCAAGACTTAAGTGATTTATGATTCCATCTTCAATGAATTATTGTAATACTATGATTAATGAAAGTACCCATACCGAAATAAATTATAACTTAGTTATAACTTTTGTAACTAAAAAAAGGTACAAAAAAGTTATAACTAAGTTATCGGAGTTTGGAACTGCCTGTTTTAAGTGAGGTATAATTTAGTTATAACTTAGTTACAAAAAAGTTATAACTTTTGTATAAGTTTTCATTTTTTATTTCAACATAAATACAGCAAGTGCAAAAAGTTACAAAAAAGTTATAACTACAAAAAGTTATACTTATTAAAAGTTACACAAAAAGTTATAAAAAAGTTACAAAGTTATACTTTAGTTATACCCAAATAAACGGTGGACAAAGTTACAAAAAAGTTATACCCGGAAAAAGTTATAAAAAAGTTATACTTAATAAAAAGTTATGAAAAAGTTATAACTAAAAAAAGTTATACCCATGAAAAGTTATACCTTTAAAGATTATAAAAAAAGTTACAGAAAAGTTATAACTATGAAAAAGTTATGAAAAAGTTACAGAAAAGTTATACCTAAAAAAAAGTTATAACTACAAAAAGTTATACCTAATAAAAGTTACAATAAAATTATACACTTCATGTTAACCTCTAGTGGAATTACTCAATTATAGGCTTTAAAAAAGCTACTCATTAAAATTTTTACAAAAAGATTATTAAAATTTTTACAAAAAAAGATTATTTAAAAAAAATTAAAAGCACTTACAATTTTATTTTATAAACATGATTAAGAGAGCTTGGTTCATTGTCAAATACAATTGAATGAATGCACATTCATGTTTTCAAGTCTACCTTATTTTTCATCAAGCCATCATAACAGATTGAAATTTCTCACAATGGTTGTTTTCTTAAAATACATTTTTTTAGCATATAGTCATAAGAGTTTTTGTAAATTTACCTAGTAAACTGCATTCTACTCTTGTGAACTTTTATAAATAGGCATCACTGCCTAGATTTTAACTCTCTAGTTTTTCATGTTAGCGCCATGATCTAGCTGTACTTAAAAAAAAAAGAAGGTTCTAAGCAGTGATTTCGGTCACAGTTCTTAGCTGCATACCACCCAAGTCCTTGCACAGGTATCCTTGTGGATGTACAGTTGTGATTTTTATCTGGATTATTTAAAGACGGGCTGCACCAGTAGTCGGCCGAGCTGGTCGAGGGACTTGGCCGTCCGGCCAGTGGTCTGCGCCCCTTGACAGGTTGTACTGGTAGTAGGCTGAAGTGGTCATGGGACTTGGCCGGCCAGCAGTATGTCCCCCTCGACAGGCTGCACTGGTATTTGGCCGAGCTGGTCGAGGGACTTGGCTGGCCAGCAGACGGTCTGCGCCCCTCAATGGCCTGCACTGGTAGTCGTCTGAGTCTTCATTTGAAATATGCTTGCAATTTCAACCTTCTCTTCATTTTTCTTCAATTCTGCAAAAATTAAAAAGGTTCAAACTTTAAATATTTTAATTTTTTCTTTTAAAAAAAAGTTGAAGTGTTTCCTGCACTCAAAGCATATCAGATTGGAACCACTCTTTAATATCAATTCATTCAAATTCAAGGCATATGCATCTATAACTTGGAAAACAAGAATTAGAGTTCTATTGTGTAATTGAGAAAATTCAACCTCAAGACTCATCACATAAACATGCATTAAAAAAAATTTTAAACATAAAGAACAATATAGAACCTGACAGCTTTATAGGAATTAGCTTTAGATTTATCGAATTTGAAATAAAAATAAGATTTGATTATTTACTTACCTAAAACAGGTGATATTTTTGAAGGATTTCACTCCAGCTTGGCACAGACATGAGATGCTCATGGAAAGAAATAATGCACCAGTATACTGCTGAAATTAAATAAAAATTATAAATTTTATTTTACTCATTTCAGTACACTATATCATGTTATGATCATGTGGTGTTTAAAGGCTACAATATGTACAATATTAAAACAGTTCAGAGAATCTGTTAAACAATTACACAATATAGGTCATTTAATAATTAAACTGATCTATAGGAATATTTAAAGAATTAAATATGACAAAGAATAACATTTTTTGTTCACATACTAAATGCTGAAAAAATATTATGTTTCAATTTCTTCACTTCAGTCTTTGTCATTGACACACCAATCAAAACAAACAAGAAATCTGAGATTCACATGCCTAGAATTTTGTTCATTCTACATATTTCTTCTTTTTTGAAGGCCCATCTAGAGGTAATAAACATTTCCTACCAAAAACATCAAAATATTAACATAAATATTGCCTTACCGAATGATTTTGTCATCGTTTTTCTATCAACACTTTCAACACACCAACATTCAAATCGTCCATGAAAAAATCCGCGCTCTGTTGTTGACCAATCAGAGACTTAGAATAAGTCACGTGATTGAAAATAAATAAATAAATAATTCATAATTAATTTATTTTAAATCCAGATAAACATAATTGTGTATTTTGAAACTTATCTTAAATATTAAAAAGCCAGTTGGTGTTAAAATTTTGAAATAGAGTTCCAACAAAACGGACGTCGGGGCCGCCATATTTGTGTCGTTGCCGCCATTTTGAATTTAATATTTTATTTATTTGTGAAAATAACTAGTAAAACTGGGTTATTTAATCAGGCAGATAATAAAATCCACATGTCCTAGTCTTCTGCTAAAATCTTAATATAACTGGCAGTCTTTATTCCCAACATCGTAATATCTGTTAATAAATGAACATACACACACTGTATGTTGTTGTTTATCTTTCTAGCCACCCTTATTACGATTGATTTACTTTAGATTTCAAACAACCCTTGTAAAATTGTACCATTGCGTAATACACAAGCTGAAATTTAAGAAGTGTAGGCCAAAAAGGTCATCTAGTACAAACACCTGTGTCACGAGAAAACAATGGGGAAATTAACACTGTTTTGCACACGAAGAAAATCTGTGCAAAATATTAAATGACTTCATGAGATTATAACATTTGACCTCTGTTTATATCTCTTGAACATTTATATTTCTCCAGAATTAGGGAAATTATTCCACCTTAAGATGTACATGCATATAATTTACAAAACATGAAATCTATATAATACGTATTTTCTGAGAGAGAGAGAGAGAGAGAGAGAGATTATTCCCAACTTTAGATGAAACTAGTACTTACAAGACAAATATTAATTAAACAACAATATTTATTAATGAGAGAGAGAGAGAGAGATTTATTCCCAACTTCAGATGTAATTTACTACAAGTCTCAACTTCACATCTCTTCTGTGGATGTGGCTGTGGACTGCAATGGATGAGAAAAACATTGGTATTAAAGATGTCTAAGAAGCCTCCCTTTTTCTTTTTAAAAAAAAAAATCTCAACTCACAACAAAACAGAAAAATAAATGTCTGCGTAAGTAATAGCAGTATATAATGCAATTCATTATATGAATAATTTTTAGATAAAGAAAATTCTGCATATAAACAGTGGTACCTTTATGTAGCCCTTAATCATCCCCACCTTTTTATTCATATACTCTGTAGATATTACAGGTATGTAAAACTGTATTACTATACTAATATAATCATGCTTATTTATTATTTTATATGATTATATTTCAACAGTTATATAAAAAAAAAATTTAATTTAGGTGTATGGTAAAAAAAAAACAAAAAAACAAAAAAAAAAAACAAAAAAAAACACCAAAATATTCAGTTTAACTAAGTAGCCACTCTGCAAAATGACTAAGTCCAAATTAGGTACAAAAAAGTTACACAGAAAAATGACAAAGTCCTGAAAAGTTATGTTTTAGTTACATCTGAAAATGGCTAAGTCCAAAAAGGTACAAAAAAGTTATACAGTAAAATGACAAAGTCCAGAAAAGTTATCTTTTAGTTACACCAGAAAATGGCTAAGTTCAAAAAGGTACAAAAAAGTTATACAGTAAAATGACAAAGTCCAGAAAAGTTATATTTTAGTTACATCTAAAAATGGCTAAGTCCATTTTAGGTACAGAAAAGTTATAACTAAAATGTAACTTTTTCTTGAGGTACAAAAAAGTTACAGAAAAGTTATAACTTAGTTATAACTTATTTCGGTATGGGTATGCAAATGTACGTTTTCTTACTGGATCCCCCGAAAAAATTGTATATGATTTACAGAATTAATAATAAAGATATGAATAACAACTTATGATCAGCAAAACATTTTACAAATTAGCCTTGTACATGCAAACACATATTCATTCCAATTTTTATTACACTGATTTTTGTAACCGCAAACCTGTCTACATAAATTTTGACTGAATTATAACACAAACAAACAGATATTCACTTGCCTGATCAGCTTCGCTATCTTTTTCTTTAGGTTGGGGATTAGGGTTTACAGGGGGGCATACAATCCCTTGTAACACCATAGATATAACAAACACACACAAAATGTGCCTCATTTTGAATTCCTGTGTATAAATAATAAATTTATAATATAACCCATATAATACAATTAATTATTTACATCAGATGATAAATTTTCTTGAATAATCAACAGAACCAAGAAATCAGCTGTTAAGATTCATATTGACATATGTTGTCTCGAATTTACTCGATGGAATTTATTGTAATAGTACTTATGGAATTAGTTCTACTTAAATTAGAGAAATGCATAAGATTTAAGTTAATTACCTTCTAACAACTGAACCTATGGACGTCAATGTATGTGGTGAAAAATCCTAAAAACTGATGAAAATATCAAGGTAATGCTACGTGTTATTTACAACCGGATATGGATAAATTACGTCAAACTCGCAGACGATCCCGATGTTTATTTGATTTTTTTGTATCGGGATCGACTTACAAGCCGGTGAAACGTGCAGAACTCAAGTCAAGCAGAATGGTTTTATCCAAAGGTATTTCTACATTCATATAAATTCAATGAAATGAATTCATATTTGTAATTTTCTCTTACATGAATCCAAGTCTTGAAGACCTTTGATGCTAGACAGACTAGCAGTAGCAAAGCTGAGCAATGTGCAATGTCATGTCAATTTGACAAGTGGACTTTGAACTCGAGATGTAAAAGTAAAGTTTAATTAAATAAATATCAACATCTTAAATGTTTTTTTTCATTTACAATTTAATAATCTATAAATATGATATTTTTATTTCAATGGCTTTTTAATTAAAAAAAATCTGTATCAATAAAAACTGCATTGGTAAGTATTATTTATGTGTTGTAGCCAACAGGGTAGACTTTACTTAATACCGGTCCCCAGATGATCCTTGAGATCTGCACGCTTGTTGCACTTTGACATAAGATTTACATCACTCAACTGATAAAGTTAATCTTGCACACTACTCGACTGGTTAGGGTTAGTCTTGCACTTACCTGAGATCCTTGCAGAAGTATTCGACTGATTAGGGTTTAAGTTTTGATCCATCTGAGAGATTAGGGTTAGTCCTCACACATTATTTGACTAATTAGGGTAATCTAGCATCTGCCTGGGAGATTTGGGTTAGTCCTCACATACCATCCGAGAGATTAGGGCTAGTGACTCGTTCTTTAGATAGATTATGAAACTCGGTTGCTTCTGTATTTTTTGTAAGATCTTAATTCAGCTTCAACAGCATTTTGTTGGTTTGTTTGCATGAAAAAATGGCTAAGTACAAAAGAAACGACACTAAGCATGCTCCGCACATGCTTCTTTAACACTCATTTTTTGTCGATTTTTAAATGAATAAACAATATTTATCATTTTTTTCAGAGAACAAGGTTGAAAATTTTGTTTAAAATCTAAGTTTTTAAAACTAAACTTTTAACCAAAGAATTCGATTTTGAGTTAAAAAAAGCCAAAAACCTCGTACTTTTATTTTTTTTTATTGCTCATGCGATCTTAAAATATATTGAAGTCGCCTGTGGTGACACTATATTTTAGCGCGTTTTTCTGGGGACTGGTAAAGTCGTTTCTAGCCAACATTTCTACCAAAAAACAAATTCCTTTTCCTCTTCCTTTAAAGTGCAGGGCATTGTGGGCATAATTGCACTTGATAGTTTTAAAAGAGAAACAGACACATTGGAGAGTCCTCTATAAATTTACGATTTTAAAACTGCATCAAAACATACATTCATCAGCAATTTAATAGCCAGAGTAAATTAATCTTTAGTTCATTAAACATAAACTATAGCAATACTATATATAGATCTATTAGTTAATTAATTTATTTAATGAGTTGACCTAAGCATTCTTTTACACAACTACACAATTGAGCATATCTTATCCTGTTGATAGAATTCATGAGAAAAATCATACCACACAGTGTATACAAGCAGTAAATATGATTTCTGGTTTGCAATGATGGGTATTAGACACATATCTAGTACTGTGACTCATCTTGTGAAACTGGAACAGTTCACATCCCTGACTATATATATAGGTAGCTGGGAATTAAATAAAATGCTTTCTTTGGTTGTTAGTACAGAAATTAATGTCGCAGCTGTTGCAGAAAAAATACATAACCCGCGTAAGCGGGTTATATAATTTTTTTCTGCAGTAGCTGCGATGTTAATTCCCGAACTAACAACCAAAGAAAGACATTTTATTGTTTATATTTATATCTGTATAAATAATCATTTAAAGTGGGATAAAAAGATTGATTATTGTTTTATTGATACAGTATGTTCGTCATGTAGTACGTTTCATTGATGGAAAAGCCACTGATCAAGAAATCTGTACAGGTGATATGCCTAGTGTTGTTCACGAAGTGATAAACGGCAATGGTTTTCTTTAGAAAATAAGGAGAAACTATTCATTGGATGTAAATATTTATAAATACACACAAAACTCATAATGAATATACTGGTGACTTCAGGATGTTAATAAATTAACACCCATGTACATTTTGTACATCATGTGCATCTTTGCCCAGATGTACGTATACATTTATATGTGTGCCCATGGGCTGCTCACTCACATTCACCTTCACTTAAACAGGGTTGTCCCTAAGATTTGAAATAGCAGGGGACATTAAAAAGAGTAAAAGAGGGTCTGGTGCTCCTCCCCTTTGAGGGGATTGAGGGGGAATACCAAAATAACTGGGGGATTATGTCATTATAGGCGGGGAAATTCTGGGGCCCCTGGTCTTAGGGATAACCCGGCTTAAAGCAAGTTGATTTTATTGTTTATATAGAAATAAAAAAAAATCATTGATAATTTAATTCTTCCTACAGCTGTGACAGATGTGTTCATTGTGGCAGCAAAGAGAACTGCCTTTGGAACATTTGGAGGCAAGTTTGTCAAAACATCTTCCACAGATCTAATGGTGCATGCCTCCAAAGCTGCTCTAGAGGCTGGAAAAGTCAACCCAGAACTGGTCAACTCTGTCATCATTGGAAATGTCATTCAGGTATACATGCCATGTTAAAAATTTCACGGTGATGCATCTTGTAAATAGGTTGCTCATTTAAGTTACTTTATAATGATATTTATCCTCGCATGTATGCTAGTTCAAATATTACAAAAATTCTTTGGGACTTACAAGTAAAATGTTTAATTTAAAGCTTTAACTTTCATTTGCAAACTTGTGCCTATTTAATATAACTACATGTAGTCAGTTTGATCATGGAATATTAGAATGTAAAAGTGATTTTAATGCTATTTGAATTTTTATAATGAATGCATAGAAGAAATTTGACTTTGTCAAATTTGATTCTTTTTTGAAAAGGGTGGGGGGTTGTGGGGGGGGGGGGGGGGGAGGTGGTGGTGGTAGATTAACTTACTTTGTAAGACGGTTCTGCTCTACTGGATGAGTATTGCTTTGAACACTGAAATCTGAAACATTTGAATTCCAGGCTTCATCAACAGATGGGATCTACATTTCCCGACATGTGGGCTTGAGAAGTGGTGTTCCAGAAGCTGTACCGGCTCTAACGGTTAACAGATTGTGTGGCTCAGGGTTCCAAGCTGTTGTCAATGGAGCACAGGTTAGAAGTGTCGACCAATAACAAAAGAAATCAAATATACTCAAAGTACCTCACATTCTAGTATCTGTACTGTGTACGTCTTTTAAAGTTACTTGTAAATCTGTAGGAGATCATGCTTGGAGAGAGTCAGATCGTTCTCTGTGGAGGGGTGGACAACATGAGCATGGCTCCATTTGCTGTAAGAGATATCCGATTCGGAACCAGGCTTGGGAAAGCCCCAGAGGTAGCTACATTCACACTGAACATTTTCAGTCTAAAGTTCATTCTCAAGAAATGATGTTTAAGTTTCAACATATTTTTTTCAATGGATCAGAAGTTTGCATATTAAATATTACATTAATGAAGGTGCTGGATTGAACTACTTTATATTAATTACAGAGAAGAAAATATTAATTAATAAAGTAAAAGCTATAGATCACTTGGTCAGCTAGAGTTTAGTTGTACAAAACACGAAAATGACAAATCTAATCATGATTTATATGTGAGAAAACCTTACATATTTGTAGATGGAAGACATACTTTGGGACAGCCTGACAGATTCGTATACAGGTTTTCCTATGGCCATCACAGCAGAAAACTTGGCCGAAAAATACAAGATTAGTAAAGAAGATTGTGACAAGTATGCTATCCAGACACAACAAAGATGGAAGGCTGGTGAGTAGAGAGTTAACAATAATCATCACAAATGCTGGAGGATTTAAAGGAAAATTTTGTTTGAGATACATGTACATAAAAAATCATGTACAAGAGAATTAGAACGTAGGTTTGACTTACATGTATATTCTTTACAGCCCAAGATGCTGGTGTTTTCAAGGCAGAAATGGCACCAATTACAGTAAAAGGAAAGAAAGGTATGTGTTATTTATTTCTTTGTCAAACTCATCCTAAGCTTTAAATTAATAAATTTAGATTTTGAACCGAGGCCAAGCTTAAAAAAATCTTTGTTTGCAGTTGCCAACATGTAATTTTTAGAGTGGGTAGGTAGGTAGGTAGGATTTTTTTTTTGGTTTTGAGTTTTTTTTTTAGTTGAATAACAAAATTAACATAGGGATTTCCAAAGAGCTACTAAATTAAATAAGTTCCACTTATTTTAAGCTACTAATTAAAAAAGATATATATAAAATGAAACAGTTTCAATATCCTGAAAACTTGAATTTACCCCCGCCCCCTCCCCCCTCCCAAAAAAATTATCTCAAGAAATGGCTGGAAAATTTTTTTGGGTTGGGTGCATTTTAAGTGGGTCGGTAGTAGGCAACTGCAAACAAACAATTTTTTTAGGTTAGGTCCAATAGAAAAGGTTAGTTGAAATATTTTTAATTTTTACTTTCTCATTTAGATGCATTAGGAAAAAAAGTTTTATGGGCATCAAAATTGATCTGATGGTTGGCCTGATATTGCAAAAAATGTTTAAAAAAAATTCCTAGCCCTTTGTTATTGCACTGACCTGCAAACGGAAATTCTATGTATTTTTTGAAAATGGGGGAAGCATCAAAAAGCTCACAGAACTGACTTTCTCTTCCAAAAGTGAAGTGATTAAAAAAATCTGACTGATTATTCTGCCCTCTCTGCCTTTTTATGAAAAGTCAAAATGAAGTTGTCACTTGAGATGGATAATAGTCTGATATACCCGGTACTCTTGATTAGGACCAGAAGTCTTTGAAGTTGATGAACACCCCAAGCCACAGACTACAATGGAGGGTTTAGCCAAATTGCCTGCCCTATTTAAGAAGGGAGGGACTGTTTCTGCAGGCAATGCATCTGTAAGCAAATATATTTAACAAAAATATTGTGAATCTTAGTTACAAGTAATCATATCAACTCTGTATATGCACAAAAAATTTTCATTTTTTTTTTTTTGATTTATCAAGTAAATTAAAATTTGTGAAATCATTTATACTGTTATGAATTTAATTACCTGTATTACAGTATTCTAAAAAATACATTTAAAAATGTCTGTGGGGTATAGAAATATAAAAATTAATTACAGGGTGTTTGTGATGGTGCAGCAGCCTTGGTGGTTGCTAGTGGAGCTGCTGTGAAGCAACATAACCTTACCCCACTGGCTCGACTTGTTGCCTATGGAATTTCAGGTAAGATATTTACTTGACTTCACTGGCTCCACTGGTTGCTTATGGAATCTTCAATAAGATATTAAAATGACTCCATTGGTTTATCAGGTTTCTTCTGAAAATGCTGTCAAGTCTTTAATCTGAATACACTGGTTTATATGGTTGCCTGGGACTTTAATTGTTTCATAACTGTGTTGCAATAATCCATTCTCATATGTGGATTTTGTTGATGGTTAAAATTTCTTCTGGTTTATGTATAGGTTGTGATCCAAAGATAATGGGCATTGGGCCTGCACCTGCATCTAGAGCTGCATTAAAAGCCGCAGGAAAGAGTGTAGAAGATATGGAGATTGTAGAGGTATCTTTATTTTATCCACAGTGTGATTAATCCAAATGTTATGAAACAAAATATGCAATAAGATTCATTATTTGTTCAATTTATTAATAGCAAGTCTAAATTTGTATTAATTTTTTCACTTGTAATTTCTCAGGTGAATGAGGCCTTTGCACCGCAGTATTTAGCAGTACAAAAAGAGTTAGGACTGAACAACCAAATTACCAACATGAATGGTGGAGCCATAGCTCTGGGTCATCCACTGGCAGCTTCTGGAGCCAGAATCACAGGGCATCTGACACATGAACTGATGTATGTATCTAGTCCTAGGCATAAAATATGATTAGTAAATATTGGGTCAGTCATATAAATAGCCTTGAATGTGCCAGTATTTCTTGAAATGTTTTGGTCAATTTCTTCATCTAATGGAGGTGCACTCATCTATGTTTAGAACTTTTAAATTTTATTAAAGTGAATCTTAAATATTATACATTTGCTTGCAGACGACAGAATAAGAAACTTGCAATGGGATCAGCTTGTATTGGTGGAGGACAGGGAATTACTGTTATCCTAGAGAAATGTTAAGGTGAATGTTTAATGTGAAAAAAAAAACCAAGTGCTCTTTTGGACAGCATTGACTGTGATATTAATGGGTTTTATACCATCTGAAAATAAACATTGAAGTTTAGGCTTGAAATGATGTATTTACATTTTCAAACGATCATATACCATTTAATTTACATAAATTAACATTATTGTTGCACCTTGCATTTGTTTTCATTGATATTGATTGATGAACAGTAAAAATCAATAAAATGTTATTTACACTGTACATTTTCTTATGATTGGATGTCCTGAATTATGGTGGACAAATTCTAGTACATGTATCATTAAGTTATATTCTCTGTACAGGTGTTTATCTGCTTGTTTTGTGCGATGATGGTGGAAATAATTGTGAAAACTAAGAATAAAAAAAAAATAAAGACAAATATATATTTAATGACCATTAGCATATAGTTACTGCTTACTGTTAAATCAAATGAGATTGGCTCGGCATTGCTTTATTGATGTTTCAGCGAATTTCAGCACGGTTATTGGTATACCATTGATTAAAGAAGTACTGGTACTAGTATTTTGGAAAGTTAATGAAGTAGCTTTTTGACTAATATTTGTTAAAGATGCAAAATATTTACATATAAGAGTTAAAATGATTTTTGAAATGTATAATGAAATATGAACATAACGACCAGTAATGGTAGTTGAAAGTCCATTGAAACAAATTGTGAGCAGAGCAAACACGGACCACCGTGGACACTGGACACGGGGAGGGGGGTATATCTATAAGATATTACTTGAATTTAAACACCTCTTTTCTTGGCATTTCCCTACTAATGTTTTTTGTTTTATTAACACCACTTGGTAATGTTGCTTTATGTTTAATTGGTTCAAAGCCATGACTTAACATGCAGAAAAAAGTTAATTTCCAAATGTCAGTGACGCGTGTTCCCTATGACCCAGTTGACCCCCCCCCCCCCCCCCCCCTCTAATTTGGACAGGGGAAAACTTAAACTTAAATCGTGAAAAAGAATCAATTCTAAGTAAATTTGTTTACTTTTCAACATAGTGTACGGGCAATTTACCCCATGGAAAACTTAAAAGACAACGATGTATTGATGAAAGAAATCACTTTTGCTTATTCAAAAGGGGAAAATACATAAATAGTGCTGAATTAATTTATCCGGGTCTAACAAAATGTTAAGTCAAACATCAAGGTCAAATTAATGGGTCCAAGGAAAGGCCTTCTCACAAGAAATACCCATGTGAAATATGAAAGCCATAGCACAAATCTTTCAAAAGTTATGGCCAAGGTTAAAGTTTTTCAAAAGTAGGTCAAACTCCAAGGTCAAGGTCAATGAATTACAATTGTTGGTGTCCAAAGGAAGGTCTTGTCACAAGAATTGGACATGTTAAATATGAAAGCCCCAGCACCAACTGTTCAAGAGTAATGGCCAAGGTTAAAGTTAACCAAAAGTAGGTCAAACTCCAAGGTCAAGGACAAAGGATCAAAGTTTTTGGTATCCAAAGGAAGGTCTCGTCACAAGGATTACATATATTAAGTATGAAAGCCCTTGCATCAACCGCTCAAAAGTTATGGTCAAGGTTAAAATTTTTCTAAAGTAGGTCAACCTCCAAAGTCAAGGTCAAAAGGTCAAATATGATGATACCCAAATCGATTATTAAACAAGGAATACACGTGTGAAATATGAAAGCCAAACCAATCAAAAGTTATGGGCAATGTAAAAGTTTTTGCGGACAAACAGACAATCAGACAGCTAGACGGACGGACAGGGCAAAAACTAAAAAATATATGTACATGTGTAATACAAATAAATATGTGCAGGTTCCTCTTAACAATTCCAAGGCGTTATGATTATGACCGAGTACAAAGATGCTTTACCAAGCCTCCATTTTTACGCCTCACGAAAATTTTTAATAGCAGTGAAACAAACATTTCAGAAGTACTGTGCTACAAAATATTCGGGAAGTAGTGTTTATCAAATGTGGATACCCCCCCCCCCCCCCCACCCCATTTTTGTTCTTTGCACAAGTACTTTAAGGTAGATATTATTAAGAAGATGCTGGATTTTCTGATTGAAAATATCTGCAGAAGTATGTACGAGTACTAATATTCTTTGGTTACCATGTGTTGGAATTCCCATGGGTACTAATTGTACCCCTTTATTAAAAACTTAATTTTCATTCATACTAGTACAATGATTCTAGTTATATGTATATCCCACTGAAACCGAAAGAAAAGACACATAAAAGTCTGACGCATCTGTTCAATACTAGTACTTAGATATTTAACAAGATATCTAGACATTGATGGGAAATTAAGATTTATCATTAACAGTAAAACGGGATACTTAAATCTCTTATCTTCAACATCCCTTATGTGACAAAATCCCATTACCGCCTTACTCGATATATGGTGTTTATGTCTCCGAAATGCTGGACGTAGTCTGCGTACAATCCATTTCTAAACCAAGATAGGCTACTGACAAATTAGTTAATGTTACAGGGGTATCAACAACATTGTTTCGACAAGTTATAATTTACCAAATTCTGTGATAGCTATACAATGACCTTGTTTGCAATTGCATGACTACAACTTGCCTTGGGATAATAAGGATCGAATGTTTATACAGATTATTAAATAGACCATTGCTTCCAAAGAAATCATTCAACGTATGATGTCCTGGTGTATGTCTAATGACTGAAATCACTTTATTCTGTATTTTGACTTCTATTATTTACTGAAGTTTCTCTCCGGTCTCTCTCGTCCTAATACACTCTTTGGATGAAGTACATGTATATCCCAGTAAATAATGTGTCTGTGATATCATGAACATTTTATTGTATAATAGTTTAGAGACTCCCTTCAAATACCAAGGTAAAGTCTAACACATTCACGAGTATTACAACAAAATATTTCCCCTGTAGGTAAAGCTAACTTCTCAAAGGAACAGTCGTCTTTCTAAAAAGAACGGAAAAAAGAGAAATTAAGTATAGATTAAGGTTGTTTGACCCTTTGTAAAGTGAGATAACTCTCAGAGGGATAAATGTCTTTTGTCAATATAAATGACCATCTCTGCCAAGAAAGTAAAGGGAACGTTTAACCTTTTTCTCCCTGCATGAGAAGCAAGTTAATTTTTGTTCAATAGTGTCTACTCGCTTACGCAGGTTAAGCAATAAAAATATTCACTGTAAAATTAAAATTTCATTGGATATACGAGCAAATTCAAAGTTCCAGATTACAGTAGAAAATATTTACCTTTGAGCAATGGACGGTGAGTTTAAATCCTTGATACGATCTAATCATGCAAGTCTCCGTGGCATCACACGTGTTGTTCCAGGTACACGAGAGATTTTGATCACATGTCGGACAGACCACTCCTTCCGATTAATAAACAAATCAAATAAGTCAGGGTTCAATTCCTTTTAAATTACTGTAAACCAATATTTCTACGCGCGCAAGAAATATTGCCAGATTCGCGAGTAAAATTATCAAACTCACAGATATTTATCGTCGTGAACCAGACACTTTCTTTTAAAGAAGCTCGATTGTGTCTATAAATTGCCACATATCAATACTCTATCAGCGATTCGCTAATAAAAATGTTGTGAACAATAGTTAGGTTACATTAATGTATTTGGCATTTAATTCCGTTGTCGTCGTCCATATGTTCGTCAATCTGCCGTTCACTCATAAAAATCCTCACAAAACCTTCTTATTTCACTTGTACGTATTTGCAGAGACAGCAGAAATCCCCCCCCCCCCAAAAAAAAAAAAAAAAATCTGCGTATTCGGAAAGTCTCAACACATAAGCAAAGCTTACATAATGACCCAGCATACCGGTACATTGATCGAGATGACAGATTTTCTGCTCTTTTGTATTTCCTGTACAAGTTTTTCCGCCATCGGAAGGGGTAGGATTATTGCAATGACGTGAACGTGATTGGGTTCCGTTTCCACAGGTGGCGCTGCAAGACGTCCAAGCCTCCCAGGACGACCATCCACCATCAACTGTGATAATGAGATATTCTGGGTGTATCCAAATAAAAACGGACCGTAGCGTTAGGCGTTACTTAAGGAATGTTAAAGTTTACCAGAAAGAGTGGAAAGTGATAGTGATCTACGGAGGACAAGATGCATGTCACAAGATTACCAAAATTTTACGCAGAAGATACGGAAACAATCAAATAATTTCGAAGAAATTTCTTTTGTGTATAACAAACTCAAACGAGAATACTTACTAGGGCAATGATGTATGTTGCACACTTTTGACTGGTGTGCACTGCCTGTGCACGAGTGTCCACCATTGGATGACGGGGGATTATCACAAACGCGCGAGCGCGATTGCAGTATCAAACCACAGGTGGCACTGCAAGCTGTCCATGATGACCAAAGAGACCAGCCTCCATCTACTACAACGCCAAGTTGAAAAGTGGGAAAGTTCATATAACAAAGCAAAGAGAAAGCAATAGAAAGTTGTCCATATGATGCATATCTATGTGTAAAATATTTCAATCACTGGTTTAAAAGATACACGTTTCTTGTGATGCTTTACAATGCTTGCCTGGACAAATTGCATCAGAACACAAAGCAGTTTGTGTGTGGTTTCCCAAACATGTCCGACCACCATGTTGAGGCCTAGGGTTTGTACAGGACCGTGTACGTCTGTGGATTCCAGTTCCACATGTGGAACTGCAAGTTGACCACATTCCCCAGTGCGACCAGCTCCCATCGACTGAAGAAAATACTAGTATATGTATCGATGTGATTTTCTTTATATTATCTTAATAAAAATTGTTGGAATTGTTGTTGATAGATTTGCAAATGTGTTGGCTTTTGCTGAACAATGTTAAGTACTTTTAAATTTTTATACATAATGGAACTTTCATTAAATACATTGGTACATTGTAGTATGAACATGTGATTCTCACCCGGATTTGCTTGACAAACACAAGTATCATTAACACACATGGAAGAGTATCCCGTATCACATTGATGATGTGAGCAATCGGAGTCGTGAATACACTCTGAAATAGGAAAAAATAGGAGTAATACTGATAAATAACACAAGAAGATGGGTGAACAAGGCGGGCGAAATGCCTATAGCGCGACAAACATGAATTGAAAAATTAAATCTCAATTATATCAAAATTTTCTTTGATATTTCATCTAACATTAAAGTATACTTTATGTAGAATCTCTACAATTTGCCTACGAAATAGCATACACACACTAATGAGGACAAAAAGGATCATTTTCTCACACTTTAACATTTCTCGATATGAGTGGGTCTTCGCTCCATTTTTTGAAAGTTAATCCTAAAAGTTTGCATAAAAATATACATTTTTTGGTTTACAAAAACATGGAGCAAAGACCCACTTATATATCTTAAAAGTGCACTTTTATGACGAAGCATTCGCATCTTTCCGAGAAATGCTTGAAGTCCATTAAGTCAAGGGTCATATCACAAACATGACTTAAATGCCAATATTCATCAGGAGCTGTGTAGCGCAGTTGTTAGCGTGTTAGTCTATGATACTCTGGATTTTTATTGTTAGGGGGGTTCGAATCCCACGAAAACCATTTTATTTTCTTAATAAAAGAATAATTTTTTCCGAGATCTTTTTTTTCTCAGAAAGCGTTTTTTTTGTGCGCAATAAATATACACTTTTTCAGTCAGAATGGGTGGCACAGTAGCTCGCTGGTTGTCCATACCATTTTTTTCAGACCACCGAGCTACAGATCACCGAATCATTAATACCCGTATTCTTTAAAACAGGACGAAAATTAGAGTAGGACTGAATAAAAACACTACATTATTGAGAGGACAAACCTTCACATTCACAGATCTTCTTAGCAGTGGAACAATAGGGACTCCCTCTTCCTCCACAGTTCAAGTGTCTAGAGCAATACGTATTGCTGGTGCAGTGATGTACACATGCGCATCGTCCGGACCTGCAGGTTGGTTGATAAATATATGAACAACGATGGTTGGCGCATTCTTCATGTTTCGAGCAGGAAGTTTCGCAGATGCATGTTCTAGAGTTGTTTTGTGCTGAAGAGCAAACAGGATCTCCCGTGTAGCAAGATAAGTGTGCACAGTCCGTGTGAGCGCTACATGTTGCCTCGCATCTGCAAGTGTGAGAGGATAAGGAACAGACTGGGGTATATCCTGTAGAGCAGTGTTGGTTTGCGCAGTCGCTGTTCCTGGAGCAGTGCGAACCGCCATCTGTATGGTTAAGTGTTTTAGTTAAACCATCAATAAGCCTCTTTTTATACCTCTTTATAACCCATCCCCCGCTTCAATACGGGGGCGTATAGTGATGAGTGTGTCCGTCCGTCCGTTAAGTTTTGGGGAACCTATCTCTTATCTGCAACTCCTTTTATACCACTGAATAAAATTTAATGACTTTCACTGAGTCTTTTTTACATAGTGCCATTATGCGCCTCCCTTTTTGATCGGACGTATATTTCGGGTTCCCATAGAAAACATGGACATTGCTGTTCTTTCTATGAAATTGCGGGTACCCATCTCTTATCCGCAACTCTTCCTATACTACTGAATAAATTTATTGATACTTTCAAAGAATCTTTATTACACAGTGCCATTGTGCACCTTTCACTTTATGTGATCGGACAGGTATTTGGGCTTTCCCATAGCAAAAAAATGGACTTTTTAAATTGTAATTATATGATCGCGGATTATCATTTTGTGAGCTCAGTGCTCACAGTACCTCTAGTTTACCAATTTTAACGTATGAATGCTTTTTTCATTAACACTGGTATGTTTGATAATTAGGAAGCTTTCTTCAGTACAACGATTATAATCGTCCTTTAAAGTTAAAAACATGGTTAGCAAACACTCTGCGTATGCATTGGTTTATGTTAAGGCCAATCATTGGCCAAGACGGCCTTGCAGGCCAGGTCAGTTTGGAAAGTAAAAACACTTTCAAATGACATAATAACATATATTTCTTCAGCAAAACGACATTTCCAAGAAAGGAGTGTAAAGGTTCATGCCAGACCGACAGATACACTAATTTTCTATTGATCAGAAATGTTAACTCAAGCGAATAAGTTGGATGTTTATAAAAAGTTTTTAAAAAGTTTTTAAAAAAAACAAAACCTTTAAACATTTCAACTTACTTGTACTGGAGCACAAACAACACTTCTGCGTATCAAAAAGAACAGTGTGATACTGGCACTTTATTTGCTGATTTGTGTAATGGCATCTATAAGAATGGCAGTCTTGATCGGATCTGCATCGGATGCACTGACTCATAACCATGTCCAAGTGCATTAAACCTGAAACAATGTTACTTCCCTACAGACTTTCGCAGTTCAGGAACAAAATATAACGAAATATATCGGAAGTTAATATTAAAGAATGTGAAGGCTTCAGTCTGTAAACAGTAACCTTCATTTATAAATACACAAAAATTATTTTATTCTGACTCTGTAATCGTCGAAAAGCTTTTGAAATGTGTAAACGTATTATGAAATTCAACACCAATACTAAATACCAATACAAATGCACTTCGACGTTTCAGCATTTTGTGTAACAATATCCGTTGATAATTTTATAGACCAAAGTCTTTGACATAGGAACTGCTTCTTCAATAAAAAAATGAAACTCTATTTGCATACCCTGCTAATGGCCATGTACAGGTTTATTTTGTTAAAACATTCTGATTCTACACACAAGTACTCTGAGGTTGATATTTAGAAGATGTTTGAGTTTCTCATTGACAATATCTATGTTGTTTTCGGAGACAAGGACTTCCAACAATCTGCTTGAATTGTCATTTATACTAATTGTGCCCCTTTATTAGCAGATTTTTTTGTCATATGAAGCAGAATTTATTTAAAATTTATTTAAAATCTTCTACATGAAAAGAAGAAGTCTCTTGGGGTGGCTTTCAATTCGACATTTAGATATATCGAATTATTATAACTGTATTTTAGCAGAACTTGGTTTTGATCCTACATCCGGAAATCAAACTCAGTTCATTTTCTAAGAATGAAATACTTTAAAATCACATTTCAGTCTTAAATACATTTTATCATTCCAGTCAACTAAGGTGAGTTCGATCTACCCTAACTATTCTGGATTCCTGTGCTTCTTAAACCTTACAAACAAAGACATTGTCGGATCCAGCAAATGTTCTACCAAGCCCTCTATCTCCTCACAAAAAATGTTAACTGTTGTGAAGGAGAAACTTCAGCTTTACTGTGCTGCAGCATATTCTAGAAGTGGTTAAAACAGTTGCGGGTTCTCGAAAACTCCAAAGAACTTTAAGAAAATTTAGGATAAACAAATTATTAAAAAATCAGTAACATCAAAACACTTTATACAACACTTCCTCGCGATAGATTAAAAAACCAGGCTCTTTGATATCATAGATAACTGCTTCTTTAATCAAAACGGAACTCGTAAATTTTCATATCTTGTTATCGGTCATCAACAAAATTACTGTGTTAAAAATCATTCTTATTCAACACATAAGTACTCGGAACTTGATATTTAAAAGGATGCTGGAGTGCCTCATTGACAATATTTATTTAGTGTTTGGAGACAAATCTTCAAACAGACTGTTGGAATTCCGATGGGAACTAATTGTGCTCCTTTATTAGCCGACCTGTTCTTATATTCTTATGAAGCAGAATTTATTCAAAAACTTCAACATGAGAAGAAAACACTTGCTGTAACCTTCAACTCGACATTCAGATATATCGAAGACGTTTAATCAATTAACAATAATTACTTCCATTCATATGTCGACTCGATATATCTCGGTGAACTCGAAATAAAAGTTACCACAGAGTCTGCCACGTTTGTTTCATATTTAGATGTTCTACTTGGATTTTTTTTACTAGAGAAAGACATTGATCGCAAACTGACAACTAACGTTTATGATAAACATGGTGATTATAACTTCAACGTACTTATGTAGCAATATACCCTTATCACCTGCATAGAGAGTTTATTTCTCCCAGTTAATTCGATACACAATGTCGTGTTCTAATTACAAACGATTTCTAAAACGAGGCAGAATAATGACAAATAAGTTGATTTTACACGGTTATCAACTATCTCATTTATGGTCAACATTTGGCAAATTTTATGATCGATACATTGACCTTGTTTGCTACTACATCTGTCGTTAGATCGAAGTAGACTGATGTTTTCCATAAAAATTGTTAGGCCATTATTTCCCCATTAAATTGTCAACGGATGTTCTGTTTATCCGATCATGATAAAGAACACAAGGCGGGTGTGATCGGTCGGCAGGGAATGCTTACTCCTCCATGGCACCTGTTTTTAGAGGTCCTTGTTGACTCTATTCATAATTTGTTTTGTTTAAATAGACATTTGAGAATGATCACTGTTCGTTATTTTGACATTTTATTTTGATAAAGAGATTGAACCAGTTGTTCAAAAGGGATAATATGCTAGCCTGTTTGGTGCATTATATGCCGAATTGGGATATTTTACAGTGCAAAAATGAAGAACATTAATTTTGTCATTTACTTCTTGAGGATCAACTCACTAACTGTAGGGTTGTACATGAAGGAAAAACTTCCATGTCACAAGTTGTTGCATTCATTGCATATTTTTGGGGATTAAATTTTTTTTCTAATTTTCTATCTGTGTCGTACAGTAAATTTATTGTCATATATTGTAAATTACCTCAACTCTAGTCATAGCAATTTATCATTTGTTATATTTCCTTGTTATAAATTTTAAACCTCTATTACAAAGATAGATGACTTCATTCACGAAGATTCCAAACGAAAAAAAATCCTCTAACTCCTTTACTTTAAACATACACTGAAAACAACTTCATTGTAAAAAAATATTCACATGGACTATCATTATTAGTAATAATGTGCTGAAGGTGTTAAAAAACAGCGCACTTACTGAAGGCAGCGATAAGAGTCAAAGGCCGAATCAAGTCCATGGTCATGACGAAAGAGCAGAACCTTTCGATACATTAAAGGTAATGTTCGTGTGGTCTTTTTATCTTATACCGTAATATGCCTTTCAGTGAAACACTCGCGTACATTATATACCGAACATGCTTAACATAAACAAAATAATTTTGTCCTAATTGCATTACGGCATGTCAAACGGTGCAATATTCAATCTTTTCCATTTGTATTGTATAATTTTCCATTTGTATTGTAAAATTTTCCATTTGTATCCCATAATTTTTCATTTGCATTGTAATTTTTTTTATTTGTATTCTATCTTTTTCCATTTGCATTGTAAATTTTTATTTGTATTGTATAATTTTTCATTTGTATAATGTTTTATTTGTATTGTATGATTTTTATTTGTACTCTATAATTCTCCATTTGTATTGTATAATTTTCCAATTGTATTTTTTATTTGTATTATATAATTTTCAAGAGTAACGTCTACTTATATAAAAAAAAAAAACAATTAGTATTTCAGGGCACAATGCAGTGTATTTGAAAACTATCACATCATATGTACTTTGTTAGCAATTTTATATCAAAAGTTTAATAATCAGTAAATATACTGGAAGATGAAATATGCTGTGCTAGCTGCATCGCCATTATTTATTTTTTGGTGCAAAACACAATTATATATGATATTTAACTTGATATAAAATGTAGAAATAAAGAACAGTAAATAAATTAAGAGCAGAGCAAATGCAGAACCCTGAAAATGCGAGAAGTGGGATCAGGTACCATGGAGCAACGTAATATACATTGTGATACTAGAAAAGATAGATATTGTTAAGGTGTGTCACTCATCAGCTTTTAAGAAAAGTTTGGTCAGAACATCTGATATCAAAATTATCAATTACAATTTATTTTTAAACATATTTGAAATGAACAATGCAATTTGTACAACATTTAGTTAAAAATCGCTCTAAAGATAGACAAGAAATAGGTTTATGGAGGACTTTTTCTTGTTGTGGAAGGATATTGGGAAAAAAAATTCTCAAAATGTACAGATTTAATTTAGTCAATATGATGGAACTTTGGCCCTACATATTTTTACTCACAGAAGTTTTCACGGTTTTTATTTGCTAGGAATATTCAATGTAAGTTTCAAAGGACATATTTAAAAGAAATTTTACACATTTTTTCAACATACTTTGTCAAAACTTGCAGAAATATTGAAAAAAGTCAACATAACATCAACTTTGTTTTTTGCCTGAAATTTGTATAATATGACACTCAAAATCTCAAAATTTACAGCCTGGCATCAATTTTTCATTTTATTTTTTGATACTTCTAACTGCTCAGCACTGATTTCGTAAAAAAAAAAAGCTTCATATAAGAAAATATTATATTGAGTTTTTAAATTAAAATACCCAAAATATGATACTTTATAAATGCAAAACGTCATACAGTAATTAACGCGCATTGATGGGTTTTTTCCCGAATAATGTATTTCATCTAAACTATTCTATATAAAATAAGATTACATTATTGCCATGATTACATCTGATAAACTATTAATATGGTTGAGGTTAAAGTGATTTGAAAATTAAAAAGTTCCAATGCAAGTGCAAAAAAGTAAACTTTATTGTACTGTTACTCAGTAAATTGCATACTAAGGCCCAATTTTCTTTCCAATTTTGTTATTTTGTATGTGTAGATATCTAAAATATTCTTCTAAAAAATCCTTGATATAACCAGTGTCAGGAGTGACATACATTAAGTTCTTTTAATTTCTCAGAAAACTAATTAGTTGATATAAGTAAAGGTTTCTGGATTCCAAAACAAGCGATGCTATTAAAGGAAATTATAGAATTCAATAATGAAAAAAATGCAGAGAACAGTAATAGAAATAAAAGTCATGGCTAAGTCGTCCATGGAACCTTGACGTATATGCATGTAATATCAATGTTATCTTTATAGTGCGTAATTTTATATATGGAAAATTATTTTATTCATTCATGTGTCAGTTAGATAAAGATCTTTGATTCACTTCTCCTATATTCTTCGAACTAAATTTAGGACTTTTTTTCTCTGAAGATCCGTACTTAATCTATGATATAAAGGTAAATGAAGATTTATGTCAGTTGCATTTCTCTTATTGTTAAATTTACCTTTCATCAAATCTATTAATTTTTGAAGAATGAAATTTAAAGATAATCAATAGATTTCATGCTCAAAATTTAAATTATACAATGCAATACAATAATTATTGTCAGCATAAGTTGACCCCCTTTCCAATGGCAAATCGGTATACATGTATATCCAATTTACTGTTTAATAGAATTTTTAATATTTAGGCGAAAAATTTGAATTTCCTGATTGATAGTTAGACAGTGGTAAATAATATCTTTGGTTCTTTGAAAAAAAAGTAACCTTTGGTCCTACTAAAGTACAAACACATTTCTATAAATATTCATTAAGCTAAAAAGTCACTATTAAATGAGAAAGAAAACTGTTACATGTTGTATTGATTATTTTCAAGTATCTTAAGCAAGTCAAAAACTGAAATTTCACACAATAGCATTACTAAGATATAACATGCTTGCATTTCATTAATGTTAAGCTTTGTAACTTTAGATTTTTTTTAAATCTGACGCTTTTTCTCTTGAAAACCAAGAAAACTGTGGAATAAAAATCGAATGGATTGTAATATTAAAAAAAATTATAGAGAACGATTGTTGAAATTTTGAAAAAAAATGCATTTTTGTTTTTTTTTTTACTAAAAATTTCCTGAAAATCTACCCGTCCGGGGACGTAAAACAAAGAATTAATTTACTGCGGCCTAATTAGCAAAATTTACAATATTTGCCAAAAACAAGATATTAAATTTTACTAACACATGTTCTACTAAGCATAAATTAACATATAGTTGATAACCAATTAATAAAGGCTCTATTTTTCATAACCCGTAAACTGAAAGATGAAATTCGTTTAATGAGACTATTCAAAATTAACCTTACAAACTAAAGTCAAGTGGGATATTTCTTTGAAAAAATGATTAAAAAATCAAGAAAAGGGTATTTCCCGTACGTTTATAAAGATTATGAAACCGTTGGTTTATTATAGAAAATAAAGGACAAGGTTGAAAAAATGTCAACAATTATTCTCTGTTTTTTTTTGTTTTCTCTTCTGTTTGTTTTTTTTATATAAGGAGAAGAGGGCAGACGAGGAAGGAGGGAGGAAACTACCCCATTCTATGCCATTACTGAGTCACTGAGTCCCACAGTGAGTTCCTTGCTATGATCAGAAATCAGTAGTCAAAAGGCCTAGCAATTTATATGCAAAAAGCTTTATTCAACATTCGATCAAACGATAGAATGTATTGCAAACAAGGTCATTGTATTGACCATTGAATGACTTTAAATGATATTGTTGAGTATATTTGTATACATGCAAATACTCGTACAATTTGTTGTTAGGTCAAATTGACTTTCTTGTTTATTACAAACTATTAGGCATTTTTTTTATACTGATTTGCCTTCGTTTACCCGATCAAGACAAAAAGCTCAAGGCGAGTGTGACAGGTCGACATGAGATGCTTACTCCACCATGGCAGCTGATCCCACCTCTGGTACTTCCAGGAATCCGTGTTTTTTGCTTTTGCCAGTTCACGTTTTGTGACAGGTCGACGGGGGATGCTTATTTCACCATAGGACCTAATCCCATTTCTTATGGCTTGCTTAGCTCTCAATTTGTAATGCTGTATTGGATTTTTTTTCAACTTGATAAATGTTCATCACCTTCACATTTCATCTGATAGTATCACTAAGAGGTTTTAGTTGTTCCCTCCCTTTTTTCAGAACAACAGTTGTACAAAATTTTAACTGCAGATTTGAGAAGCATTACATTTGTGGTAGCATTGTGAGAATCGCAGAAATAAAGAGTTTTTGGTCTTCTATGAAAAGAATCAAAGCCCATTAAGTCTTGAATTTGAAAAAAAAATATATAATCTAAAAATTGTGCTTGAGAAAAAATAGTAGAATCTTTTCTAGCGAACTATGCAGATTTGAATTATGACCGCTTTTTGTTTTTGATCAAACGAGTGAAAAACAACCTATGTATACAATTTTTTATGTGGAATCTAAAAAAAATTAAGTTCCTCTCTAAAAGACAATTGCTCAATAGTTCACGCACGGACCTGTTGAAAAAGATTTCTTACTCTATTGTCTAAGAATTATGAGCCTCAAGAGCAGTAGAACTACTTTGAGTTATAAGGTAAATGACTTACTATTATAAATCTTAAAGCTTTGTCAAAGTTTTGCTTAAGTTTCAGCCAGATATTAAGTTCATGTTTAGTCAATATTTAACTCGGTTGGATAATTATTTAAGCTTAAATATACACAATGTACAGAACAAGCATTCTGAGAAAACTGCGTAAGCAATAGTGAGTTTTCTATCGGTAATTCTTTCAAAAACCAACGGATCGGAACCTGTATATCATCAAGATAGATTCACAAACCAAAAATAAGCTCATTATATGCAAGCGTTTAGAAACCATGTATGACAGATCTAGACTGCCTGCAGATGGACAGGCCGGCGATCAGGATGGAGCAAAAACCCGGGAACGTTTCCAGAATCTACAAAATATTTCTCTCCATGGAAAACCATAACGATGTACTCGAAATGATACCGCTTAAGGTGTCATATAATCATTTACAGCTGTGCAGAATAATCCAATACCTAATATTTTTCAGTCCTTTAAAATAGCTTTGAGTCAACAAATCCTAATTATCAAAGAAGCAAAATTCAAAGAATTGTGGTCAACCACTTTCGATGTCTTACTGGTTGGGATTCAATTACTTATGGCATACTGTAACTGTCTTGTCTGTGTGTCCTGTCTTAATTGTCTGTCCATCATACAAGAAAGATTTAATTTTTGAATGTTTCTTAAAACTGCATCAAACTTTAAGCTCGAGGTCATGAAGTCAAATATCATAACAGAATCCGAAAGGTCTTGTCACGGTGAATGCACAAGTGAAAAGAATATGAAAGCCCTGTCTCTTCTGGAAAAAAAATAACGGTCAGAGTTAAAATTCTAGATCAAACTTCTAGGTCAAGGCCATGAAGTCAGAAATGACAGTTCTGATAGGAATTGTCAAAGGTAATGTACATGTAAAATATGAAAGCCCTACCTTCTCTCCTTCAAAAGTTATTAAGAATGTTAAAAAAAAATTGAAAAGTTCTGTAGATTAAATTTTAAGGTTAAGGTCATGAGGTCAAAAACCGTATTATGTTTGGAAAGGTCTTGTTAAGGCATGTCACTCGTGAAATTAGTTATATCAAGGATTTTTTGAGAAGTATATTTTAGATAAATACTCATACAGCATGACTCAAAATCGCAAAGAAAATGGGGGGTCAGTGTGCATCTAACTGAGCTACGGTACAAGTAAGTTGACCTTTTCGCATTTAAATTGTAACTCTTTGGTTAATCACTTTATTCTTTATCATATTTTACCAGATGTAATAATGGCAATAAATATAATCTTATTTTACGTAAAATAGTTTGAAGAATATTTATCAATTAACAAATCATGTGAATTAATGCGCATAAATTATTGTGTGACCTTTTTGCACTAAAAAGTATCATATCTGGGGTATTAAAATCTAAATAGGCAATAAAATATTTTTATGTATAAAACTTTTTATAACTTACGTGCCGATAGGTTGGAAGTATCGTGTAGTTTAAAATAATGAAATAAAAAGTTTGTGTCAGTGATGTAAATTTTGAGATATTAGTCAAAATATGCGATTTTCAGACAAAAAATGGCGTAAATTTTATCTTGACTTCTCTAATATATCTTCATTTCTTGGCAAAGTTTGTTGAGTGAATGTGTAAAATTTGTTCAAAAAACATAAATTGAGACCTGTATTTAATATTCCTAGCATATCATAACAGAAAATATTCTCTAAGTAAAAATATGTGGGGCTAAAGTTCCAAGATATTAAATTGATTTGAAGAATTTTCTTCTAAATATCCTTCCACCACAAGAAATAGTCCTTAATAAATCTTGCTTCCTTATGAATTTGTGAGCATTTTTTAAAATTAAATGTTGAATAAATTGCATTGTTTAATTTAAATATATTATAAAAATTGAATTGTAATAAATAGTTTTGAAGTTAAAGGTTCTGACTGAACTTTTCTAAAAATCTGACGAGTGACATACCTTAAATGTAATGCACGGGTCAAATATGAACACCCAATCCTCTCTCATTCAAAAGTTATCACCAATGTTAAAATATTTGAAAAGTAGGTCATATTTCATGGTCAAAGTCACCGGATTAAAAATCATGATACATTTGGAAAACTTTTATCAAAAGTACTGTACATATGAAATACGTAAGTCCTATCTTTTCTCATTCACAAGTTATATCCAAGGTTAATGCTTCCGTGACAGACTGACAGAGAGGAGAATAAGATTTAATGTCCCTCGCTTTCGCTAATGCGGGGTATAATAATTTAGAAATAGTTATAGAATACATGTTTAGGAAGAGTGATGAAAGTGTCTGCTTTTCTTTGTTATTTAAGACACTTCACAGACATTTTTTTTCAAGAAAAAATTAATTACAAGTTTAAATTTATTGTTCAACAGCAAATAGAGGCAATACAAAAATAGTATTAAGAAACATGAGTATTTTTAATCTGCATTATTCTAGAGTTATTCTAGAGGTTACATGAAAGAAACATGAGTATTTTTATTCTGGATTATTCTAGAAATTTTCAGAACGTGTCGAAATGGAAAATAGTAAGCAATCTACTATACGCCAAGTGTATTTGTCAAACAAATTCGATCATCACAGCAAAATATTTCCCCCGCTTTCAAGGCTGTCTTTTCGAATTCGCAGTCCACTTTCTGCAATAAACCAGAAAAATAACATATACTATGTGTAACAATAATTTTTATGTCTACAAGAAAATACCTATATTCTTAAAATTCTAATTTGTTGTTCAGAAGAATGTTTGCCGTAAAATTGTCTCACCTTCGAACAATGAACAGAGAAGGCTGTATTTGAGAACGACCTAATCATACACGTTTCGGATTCATCACATGTAGCGTTCCATTTGCAGTTTAAGTTCACATCACAAGTGGGACAATCTGGGCCAACTAAAAGTAGGATTATAAACGATTTCAATGTAGATCTAATGATATCTCTAAAAGACAACTTCACATGTACATTTCGAGGTAATAACATTCAAAGCAACTGAGCAAGCAATTTGTAGATTCTTCGAACCCTAACACAGCGCGTTATTTTTGCGTGAATAATTCAAAGAATGAGATACCTTGCCAAAATTACTGTGAAGTTAATATTACCAGGACAGGATGTTACATTGCAGAATGTTATCTCAGAATGCAGGCCTTCACACGGTTTCCCGTTGACCGGCGCGGGATTGTCACACTGACGGTTACGCTGCCGCACACTTGAATTCCCACAGGTGACGCTGCAAGCGGACCATGCTTCCCAAGTGGACCAATGCCCATCAATAACTATGGAGATTGATTTTAAGGTCAAATAACTTTACAAACGACAAATTACAATTTCCCTATCAATAAACCTTGTATATATTTGTACCCGTATGTATCTTCTTCATATGATATATCCCTTTCTAAATTAATTGTCTCTCTGTATTTCAAGGATCTGAAAACGCTACAAACAGCGACATTGCTGTATGTGATATGTGGTCGTTCATATATATACTGCAAGTCTCTTTCAATCTGCTGAAACATATGTGGACTGTAGTAAATTTGTTGAACCTTTTGACTGGATTTAAATGAAAGCAAGTCAACAATACCCTCTCTTCTATTGATTTCGTAACTTTAAACACATACAGCTATGTATAAACTCGCCCTTTTTTTAAAAATACTATAAAGTAATATATTATTCGGTGGTTTCTGTATTCTACGACCCCAGTTAATTCAAATTCATGTTCTGGGATCAAAATCTGACAACCGACGAATCCCTATGATGTTTCAATGCTGGTCAGAATGAATATTCTTAGTCTAAATTGTTAATCCTTTCTACAAGGAACTACAAGGACAAAGCAATTTATTCTAGCTTTCTCACTGAATTTGTCTTGGAATATGAAATACAATTATTTTTATTCGACACTTCTGTTATTTGTTGATTTTGCTTAAACCCTTCCACAAGGTGCTTTTGTCACAAACAATGTAAGAAACAATTGAAGCTGAGACTAAAAAAATATCTTTGTAAAAATTCTTCGGTAAGAGTGAACCAACCTTGTTGAAGTTCTATCACAATAATTTCCTTTCCAGAAATTTAGTCCAAAGATTTCGTCAGTGATGGAATTATGTTTCCGCATCTTTGTGACAAATCGAAGCATTTTATACGAGAATGTTCAAAATGAATAACATCCAACACAGAAAGATAAATTGTGAAATATTTTAAATAATTCATCTACTACATTGGAGTATGCATGCTTCCTCTTGGTTTCAAATTTCTAAAAGCGGTTGCTTCTGACATACAAAAGATGTTCATTCTCAACTCTTTCAAGTACAGACCTCATAGAATAGATACAAATGTATTTGATTATTTCAATTTGTCATTTTATAAGGAGAAGTAATTTACCAGTCCGGTTGTCTCAGAAAATATACCTAAAGTCACGTGACAAGAACTATCGAGGGATCTATGGAGCGCTAGTTAAGTTGGTATCGTGATTATTGTTTTCCTTCACTCAGAAAGGTTCGTGCATGTATTAAGTAGTTTAGAAAGAGACTGACAATAACCCTAAAGTTAGAGGTTAGACAAAAATTAGGAGGCAACAAAGATTTCTTTTCATCTTTAATATTTGTCTGACTGAGTGTAAAATCCAATAGCAGTACAGAGGAAGGGAGTATTCTAATATTTACACTAGCAATATGAACAAAGGCTCTGCGAATAACACATTTATATACCACATAATCCACAAGATAGTTGACACAAATGTTGGAAACTGGTGTCTGAGCACAAAGTATCTTTATCTTGGGCGCAGCTACTCAATTTATCATGACATGGACCTTTTGAAAAGAAAAGAAAACATTGTAAAATAGTAACTTTGCACAATAAAATTTCTGTTCAAATACATGTGGCAGATATTATAGATTATACTTTGATTCACATTTTTCTATTGCCTGAAGCTTACTTATAGTTTATATTAAAACACTATACATATATCTTACAATGAGTGGTGTTACATTCCTTCCTTTCTTTGTCAGTACCATTGCATGAATGTCCAGTGACTAGAGTAGATCCAGTAGAGTGGGTACAATTACGGCTTCTTGTACTGACTCCTCGTCCACACGTTACACTACAGGTAGACCAAACTCCCCAGGTAGACCAAACGTCAACTAAAGTGATACAGGAAGACTTGAATATGTGCATTTTGCTTCTTGGTGCATGAAATGTATCTCACTATTTGTTTTCTTTTTGAAGTCCTACCCGAAAAGGGAAGGGATTTGGTGTGTTTTCCTTATGTTCATTTTCTTAACATTCCTTTAAGAGTCCCTTTCACGGGGTAAGTCTTGGAGATATGCTGCACAATGTTACATATTTTGCTACAGGATTTGTAAAGTTGCTATGGTTCAATTATTTAAAGAAAAAATAATTTCTTACGAAAATCGTAAAAATGTCGACATGTACATCAGTGTTTCTTGCATTACAAAACACCTTGGGAGATACAAATTTCATGAAAACTCATATTGTCAGACGTCCCACTTTTTGACGAGATTGTGAAAATACTATACAAACGAGATTTTTTGCATAGTCTCGTTAAACAATATTTATTTGGAAAACATGGTCTTGTTAACAGTGATATAATTTTATAAATGGACAAGCCAACCCAAAGTGTACTGTTAAATATCGATACACGTATTTCTTTCCTTTCGAATTCTTATTTATTTACATGTATTTCATTTTGGAATTGCATACTTTCTGAATACTGTTAAATATAAGGCAATTACCTGGACATGGTCCTGTATTACAGTTTTTCATTTCATATTGACTGCCAGCACAATCTCTTCCCCCGTGAGAAGGGGTGGGATTAGTACAGAAACGAGCACGTGACTGTACACTATCTCCACACGACTTCATACAGGTGGACCAAGCCATCCAATTGGACCATCCTCCATCAACTTCCGATGAGAAAAATAGTGCCTTACTTACATGTACATGAGAATAAAAACACATAAACAAGCAAAGAAGTAGATTACAGAATAAAAAGTGTGAATAAGATACATACTAGCACAATCGCCTGCATTGCATGTCCTTGCCTCTGTCGGATCCCCAGGACATTGAGTCCCCCCGTTTGCTGGCGGTGGATTTGAGCAGTTTCGAGTACGAGTTTCTACACCTATTCCACAAGTTACACTACACTTGCGCCACCCACCCCAAGGGCTCCAACCGCCGTCCACTAGAGATATTTAATTATCATATACTTGAGATACTCATGATCTAAACACTTTTGGATATCGAGAATTGAAACTGTGATCTGGCCTAAGTAAAGCATGTACATGTATTTATTATCCATGCATTACCCGTACATCCTGTACACTATGTATATTGATTGATTGATTGTATGTTGTTTTACGTCCCATTCGAGAATTTTTCACTCATATAGAGACGTCACCATATGCTGGTGAAGGGCTTCAAATTTAGACCTTTACTCGGCACTCAGGGCCATTGAGCAGTGAGGGATCTTTATCGTGCCAACGCTTGCCGTGACACGGGACCTCGGTTTTTAAGGTCTCATCCGAAGGACCCGCAACTTTCACTTCAAAGTGCCGAGCGCATGGCGAAGGAACAGTTGCTACCCATTTTTTATCGACTTAGGTCAGTCGCGGCCGAGATTCGAACTCACGACCTCCCGATCACGGAGCGAACGCTCTACCGACTCAGCTACCGTGAACGGTTGTACACTATGTATAATAACAAATTAAAGGAAATTTTTTGTTGATATTAGTCTTAGCTGATAATTAATGGAGTCCATCATATACAACAATCCAAAATTGACATAAAAATCATGCAAGATCTCAAATTTGGTAATGATTATTCTAAGCCCAGTCCTTTAATGCTTTTCAGACCCACAGTTACACATAAAGAACAGATTAGCTCACCCGCACACACTTTCATACAGGGTTCTGTTTCGTATGAATCTCCAACGCAATCTTTCCCATGAATAGATGGCGCAGGATTATCACAGGCACGAGCACGGGTCTTTGTTCCGTTGCCACATGTGCTGGAGCAAGTGGTCCATTGCATCCATTGTGACCAACCACCGTCAACTTGAAAATTAAAAAAAAGATATCTCATACAGCTAAACATTTATAAATCTTAAACTTGGTTATTATAGCAAGACATAAAAATAGGGAATTACGATAAGATATATAACAGATGTATATTAGGGGAAAAAACTAGCAACAATGTAATCAATCAAAGTATTTATACATCATATGTAAAGGTAATTATTGCTGCAAAATACTTTGGGATCGATATATTGATTCTGATTTATAAATAAGTCGCAACAGCAGAGCAGCAGATAGCCTTAATACTAGTAAAAACATCCCACTGATACATAATAGATAATTACAGGGTATCCAGAAAAATAAAAAATAAGAAAATAAAAATTTCATTAGATAAACATACAAACTAGAAATATGCACTAAATACTATTATACATGCATTAATAACTGCATCGGTCTTCATAACAGTATGGAACTTTGGCGATCCAAAAAATAATAAAATCCTCGCTGGAATATTCAACTGATACGAGAGGATACAATCATCAAAAAAGTTTTACCGAGGCAAGGCAATGGAGAACAAGTACGACTTTCTTGGTGATTTCCAGCACATTTGTTTCCACCACCGGAAGGAGCAGGGTTACTACAGTTTCGCGACCTTGACTCTGTCCCGCCTCCGCATGATGTAGAACACGTAGACCATGCAGTCCAATCTGTCCAGTTACCATCAACTTAAAAAATTGTTTTAAAAATGTTTGCTGCGTTCAAAAAAAATATAAACTTTCCTGCAAAATTCAAAGGACATAATATATGGAGACATTGTATACTAGTAGTACTTACTAGGACACGGATTCACAGGACATGGTTGCATATCGTATGGGCTCCCCGCACAGTCTTGACCACCGTACAAAGGAGCAGGATTGCTGCACATACGCGCACGTGTTCTAACGCCGCCTCCACACGTCTTGGAACAAGGGGACCACGGCATCCAGTTGGTCCAATTGCCGTCAACTTTAAAAGTCAAACTTACTTTATTAAGTAAAGTTACCATCTTGACCTTCATTTTTTTTTTACGTCGGAATACAGACTGCAAACACAATATTTACCACTGCAGGCACTTGCATTGCATTGTCTCATTTCTATAGAGTCTCCTGGACACTGAGTTCCCCCGTGTGCTGGTACCGGATTAGAACAATTTCGTTTACGAGTTTCTACTCCGGTTGCACAAGTTACACTGCACGTGCTCCACGTTGCCCATTGGGTCCAACCACCGTTCACTTAAAGTGTCGAAAGAAAAGTAAACTTAAACTGTATTTTTTATCTAAAATTTATTGAATGCTTAAGAACATACGCAACGTATCTTACAACATAGTTCTCTACTGGTTATTTTCAAAAACTAATAAATTTAAAATTATAGTTTTATCAGATGGTCTCCGATAAAAAAAAAATCAGCATACATAACCAGGGGTTTTGAAAACATATCAAATTATGAAAATCCTTGTGTTTTTTTTTATAATAAATATACAAAAATGACTAAATATATAATTTTAGCTGAAATTTCCTAAAAAAAATGTTTCATAAGAGGTGTGCAATATCAAAAGAGTTGCTTCTGAAACTCTTTACTTATAGAAAATGAGAAAATGAAATTCAAAATTAAGCTGCGTGTGTCCTCAAAAGAATTTATGAATATTGTTTTAAAAAATGCCTTGCTCACCAGGGCAATTATGTGAACAGGGTTCCATTTCATACGCATTTCCAACACAATCTTTTCCACTCTGCGATGGCGTTGGATTAGTGCACGAACGAGCACGTGTTTTTGTTCCGTTGCCACACGAACTAGAACAAGGGGACCACTTCATCCACTGTGACCAACCGCCATCAACTTGATAAATATTTCAATCATTTAACGAAGGACAATATCTTCCCACTCTATTTCTTTGTCTCATTGTATAAGTAAATATTAGAAAATTGGAAAAAAAAAATCCCATCATTGTTTGGATATTAAGGACAGACACCTTAAACAATATCAAAAAATTAAGTATAATATACCAGGACACAATGAAGAGGAACAAGCACGACCCTCATTCTGATTTCCAACACAGTCGTTTCCACCATCGGAAGGGGCAGGGTTACTACAGTTTCGTGAACGTATCTGTGTCCCGCCCCCACACGACGCTGAGCATGTGGACCATGAAGTCCAGTCTGTCCAACTACCATCGACTAAAAAAAGGTAATGTTTATCTAAACACTGTTGCAGTTCTTTCTGATTCACTGTACTCAATATTCTGAATCGAATTTGAACTTAATATACAGATATGATTTCAAATGTGCAATACAAACCTGGACACGGAATAAGAGAACACGTCTGTATAGCATATTGGTCCCCAGTACAACTTTTCCCGCCATTAGAAGGAGCAGGGTTATCACAAGAACGTGCCCGTGTTCTTACACCAGTATCACACGTCTTGGAACATTTGGACCATGGCATCCAATCCGACCAGAGACCGTCAACTTTATCACAAGAAAAACAAATCAATCCTTCCGATATTTTGTTTTCGATTCAGGAATTAATGTAGTTTCTGGCTAAACTTTAGAAATTAAGCTCTGATTTTTTATTTGCAAATTATTGTACGTACATACCAGCACAAGAACTGGCATTGCATGCCCTCATTTCAGCCGAGTCATTTGGACATTTAATGCCTCCATGTGCTGGTGTCGGATTGGAACAATTTCGTGTACGAATCTGTATGCCTCTTCCACAAGTTACATCGCATGTCCCCCATGCATCCCATGAACTCCAACCACCGTTCACTTAATTATTGAGAGTATAATTTAAGTAAACGTCAATCGGCAGAAAAGGGACATGGTAACAGCTTGAAAATACTTATTGTATTACCAGTCACAAGAAAAGCTCTAATGAAATAACTTTCATGGAAACAAAATACAAGAAACAGTTAATGTTTTGTTCATAACAGGGTTGTATAATAATAATTTACTTTGTATAGTATCAATTTGAGAAAAAAAGCTAAATGAAGCTTGTGGAGTGTTGAATAATTGCATTAAAATTTCATTTAGTTTTTTTTCTGTTCGTCATTAAGTGCCAAAAGAAATTAATCAAATTTGATAACATTTTTCTTGCACTTCACTAATTTTCGAAGTAATGTGCAGACATGAAAGTATTAATGTCTCCTTTTAACTGTTAATGGAAAAAGAAAACTATTAAAGTCAATATGGATTGTGTCCTATTTCTTCAAAGGAATGCAGAAATACTTTGAAATTTCTTCTCCTAAATGCACTGGTATTTTTTTTAATGTTAAATGTCGCTTTTCTTCTCAGAAAAACATCTTCAGAGTAAAATTCACCATATGCTTCAGCATTTAGATTATCTAATGCTTAATATTATGCAACATTAAAATATTTCTTAATAAAGCTTATCTTTTTAAAGAAAAAAAGTTTTTACTTGTATCATTAATCCATAGGTCATAAAATCAAGCCAGTTCGTCATAAAACAGCAATTAAATATAAAAAAAATTCACATCATAACTTTCACAAAAACCACATCATGAAGTCGTTTAATACAATATGAACTATTCAAAATATACCAGGAGCGGATGTGTTGGTAGACCATTTCGTCTTGTGCAGATTGTTCATTTTTCTTGAAGAGAGAAAGCTACCGCGTAAACTTAACTGGGCAGGGACATTTAAAACATAGTAAGAATCTGAGAATGTGAAATATGTGGAGATAACGTACAGTTTTCGAGCTCAAATGTCCATTAAACATTACAAAATAGGAGCAGAGCAAACACGGACCTCTAAGACATCAGAGGTGGGATCAGGTGCCATGGAGGAGTGAGCATCCTCTGCCGACCGGTCACACCCGCCGTGTGCTCCTTGTCATGATCAGAAAATGTCCAAAATGTCCAAAATGAAACTTCGTCAGTCCAGTTTTTTACATTTCAGTTTGTATGCCAGTAAAAAAAATGAAATCCAAACTATTACAACGCGATTCAGTACCAAAAAAAAAGATAGCACTAATATATTTATTTATGTAAAAAGAAGCCTCATCTTTTGCCGTGTGACCCAAAATGCAATCGAGCTATTCTTTAAACCAAATTGTTCTGTGCAGTCATGATAAATCCACACCCTGCATTTCTTTTTATTAATAGAAACTGACAAACAGACAAACAGACAGATATAAGTAATGAAAAAGATGAAGACAACGAACTGTGATTAATCTCATACATAAGTAAACAATACAAATCGTGAAAAGGGCAAGACTCTGGAAACACCAGAGGTGCCTGGGAGGAGTTAGCATCCCCAGTCGACCGGTCACACCCTCTTTCTTGATCAGATAATCGAAGAAATCCGTAGTTAAAAACGGTAACCTAGCCATTGGCATGATAGTGGGTATAGTTTTTTTGTTGTTAGTTTTCCATTTCTGTCTACAATCGGTGAAAGATCCAAATATGCAAATTGGCAGACTCTGTGCAGTGTCTATTACTTCGAGTTCATATCTAATGAAAATATAATTGTAAATAATTAACTTTATTTATCAATATATAGGACATATATAGCTTGAAATTTTACTTGAGTTCAAAACAGCCTTAAAGAGCAAGAGCAAGAGCCACTTAGGGCCTTTTTTGGCCCTGCGAATTTCTGAAAATTCAAAACTGTATAGTTTTAGTCAACAAGGCAATAAATAATACTTGAGCACTTGGTTAATGAATATCTACTGAAAATGACGTAATTTTCTTTCTAGTCAATGTATTATGACGTCATGAATTGCGTCATTATTCACATATCCTGAATATTTCTTCAAAAATAGCCAAATTATGATGCCTTTTTTCAATATTTCATATACAGCACAACCTCCGATCCAAAATGTGTAAATATATTGTAAAAGAACTGTTAATGAAGATTATAAAACATATTATAATTTTTGGATCAAGGGGTGTGCTCATATTTTAATTCTTTGCTGAAGGTTCTCAAAAACACCTGTTTTCTGCGAAATTCAATAACATTGCAATTTCACACAACCTGTTTTTCAATGCCTGGACTCTTAAAAGGAAATTCTGTTGTATAAACTGAAAGCACTAAGTCTCTACTTTATAATTATGTTGAAAATGGGAATTTAGTCAATAAATTGGTATATCTACAGGGCCATTTTATGCATAAAGTGAACCTAGCTCTTTGCTTCGTATCTAAACTGAATTTAGTTCATTCCCAAAATATATTTACACTATTTAAAATCTCACCTGGACAGTTTACTGTAGGACAGATCTGCATTTGATACACATCACCAGTACAATTCTTCCCGCCATTGGAAGGCACGGGGTTGTTACATGTCCGTGCACGTGTTCTCAACCCTCCAGTTCCACAGCTACTAGAACAAGGGGACCAAGATAACCAAACTGACCATCCTCCATCAACTTTACAGGAAAATGCAATGCGAGTACTTATTTTTATTTTGACTTTATAGCTACACGTTTAAACGTTTTCACACCAGTTTCTCTGTTGTTGCTATATACGTAGAGACGCGTGCCAAAAGTGAAGATAATTCCAAGATGTCGGTTGTCTTGAGACGTGAGGCGAGTGCCACGAGTGCCAGTTTTCATCTCTTGTCAAAATACAAATTAATGATTACTGACCTACCTAATTTGTTATGTTTCCCTTAGCTTTAATTACAGTCTGGATTCGCTTGGGGATAGAATGGTATAAATTTCTGATGAAATCTAAGTCATCTCTACCCAGATGTTCCGAATTGTTTCCTCTAGCAACGCTCGTAATGGCATGGACCTGTTTTTGCAGTTCAAGTTTAATTTTCGCCACACATTTTCAATTATATTAATGTCTAGACTTTGGGCTGGCCATTCCATGCAGTTTGAGTTAATGTGGTTTTCTTCCATGTATTCTTTGACAGTTCGGGCTCGATGGACCTGAGCATTGTCATCTTGAAATATATAATTGTTATCCAGGAAATGACGATCAATTACTGGCCAGACGTAATTCAATGATATCTATATATTTTGCAGCATTAATAGCGATTCTCTGTAACCACTTAAACTTCTTTGCCACGCATGGTCACCGATTTTGATGAAACTTTGCCCATTATTACAACTTGACACAAGATATATCAAATAAAATTTCGTTGCTATGTGTCTTGGTTGCCATGGTAACAGCCAGAAAAGTTGAAAAAATTGAGATTTTCAGCCACTTTAAATCTTTATAAAGCCTTAATAAAGACTAAGAAAAACAAACAAACCATTCTCCCAAAGACATGACACCTTGTTGCCACTTATGCTATAAAGAAACTATTTAGAATTTATCTCTAAGTAAATGGTAACCATGGGTACATTTGGAATACATTTTAGATGCTGAAAAATGCTGAAAAACGCTCTTTAGCCACAAATGATAGATGTTACATGATCAAACTCAATCAACAAAGTAAGAAAAACAATGAAAAATATTTGACCTCATGTAATTAGGTATTGGCAATATTATTCTAAAAATAACTTTCATGGTTGCCATGGTAACACAATGTCACCATGCAAAATCTGTTGCTATGATTGGGTTAATGCTACTATCGTGAGGGAAAACAATAAAATTCATGACTGGCACATATGGATCCTTAGGACCTTGCAACACCGACAACATACGAAAAATTGAGATTAATTGTTACTTTGCAGTGTAACCATGGAAACGACGTACTAGTTGTTTAAAGTGATATTTTTTTGCTGCTTTAGGAATTTACTAACCTTTTAATCAAGAAAAATATCATTTGAATCACCTTGAATAGTACTTATCTCGTAGAACTAAAGTTGAATATCATATATTGATAAAGGTTGTTGAAAAATACAACACTGTTGCTATGGTTACCAAGGAGAGAAAATGTTCGATTTTGTTAATTTTTTGTCAATATTAGACCTTATGTGCCATCTTTCTGCATCCATTTAGAGATTGGGTGATGGTCAAAATTGAAAGTCAGGTTAGTTGTTCACATATATCAATCATTAAAGTTTTGGGAATCTACATACAACGGTACGTATCCAAGGAAACAGAGTATTTTTCAGATTTTTATGCATGTTTTTTCGCCTTATTTCCATAGCAACGCACTATTTAAAGAATTGAAATTGAATTTTTTGAAGTGTGAAAATTAGGGTCACACCAAGGCCTTTAAAAACTGATTATCAGTTATATAGAAATATGCTTTTTAAAAAGAAAGGATAAGATTAAAACACTAAGAGAGTAAATTTAAAATCCCTTCGTGGTATTAAAACCATGGCAACCATTGCCAACCTATAAGCAATATCATATTTTGTCCTTGGTATATGTTACAAGGATCTCTTCTCTATTATTTGCTTGCATTTCAACCTATAATTGTTTTTATTCTTAAGTGTATGACTTCATAAAATTAAATGAACAAAATTATTACTTTTGAATACTTCGTTTCCATAGTAACGTATGTTATAGATGATTTACCAAACATGTTTATCATGCATTTAAGACACCAGGCCTTCAACTTTCAGAAACAGTCATTGCCACTTGTTTGCTTTGCTGCAAACGTTAACTATGGGACTCTGAAGATGTTGAAAAATGCCATTTTTCAAACTTCAGGACATGTTGCTATGGTAACCATGAAACGTAGCAACCAATTTTTGCCCGATTTGAGTTTACGGTATCAAAGACTTTTATCATAGAGAGTTTGGAGAAATTCTGAGACTATGCGTGCCACAGCTACTATATAAAAGTTCAAGTCATTACAGAGAATGGCTCTTAATGTGACCATTTACAAGTTATTGTTCCCATACCTTCGTACGTAATGCAACCCCAGATCATTTGACTCGTGATTCAAGTAAGGGGGTGTCCACTCTTCTATGGGTCGTCTCCAATTTAAACAAGAATACGTTTATCCATTCCCAATTCCACCTTACACTCGTCACTAAAGATAACTTTATTCCAGTGTTCATTTACAGTCTTCTTTCTATTCAGTTTGCACCACACAAGTCGCTTTTTTACATATTCTGCACGATTTCGGATAGCTTTTTTACAACACACTTGTGAAATTCTTCCTCATATATTCCTCATATATTTTTCTCTGAATTGTCCGTTTTGACACAGTTCGAGGTCTGAGTTCATTAAATATTGAGGTTATTTCTTGAAGTGGACGCATTCTGTTTGATTTTATAAGAGCTCCAAGTTTCCGAGTACAAAGACGGCCTCCCACTTCGATTCTAGCTGGTTTTCTATGCTCCCTCGGCTTTTCAAACCAGCTCACGTCTGTTTATTGCCATTTTCGTACAAACAGTTAACGTTATATAGGCCTATAGAATAGCAGACGATGTCAAACTTCCCGTAACCCGCAGGGTCAGACTACTACGTCATAACTTTCACTTTGAAACGCAAGAGGGATAACTTAATTTTAAACCGAGAAAAACGCACACGAATTTTGGATCTTTATGAGCGGAAGTGAAAGAAGCAAGAGACAATTATCTTCACTTATGACACGCATCCGTATTTCTATCTTGTATATTTACATTATCTATTTCTTGTGAAAATAAAATTGCTGTCATTTACTGCAATAACCACAATCTACTTCTAAACTAACAATATCCGCTTTCTTAGCCACTTGCCCGCGCGTATGAATTTACATATTCCTTGAAAAACTTTAATAAACTTCAGAATACAAATAAAAATAAGTTAGCTGCGTGCAGTGAGATGTACATCGTCTTCTATCAAGAATCATATAGAAAATGTTGTTAACATTGTTTTATGATGGCTTACTAGTATTTTATATACTTTGAAGTTTTAATCTTTTTGGACTATTTTTTGTGTTCGATTTACATCACAGAAATGATAACGTATCAGGGTTTTAACATTTTATATGGAAACAAGTTTACCTGTACAAGATGACAGATGACAGTCAGCTATTTCTTCATTCGATCCGCTACAGAAAGATCCTGATCCAGATGGCGCTGGATTTGTGCAGGTGCGATGTCTTTGTTTACTTCCGTTTCCACATGATGCATTACAGTGACTCCATGCGGTCCATTCAGCCCATCCACCATTAACTAAAAGAAAATATATTTTATCAGTATTTTACAACTGAAACAATTTAGACGTTTTCTGGACTATGCGACCCCAAAAGCATCGCAATTCTGTGAAAAATCAATTTTAATCTTTATGATAATATATATATATATATATATATATATATATATATATATATATATATATATATATATATATATATATATATATAATAAAAAGGCAACACTTCTTGTTAAAACATAAGCGCTTTCATTGTTTTCTTCAGACGTTTTAAACAATTTAAACTTGTATGACGTTATAGCATTACCTGGTAACTACGGAAGCGTTTTAGTGCCACTTGGACACTTTTTTATTTTTCATTTTCCACACTTTAATCTGTAAATTTTACACTTTAATCTGTAAATTTTACATTTAAATCTGTAAAATTTACACTTTAATCTGTAAATTTCACACTTTAATCTGTAAAATTTACACTTCAATCTGTAAAATTTACATTTTAATCTGTAAAATTTACACATTAAAGTGTAAATTTACACTTTAATGTGTAAAATTTACACTTTAATGTGTAAAATTTACACTTTAATGATGTGAAATTAACACTTTAATCTGTAAATTTTACACTTTGATCTGTAAAATTAACACTTTAATCTGCAAATAGTACACTTTAATCTGTAAATTTTACACATTAAACTGTAAATTTTACACATTTATCTGTAAAATTTACACTTTAATATGTATATTTTACACTTTAATGTGTAAATTTTACACTTTAATCTGTAAATTTTACACATTAAAGTGTAAATTATAATCGAACAGTCGTTTCATTGTGTTATACCTATGACATTTGAAAAATAGTATAAATTTGAGATGTTCACAAGTGTTAGCATAAAAGTTTACACAGGTATATATGACAAGTAAGGATGGGCAATTTGCTAATTGGCCTCGTATTTGTCCCCAGAAAAATATCGAGAATCTACTTTCAATCCAGTATATTTCTTTAGTACTATAGTAAAGAGCGACGAACAGTAAAAAATATATATCTCAAATATTTTTGTCTTCTCATTTGCAGTTCAGATTGCTATTGCAAGTTTATGGGTTTATGATCATGATGTAAAATATAACAGTTAAAATAACGGTGATTTTAGAACGTAACAATAAAGAAACATCATTGAATCAAAATATATTAATTTCTATGCTGTTCCAAAATTCATATAAAATCATATACTTTAATTATTTACATGTATATACTTAAATAATTGATATATTAATTGGTTATCTAAAAATTTTCAATTCAGTTAGTAATTCAATCGGTGCCCGTAATAAATGTTGAATGTAATTCAATTAATGCTATCAATAATTGAACTGCCAATTGCAAGCGCATCAAATGAATTTGCGTATAATGATGTCAGTATCATATTCATTAAGATATGTGCGTTTGTTTTGCTTTTCACTTCCACTGAATTCATAATTCTTTCAAATATTCTATGAAAGTCTCACTAATATTAGTGATACTGGATTGCTTATTATTTGTATTATATCAATACATATAATATCTGATAAGTAATTTTTTTCCACGTTTATTGTACACTAAGAAATCAAAATTAAATTTTATCATGCAGGATTCATGGTCTGTTGGCTTTATGGCGTGTTACTTTAAAAGATGTATGTTTGTTTGTTTGTATGTTGTTTAACGTCCCTCTCGAGAATTTTTCACTCATATGGAGACGCCACCACTTGCCGGTGGAGAGCTGCAAATTTTGTCCTATACTCGGCACTTACGGCCATTGAGCAGTGAGGGATCTTTTTCGTGCCAGCACCTACTGCGACACGGGAGCTCGGTTTATACGGTCTCATCCGAAGGACCGTAAAAGATGTATGAAGTTGTCAAATTGATTATGTGAA